ATCTGTGACCCAAACAATCTCCGTGGAAGATGTGTTTCCGTCAAATGGAACGGCACTGCAGCAGGCATTGAAGACGAGCAGAGACAACAAAGGCCACAGTGCCATATCAGCGTGAAGAGAGTCGCAGGGATCTATCCACCCGCGAAGGCGTACATGCTACAGTGCGGCCCAAATCCAAACTGCGACCACATTCCCAGGTTGATTCGAAACCAGGCAGCTAGTGATTCTCAGCATGACTAGTCACTTAAGCTCATCGCTCAAAATGTTATACGCGATTGGACAGGTGCCTCTCTCACTAAAGGTAATGCTTACCTCTCACTTTGAGTACCTCCCGAGTTCCAGTGATGCTCTGCACGCCGTTGAAACACTCGCAAAGCCTGATGGCAACAATATCAAGCACCGCGTGTATTGCATGACTACATTATTTGCCAAATGAGTGCAAATTGGATGCCAGCTTGCGGAAATGCAACTCACCTCCCAAAACACGTCACTTTGGTCATCACTATCGATTTCACCCGTAATAAACAACTTCGGGGACAAGAACTGGTGCATAGTAGAGGCCGCAAAACTCGTCGCAGACTTCCGACATCGAGTCGTTTGTGGTCGGAGATCAGGTCGCGAGCGCCTATTAATACGAGACACGGTCTCAAGTTTACGTCGATATTGGGACCATTGCGCCTGACTTATAGTAATAGTAAGAGGGGAAGAGGAGGTACGTTCAGCTATACAGCTCTCAACTAGTAGTTATTGCGTAGTATACATAAGATTCTTGAAACCGAATTCTGCGCGATGTCAAGGCATTTAAAACAATTTAGTTAGTAGTAGAGACAGAGAAACATGCTTCCAGATGAGTACATAATCTTGATATCATTGCAGGGTAAATCCAGTACAGTCGTGAGTGAACCCGATGAACATGAGGAAACAGGAAATCAAACAATGATGGTATAGTGAAGAGAAATTACAACAACAGGAGGATGTTAGCAGTTGTGAATGGGCAGGCTTGAAATAATGTAATGCGTGATCCATGATTTTTCCAATACGTCAGTAGAATTCATGGCATGGCAAACCTATTCATCGTTTTCGTCGTCCTCGGGCGGTCGACTTGAACCTCGAGAGGGCGCACGCGACGTGGCCCTTGACGTAGCTCTAGATCTCGCTCTTCGTCTTGACTGTGAACGAGCATCTGCCTCAGCTTCTCGGCGCTCTTGCTCTTCAATCTCCTGCTCTGTCATCGGGTATCTCCGCCTACACTGCAGGACGAAAATGCATGGCAGAAGGGCACCGCAAACTTCCTTCACGTAAGCATCATCCGCGACTATGCCACCGAACATGGTATCCTGCCCAAGCCAATCGAAACGGAGAAGCGTCTGCGGAAGGCGACCCCCAGGGACGCCATGTGCCGTCGAGCGATTAAAGTAGAAGGCCTCGGAGAGTATGCGTTTCTGCGTCTCGGTCGCGAAATCGTAATGGGACTGTGCGACTCGTCCGTTCATATATGATTGTATACCTTCAATGACATCGCCACATGTAACTCCGAGCGACGAGTCTGAAGCCGTGATTTCGATGGGCCAGGGTATTGACGCAGAAATGAGACGAAGAGAAGTCACTCGGGGCCAGGTTGCTGGAGCCGATCGGCCTCTCGCCCATGATCGATGCGCAGGGTCAGAAGAGCGCTGACACTGCGCCGTCGAGAAGAGCATGTTCCATTTTATATAATCGCGGGTTTCTTCTTCCGGAGGCGGCATTAACAGAGGATTGAGTAACATCTTTGCTTTGACCTTTTTGATAAGCATCGGGTCGAGAACGGGTCCGTCTGTTTTTAACAGACGTAAGCTGCGCGTACATCAGAGAGAGAACTGCTACGTACAATGAGGGCCTTCAGCGAACCTATCTACTTTGTCGAATTCAATAGCGTCCTGAGGTCGGAGAGGCCGGGGTGGTTGTGGTGCATTTCCGGTCTGTGCGGGAACCTGCGGAGGAGCTTGACCTGCCTGTGGTGGAAGCCCTCCAGCACCAGGTGCAGGGAATGGCGTACCCCATGCACCAGCCATTCCGGGGTGTATACCAGGATGCATACCAGGATGCATACCAGGCGGCATACCAGGTGGCATACCACCAGGCATCTGTCCAGGCATGGCGAAAGGCGTATACGTCATCGGTGGCATCCACATGCCAGGCATGCCTTGGTGAGGGCCACCGAACCCGTGAGGGAGCTGCTGATTGAATGCGTTGTAAGTTGTGGGGGGCGCCATATACGGAGTCTGTGGATGCGAGCCGGGTGAAGCGGGATGCGTATAAGGCGAGCCCGACATACTCCCAGCAGGGAAGCCTGTCCAATCAGGGTGAATACCAGAAGCACCCACCGGGGCGACAGGTGGATTCGCACCTGACTGAGAAGGGAGAGCTACGGGCGGGATGAAATACGATCCAGGAGCCCCTCCATACATATTGGGGCCGACGTAGGGAGACATGTATTGTGGCTGAGGACTCCAAGCAGGAGCTGAAGCGGGTTGGCTGGGGGGAGAAAAGGGAACAACGGGAGGGTGACCGGGCGATGACGGACCGCCTTGAGGGCCAGGGACAGGCGGGATAACTGGAGTGTACTGCATCTGTGGTAATACCCAGAAGAATACGATCAGTCGCTATGCTTGTGTGAACCTCCTGCAGAGTACAACCCGAAGGCTCTTAAATGAATCAGATCATAACTGCAATGGAACGAGAGGACATACTAGCTTCCAGTAGATATGTAGAAAACTTTGAAGGATCCGTCCTGGAGATGACTTGTAGATTGAACCCGATTAGATTGACTTGCAGGATTGTCAAAAAAAGGGAGGAGAATACATACTAAACAACGACGTTTTATTCCTCGAAAACGAGCTCTATTGACACACTAAGGCCAAACTCGAACTCAAGTCTAGGGTAGAGGCTGGAGAAGTTGGTCTGGTGCGTGCAGCGTTCATCGGGTTATTGATCAGGTAATGCGAAGCGCCTGCTATCGAGCATTGACCACCGCGGAGACCCCGGGCTCACCATGTTGAAAATCATCAGAGCAACATTCATCCACGAAAAACATCAATAACTCTATATAAAAAATATAGCGCTTTGTCTTCTGGCTCGAAAGTTTTGCGGTCGACAGCCAGACGAGGAGTGGCAGCATCTTTATAAGCTGGTGTTCCGGGTCCCACTGTCATCTAATTAAATAGGTACTTCGACAGTAGTGCTCGACAATTATTGGGATTGTTACTATTCGACATTTGATCTCAGGCTACTGCTAGCTATTTATTGTCGTCTCGTTTTCTGTGTTCTTAAAGACGACAATCGCGATCCACTCAGCAGATATCCAGTGCGAGCACCGTTCTCCGATCCTTCTCCCCACGATTTTGACTTAGGATTTACCTGAGATCTACTACAAATCACAAGGGACATTTCACCGCTACCTGTTGAGTCGTACGCACCAGCGTTGGACAAAACTTTCCGGACTACGGAGCGCAGAAGGCCTATATGCTTAGGCATGATGCGTGGCATTCGGTCGCTTCGGTGAGTAGGATCAAACACTTGATATGTCTATCTGCTTCTTGAAGTTTATTTTATTTTACTGCTTTGAACCATATCGACACTTCGTCGTATTCTACCGATCCGCGAATTCCTGGCGTTATCAGTTCGTTCCTATTATCCTCTCGCGCACGGACCGCCACGTCAATGAAATCTCCCAGTGGCAGATGCATTTGCCCTGCAGGTGTTCTCGCCTATGTATATGAGGGCCGATGAGATGCTTCGGTGCTTGCTTTGCGCGGTTTCAAAATTTGGTCTACAAGCTTGTGGAGGGGCCGCCCTCCCTATGTGGCGTACGCGGATATTTCTCCTGGAGCTTGTGCGCATTAATACGTCGCTGACGGGGTGGATCCGGCGCACATTTATCGCCAGACTGGGAACAATACGCAGAGGATGACTGATAGGCGATCATAAAGCGTGACCCCGTTGAACTAATGATAATCATTACCGCCCATGTTCCGTCATTCATGGAGGCTTAGCTGTTAAGTTCCTTACCACTCCGTGCTCCTTACGACCTTGGCTGACGCTTCGATGGAACTTCTCTTGCCTTGATGTGAGATTCTAAAGGCTTCATATCATCATGCCCTCTCATGGTGGTCTCTCCGTGTGACATACATAGCTCACTTGGGTTACTTCATCCATATGCCAGACCCCATAGCCGTATGACATTCTAGACCGGGACTAACTTCTGTGAGCTGTCGAGGGTGCTGTCTCGCCGTTGTAATGCAGATGGACTATTTCCAGATCTGATGGGCACATGCCATTGAGCTTCTGGGGACTGAGGTCCGCGCGCGATGATTGGAACAAACCTGTGCGAAAGTCTCTAACCACGCGCGCCCTTAAATTCAGATGGTGTGTAATGACCACTCCTCGATCCCTTCTCTGCTTCACGAGCAGTCGCCAACCGTTGACCTATCCTCTAACAATGGCGCAGGTCATTTGTGAGGAAATTCCTGCCCGAACGAAAACCGTGAGCGTAGATCTGGACAGTAATCTTCCGGAGTTTGCGCCTATGCCATGGTATGTTTTCACTGTGGACTCCGTATGTCCATGCCATGTTGATATTCTTGTAGGACCCTGAGCGAAATCCGAGCAGCCATACCCGCCCATCTACATGTACGGAAGACCTGGAAGGGGGTATGCTATCTGTGTCGCGATCTCGTCATGGCTGCGGCTTTGTGGACTTTGGCTTTCCACATTGATCCGACCTTCCGTAGCGAACGTATCGTACGCGCTTTAACTCATCCGGGAGCAGAGACCGCTCGCAGGGTTGCGTGGCTTGTTTAGTAAAGCACCAGATTTGCAGTATCGAAACAGCAGTTTAACGACATCCCCAGTTGGTGGTTTCAGGGCTTGACCTTCACGGGCGTTTGGGTCGTCGGCCACGAGGTGAATTCGCCACATGAACACGGACACGCCCGACACTTCGCAATGCTGACAGTTGACATCGCCAGTGCGGCCATGGAGCATTTTCTCCGAATAGGCGTATCTGCGACATTATCGGATTCGTGAGCCATGCCTTCACTCCGGAAAAAATTGGTACCCGCATCTGACAAGACCCTCTGTCAGATTACGCACACGCTGCTTTGGACGCCTTATTTTAGCTGGCAAATATCTCACCATCGCCACCACCGCAACCATGCATCTATGGAGCGCGACGAGGTTTATGTCCCCAAGACTCGCAGCGACCTTGGGATTCCCAAGGAGGGACATGGGGCAATTGACTATGAAGAGTACTTGGGTGACACGCCCATCTACACGTTATTTATGCTATTACGCCAGCAGATATTTGCATTTCCGGCTTATCTTCGTTCGTCTATTACCTCATCTGCGTCTTCGTTCTCTTGATCTGGATATGACCGGCAGTGTTTAACGTGTCGGGACAAAAGGGATACCCAAAATGGACTAATCATTTCGATCGTAAGGCATCTTTCTTCGGGTCTGCGGGCGTCTTGACATCACAATTTGCAGCCGATTCCATCCTCTTTACCAAAAGACAACGCAACGTGGTCCTCATATCCAATGCAGGTATCATGGCTATGCTCTGGATTGTCTCTCAGTCCGTCCAGAGATGGGGCGCACTTACCGTGATCAAGTTCTATGGAATACCTTGGCTGCTTGTCAGCCACTGGTGAGTATCATAATGAATTTGAGGAAGCAAGAAGTTCTTGACACATTGGGATAGGTTCATCATGATTACATACCTTCACCACACGGATACAGAGCTTCCGCATTATCGCAATGCTCAGTGGAACTTCCAGCGCGGTGCAGCGGCAACTGTCGATCGTGACTTCTTGGGATGGCAAGGCCGCTTCTTCCTCCACGATGTTGCCCATTTTCATGTGATACATCACTTCTTCCCCATGATGCCTTTCTGTGAGTTTGACAGCTCATCAGATCTCCATATCATATCAATCCTGTTTTGCAGACAATGGACCTGAGGCCACGAAGTACTTGAAGGAGTTCATTGGGGAGCATTACCGGCTTTCAAACAAACCAGTGTTCAAGGCACTCTGGGATACATACAATGAATGCCAATTTGTTGAAGATGAGGGTATGCCATGCCGCATGAACAGCGAGGATCTGCGTAATTAATCCACTTGCAGGTGACATCGTCTTTTACCGCAACCGCAAGGGCCAGGCCAAGATCAGACCGGCAGCTCCATACAGACGCTCCTCAGCCGTGGAAGACCTCCCACAACATTGAACGTAACTGAGCTTTGTATCACTATTCGTTGTTATGTATGACATGAATATGTAGTTTTACTACTCTTGATAGAATTTCCCTGATCTATCTTCTCTAGTAACCAGTGTCTAGTAGCGTTCTGGTGCGATTCTACTGAACTCAAGTCAATTTTTATACCCAGTTGACTATACGTTGGCACTCTGACTATGCGAGAAGTTGTGTGCAAACGAGCCAGACGGGTTGCATAGCTCTCACACGTAAAGTGATATCATGTCAAACACATATGCACTAAGAATGGTGCAGGAAGGTCTGGCACCTCTGGTTTCACCTTCGTTGTTCGACGAACTGGAGACAGAATGCCGTTAATGAACGCGCCACGTTCCTCAATATGAGCGATGTAAAAGAAGAGTGCGCAATTACAGCAGGGTACAGGAAAGCGATAATTACAAAGAATACAATGCTGAAATCCTACAATACATAATGAGGAGACGACTGACAAGGGCACAAATAAGGGAGGACATCGTGCATCTCAATAATATTGGCTGAGCGTCATGACGAAGATGTTGGCTGCAGAGTATCCGAGTCGCTGCTTTGCATAATTATCTCTCCTCGACAATTTCTCGAAGAATTGTCGATCACGTAGCCAGTCTAAATATAGGTCAGCACGAAACGAGGATGCAGGTCGACTCAACGCACCGCATCTTTTCACTCGAGATGCGGTATTGGGTGAAGGGGAATAATATTGTTGCCACGCCGAGCTAGCAGTTCCTGCCGCAAAACGCTTGATCTGGTCTTGAATACGGGGCTGGAGTACCTCGAGCTCCTTGTCGGTCACAGTGTTATCTGTATATCTATGAAGGCAATCCAAGTGAGTTCCATGCGAGATTGTATTCAGTGACACGTACTCTCTCCACAAAGTCGAGCATATGTCATTTAGAGTAACACCCGCGGGATTCTTGACGACGGTACACCATGGACTCATGTCTGTGATGATAATAAGTTGATCGACTCGTGGAAGAGTGGCAGGCTCGTCCTTGGCCGTGAACGGGAGGTCGTGGTCGCGATTGTCGGCATTGTAACCGGATGTTTGCCCTATGAATTCGTACCGGGATGGTTGGGTTCGTGGCAGGGCGCGGAGTGGCTTGGTCACTGACCTGTTGCGATGTTGAAGATGAGTTGGAATGAACCATCTGTGCTAGCAAGGACGGGGTGGAGCTCGAGGTCAACATTCTCCAAGAGATACAAGTCCGACTGGGTAAGCACAGGGCCGTCTGCGACACATCAGAATACAGTGCAAAGTTATGAAGACGTAGTCACCAACGTACAATGCGTTCCCACTGCCCATTTTCCGACGTTGTCAGACATTTCGGCGGGACAAAGCGTGAAGAAAGGAACAACTGTCGAGCTCGCGAGCGACTAAAATTGCGGAGCAATGGTCTGCCAGTGAACTTTGAAAGTGTGAGGATTGTGCACGCCCATAGTAGCGCTTCAACTAATCTGATGAGATAGCGAACTGATTTGGCGACGATTTTCGTTTCTGCAAGACTCGTCGACAAGATGCAGGAACAAGCACGCCCGCGACTCAGGGCATTATAAGTATTATTCCATTCAGGGGGTTGTTCGACCGATGCGTTTAGTTTTGCCCCAGGGACTAGTATGATGCATAGTCACACAGAGGCACAAATTGTGAGGTCGCTCTTGGATTACTAGCCGCTGGCAGCAGCAAACAGCTTGCAGGAAGATTAGATTATCTCGCACCGATCAGGCTTGCTTTCCACCTCTGCAGCCTAGATCATAAATATACCATTCCCTTTGAGCATCACGCGTTTCCTAAGCTAACATCGTCGAACATAAAGTCTCCTAGCCTCAACGATGGCACCAAAGGGAGGCAACGCAAAGAAGGAGAGCGGGCGGGCAAAAAAGGCAGAAAACGAGGCTAAGAAGAACGCAGCCGCTGAGGCAGAGAAAGTATGTCAAACCCAACGTTTTCAAATTGATTAGTCTAACCAGTGAAGTAGGAGCGAAAAGAGGCGGAGAAGTGGCAGGACAATGAAAAGGCCAGTAAATCCAAGGCGGATAAAGAGGAGAAACGGCGAGCGGAACTGGCTCGAAAGGCGGAGAACGCGCGACTCCTGGCGGAGGAGGAAGCGTCAGCACCGCCAAAGGTTAAGGCTGCCCCCAAGGCAGGCACCTCCAAGAAGGCTGCGCCGAAGAATGCTAAACCTGCTGGTCCTGGAGCAATTGCTGCCGGGGGAGGCCTCAGTGCAGTCTCGGCGGACGAGAAGGTCAAGGACGAAAAACCAGAGGAGCCTGAGGTGTTCGCCGCGACTGGTATCGACAATGCTCTGGATCTTCTCGAGGTAGTGACAGCTAAGATGGACAAGGCGAGTGTTGGACAGCAGGCAGCTGGACTCGAGAGGCATCCAGAAGTATGAACGTTTGAACTTTTGGCCGATTGATTACATTTACTGATGTATCGGAACATGTTGTTCAGAGACGTTTCAAGGCCGCATTTGAGGCATACAAAGAACGCGAATTGCCAAATCTCAGAGCCAAGGTATGTGTGCCATGGCCTGTCCTGTCTGCATGGCCTGTTAAAATGCATCTGGTCTTAGCACCCGGGGCTGCGACTACAACAGTATCAAGTAAGGTCTTCTATCATGATATTCCGAGGCGGTGCTTTACACTATCCGTAGGAGCTATTGTTCAAACAGTTCCAGAAATCGCCAGAGAATCCGTGAGTGTGACCCCTCGGCGTCGTTCTAAGCCCTCATGTAAATGCCCTCCAGATTCAATCAAGTCACAGTGTCTCACGACGCCACAAAGGATGAGAAGGTCGCTGCGCTCAAAAAGAAGAACGCTGCCGTGGAGGAAAGGCTGCGGGCCTGAAGCAGTGCATCTAGACCCTCCCTGATATGTCCGTTTACCTGTTCGCGCGTGTGTTGACGTTGAGTAAAGCTCGACTCTAGGAAGCATGCATTACCAATAGTGCTAGGGGGGAAAATCCCAAGGCATGTAAATAACGGTCGGTATCGCCAAGATCCAAACATTAGAAACACAGGGTCCTGTGAGAAATGCAAGCGGTGCTTGTGGCGTAGTGCGCAGTCAGGAATTTCGGATCGCATAGAAAAATTGTACGAGACTTGGAGCAAAAGTTGTAACGCCATAGGACATTTGTATTCTCAACCATGATAAAGCACTGCAATCGACTTTCCCTTCAGATGACAGCCATAAATCAATTTAGGAAATATATTGCACTTGGTAGTGGCGAAGACTGAATGAAACATGGGTTTCCAAGCTGAATCAGCCTGTGCAATTGAGAAGGTCATGGCGTAGCCAGATGCGATGGTCTGCACCGGAAGCGCGGTAGCATCGTGGTTGACACTGGACAGAACAAATTGCTATGTCCGGCCTGTGGGCCCGTGCAAAGCCAAGCCCGTGAGGCGAGCTCGGCATATTTGATGGCTTATGTAATTGCGTATTTTTGCATAAGTACAGCGGGCACTCTTCTGAGACCTGCATCTCTCTCGCTTTGTCGAGCAAATCACTATAGCTCATCATGGATTCACCTTCAGCATCGATTCCTTCATCGCCCTCATTGACAAGCAACTCAGGTCCATCCACGCCGCACCGCACGAACACCTTGGTAATTACGCAGTTACCTGCGTCATTTTTCGAGCAGGTTGTGCTCGACACGCTACACAATCATTTCGCGTCCTATGGTCCTGTATATGCGTGGGCTCCTCTCAAATCATTTGCTAGGATCCTTCTAGTGTACTACTCGGAGGATGATGCCGAGCATGCAAAGGTAGACTGCGACTTTCTGTTTATTGGAGCAACGCCAAGTAGGTATGTACTGTGCGCAATGCAGTACAATTATGTATAACTCACCATGTTGTAGTCCAGCAACGACGCTGCGAGTGTACCGCGCGGACCCCACTCCTATTGTGTCGTCGGGGAATTCAGCCAAAGATAACATGTATCTACGACCACCGGAGCACGAGAAGAACTTCCTCATCTCTCCGCCTGGTTCTCCCCCAGTGGGCTGGGAGCAGATACGCGAGGACCCGCCAAATTCGACGCCATTAGCGGCAGATTTGATAACAGCGCTTCGCCGACTGCAGTTGCAAGAGGAGCAGAGAAGTGGACCAGGCTTGGCGGTGTTGCTCGAGCCCCAGGATGGTGTCGGTATTGGTGTTTATGTCGAGGATTGCGACGGAGACGGAGCAACCCAGGCAGAGGAAGAACAGGACTGGGTGTATGGGGAGATGTCCCCTGCGCGTGCGAGATGGAGGCCAGTGCCAACTGCGCTGCCGCCAATGTCGATAGGCGCTTGAAGACTCGACGTAAGTATCTGATTCTCAGCCCCTAGTACTTCAAGTGCTGCTTTCATATGATGATTCATTATCAGACCTGTACCGAGTATCTTTACGAGTATGCGGATACTCCATATTGCCTTTTTTGCTCTGATCCTTTTCGTTCTAATGTGTCATCATACACGAGCGCTGACCACCTTAAATCAGGATGCCTTCCACGAGTTTATACATATCGCTTCCATCCGCCAATGGTGAGTCTCTCTCCATCTTTTCTCATTGATGAGAACCATTCAGACCTGTTCTGACCATGAATATTCTCGTGGAGAAAATCAAAATATTGCCAATTGTTCCTTCTGAAACTTTTTAACCTTGATCCAGCTATGGTGAAGAACTCAGCTGACTTGATGTTTCTGTTCAGGATCCGAATTTTCTGGCATTGAGAGCGCTCAGTTCCGCCTCGTAAATTGATGTCAGACTATACGTTATAGATTATTTCATGCATGTGTATTTGTATCTCATCCATTCTCGTGGACTCTTTTACGTGTATATTACAAACTATGGCTTGTTCAAAGGACCTGTATCGCGTAGTGGAAAACAAGGAAATCATTCCAATGTCTGAATATGTTTTCAAAACTAGGACTAGTTAATGGCAACGACTCTTGTTGGCAAGATCCTGTGAAATTTGAGTACGTTGGAGGCTTCCGAGAAAGGCATCTGAGGAGCGCAAGGGAGAAGTGTCCGACGACAACATATGGGCGCCTAATTGCATGCAAATAGAAAACAATGAGTGGGAGAGACAATAGACAATCCGCGTACCCGAGGACAACAACTTCGGCAACCATGGCAATAAAAGCACTCCGCATGGCCTTTTCAAGCCTCTGTCTTCGTTTTTCTCCCTCGTCTTTTCCCTCTCCTCCTACTTCACGACCTCTACCCCATTTCCTGTGAGCCTGAGATGCTCGCGAGCCTTCTTTTCATTCCTTTTCTTTCTAGCGTAACTGTCGGTGAGTGTAGATATGCTACTTGGATTCGCGTCAACTGACCCGGGTTTGAACCTGGAACCAGCCGCACAGTCTGTTTCAGTCGTCTGCGTTGCGGGTCAATGCCTTGAGGGATTCACGAATACCACTCGTGAGTGTCGAGTTTGTTGATTCTAGCCAGCTGCTTACACTACCCAGTTGGAGCGACACTATCAGCGTCGGGCGCTGCCACAAGCCTTCACCTCCTTCCTGGAGAATATTCATCTACCACCAACCCGGAACTACTCCATGGCCTCCTCACTTCGTCAAGCGCGTCGCTCTCTGCATCTCCGGGGTTCTTGGTGAATTCAACTGTATCTCTTCCGTTTGATCTGGCTCTCCAACCTGGCATCGCTTCTTATCCCGGTGCCAACTTCTCGGGCCAGGCCACTTTCACCTCGCTCCCCACAAATGTTTCCACGACGAACAGTTCCAAGCAGCTTTCTGCAGGGTCTTTCGCATTGGCATCAAATACTTGGGCATCTTTCGCCGGTGCAGCGTCGAACGATCGCGTTATTTTCTGGGACTCGGTTTCCGACGTCTCGCAGTTGCCTGCAAGCACGGTGGGCAATCCCCTTACACTGGTTGATATGCAGTCGTCTTCGTGCTCTACCCCTTGTGCGGCTGCGGGCGTGTGCTCTGCATCAGGGACATGTGTCTGCCCAACCGGATTCACCGGCTCTTCCTGCGAATCCTGCGCGTCAAACTTCTTCGGACCTACATGCCAGGCCTGTCCCGCAGATTGTGAACAGTGCGACGATGGCATTCAGGGCACTGGACAATGTCTAGCTCTGAAGGTCAACGATCCTCCATCTAGCTGCAATTGTGTCAACGGTGTCTGTGGGAGCAACGGTGAATGCTCGTGCAATGCCGGTTGGACTGCTGCTTCCAACGGTACGGCGTGTGCGACCTGCGCACCGGGGTATTTCTTGGATTCAAGCGGCAACTGCGAGAGTACGTGGTCCATTATACTTTGCCGCGTGCATGATAATTAATAGACATATGAAGTTTGCGAGCTAGGTTGTGTGGAGTGTGCTAATGGAACTGGTGACTGCATCACCTGTAAGTCTGGCTTCACACAGAATGCCAACGATGCCACGAGCTGTGTCGCCATCGCGTCAACAACGTCCAGTGGTACGGTCTGTCCTGATGGAAGTTTCAGCAACGGTACAGCATGCGCTGCATGCTCACCTCTATGCCAGACTTGCAATGGCGCAACGTCTAATGATTGCATTATTTGTGCCTCAGGCACGTACAGTCTTAACGGTAGCTGTGTCTCCACAAACAGCGAGGGTGTGTGTGAGAACTCCAAGTTGGTTGCCAACAATAACAAGCATGAATGTGACAGTAAGTGACTTAATGAGACATGCAGCGCATATTTACTCATAATTTGCAGGCTGTCCTGCAAAGTGTACTGCATGCGGGATTCCGAACTTCAGCGTTGCGTCTACGATCAACCAGGCCCAGTGCACTGACTGTCTTCCCGGCTACGTGCTTTCGGACGGCCAGTGTATCGAGAGCTGTCCTTCGGGAACGTTTCTGAGCCCACAAGACAACCTGACCTGCACTGGTAAGCACTCATCGTAGCTCTCTGTCTTGGCACACGATAACATTGTTCGCAGCTTGTGACACGTCCTGTGGCACCTGCGCAGGCGCTGCAGACTTCTGTCTCTCGTGTGCAAATAATGAGCTCGCGTCAAACGGAACATGTGTTTCGTCATGCCCATCGAACACGTTCACCTCATCTGGTTCATGCTTAGCATGTCACCCCGATTGTGCCACCTGTTCTGGCGGCTCGTTCAATCAATGCTCCAGCTGCAACTCCGATCTCCCGGTCCTTACGAATGGACGATGCCTATCCACATGCGCTCAGGACCAGTTCTTCGACTCTACATCTTCTACCTGTCAATCCTGCGATTCAAGTTGCTCCAGCTGTTCAGGGTCAGGTCCCAGTAACTGCCTTGCTTGCTCGAGCTCTACCCAAATCCTCCGCGGTGGGACATGCGTTGCAGCTAATTGTGGCAACTCTAGCAGTGTCGTGCCAGGACTTGGGATTTGCCTGTCTGATCTGGTTCAAACGACAACATCCGGAAGCGCCGCTATCCCAACGATCACCGGCATCAACAGCCCCGCGACGAGCACCACTAGCAGCTCGCATCTGGCATGGTGGGAGATCATGCTCATGGCGCTCGGTTGTGCATTCATTTTTCTAGTCATTGTCGTAACATGGAGGAATCGCATGCGCCGAAAGCGCGCTCAGGCCACTGCCGCGTTCGCTACGGCCAAACGTCTCAATCCGTCACGCAGCTGGCGTTGGCGCATCGCGCGCTTCGGAGAACGTCTCTTTGGGCGTGCACCGCGCCAGCGGTGGACTCCGCCTGAGGATATGGAGGAGGTCAAGTTGGACAAGCTACGCGCGGCAGAGGAGGCACGCCACGACCGCGCGTTGGAGAAGCGGGACGAGTACGAGTATGGCTCGCGTCATGAGCCCTCGCCGCTCCCATCGCTGTATGACTACTACACCGACTCACACGGACAGGCTAAGCAGCACGGCGACCGGCACTCGGCGGTGTCACTTTCACAGGGCTCGCTGTACACACCGATTACGGGTGTGCCGCGACGCGCGCCGGAGCCGCGCCAGCCGACGAGGAATCCGCGAGATTTGTTGCCGTCGCGTTTCTCGGACACGACGCTCGGTTCGCACGACGCTCGCGAGCGTGAACGCGCTAGCGCCAGGACACCGGCGCAGGAGTACGCTTGGTCTGTCACCCAGGCACAGGACATGCCGCGGGGATCGTACTGGCTCAAGCCCACGTCTACAGGCTCAACAAACCCGTTCCGCCGATGACATTTATGATTCCCCTCAGGTTATTTGATTGGACCTTGTATTGCATGGATAGTTTTGTATAGATCTACATCATGGCTAGTCCACGAGCTTTCACTTTCACGACTTTCGTTTCCCCGCCACATAACACACCTACCATACCTGTATCATCGTGTAATCACTCTGTATCCCTACCTTGACATCGTCTGCTAGCAATGGAATATATCATAGCATATTATACAGTGATCCACAACAGCAGCGTTATATACCACTAGGATGCACACGGATACGTGGACGTCCAATAGGCTCTGCTGCGAATAAAAGTGTTCGGAAGTAAAAGTGCCATGTAAAAGTGCCTCCGAGAACCCGCTCAGCACGCACAACCCCCCGCTTCCTTTTGTTCCTCGAGACCACGACCTGGTGTAACAGTCCCTGCCTTGGAAGCATTTGCTGCTGGCTCCGGCGCGATGTCGACGCTTGAATGTACAGTCAGTGCCACTCCTTGCCAAATGTCCAATCGAGTTCGCGCACCTCTCCTTGATCTGCTTGGACATTGTCAAGAATGCCTCTTCGACGTTGCTCGAGGTCTTCGCGGAAGTCTCGATGAAAGGGATTGCAAGCTCGTCCGCAAATTCCTAGTAGAAAATTACAGCCCGTTGCAGCAGAAGCCACAACGATGACTTACCTTCGCTGACCCGTAGGCAACCACCTTCCGTTCAACCAAGTCGGATTTATTCCCGATGAGGAGCTTCTTCACATTCTCTGATGCGTAACGCTCAATCTCTTGTAGCCACCCCTTGACATTGTCGAATGACTCTACAGCCGAGCAGTTAGACAGAAAGAACGCATGAGACGACGTGTACCACACACCGGCGTCCGTCACGTCGTAAACGACGACAATACCGTGTGCTCCGCGGTAGTATGCAGCAGCGATTGTGCGGAATCGTTCCTGGCCTGTCAACATAATGTGAATATAGATACATTCGTCTCAAGCAGAACTCAGCCCACCTGCTGTGTCCCACTACCCAGATGGCATTAAGTAGTCATGAGCATTAATTCATTTCACTGCGGCACCTCCCGCCGCGACCGACGCTACTCAGGGACACTCACGATTTGCAGCTTCACCATCTTTCCCTCCAGCTCAATTGTGCGGATCTTGAAGTCGACTCCGATAGTACTGAGGTAGCTGTCTGTAAAAGCATCCTCGGCGAAACGTAGCAGCAAACATGACTGTCCGAATGGCGCTAGCTTAGCGGCGGCAGCCTGGTCTACAGGAGCTGACTGACCTTGCCAACACCAGAGTCACCAATTAGAAGCAGCTTGAAAAGGTAGTCGTAGCCGTCTGGCATGGTAGCTGTCACCGACAAGGTACCGAGAAAGTCGAATAGTTATGGTCCGCTTGGCTGAGGTAATGCGAGAACGAAAGTCGGAAACACCGCTATGCTGTGGGTGCAAGAAACAAGCCGGGTGTGGTGAGCAGGAGCGACTTAGCACGGATCAGAGGACGGCGGTGAGGCCTCATCATGTCGCAGTTTTAACTATCCGGCGCTCGTCGTCGTGGGCGCAGCCACCCGGCGAACATCGTCACTCAGCGTTCATCAAGCGTTCATCACTCGATTCAGAATCACTGCCGCTTCCGAGATTGAGTGATACAAATGGGTACCAGTCAAAACACCAGCGAACACATTGCATGGATTCTAGTCCGAGATGCCGTAAAGTAAGATACAATAACAAAAAATCATGCCGTGTACTCCAGTTTGCCTGTAGAAACACGTCAGCTACGAACCGCAGCGAACTATAGAAGATCGTACTCTCATGCTTCTTCGCTTCGGAAACTTTCCGTGCGGCCTTCGTCAAATCCTCTTGGTTGACGTATTCCCTACAAAAGGAGAGTGCATGAGCCCATCAGCAACTGCAATGTTAACGGATCTCGCACCTGTCGTCTCGAATCGCGAACATGCCAGCCTCAGTGATGACATTTCGCAAGTCAGCACCATTAAACCCGTCAGAGAGCTACATGGTTTCAGTTGTCAGAGACATGGTACTAAATGAAGAGAAGCAGTGTGCACACCTTCACAATGGACTCGTAATCAATCTCTTTGTCTTTATTCACAGGCCCGGCATGGATCTTCAGAATTTCTAATCGTGCTTGTTCATTCGGCAGAGGGATTTCAATTTTGCGGTCCAATCGCCCAGGTCGCATCAGCGCAGGGTCGAGTGTGTCTGGTCGATTTGTCGCCATTATGAGCTTCGTCCGTCCAAGGGAATCAAACCCGTCCATTTGATTCAACAGCTAACATGTCATAGTGAGATGCAGGAGCCAGTCACAAGAAACATATAAAAGAAACGACATACCTCCATGAGCGTCCTTTGAATCTCCCGATCCGCACTCGTACCCTCTGAGAACCGTCGCCCACCAATGGCATCGATTTCATCCATGAAGATGACACAGGGTTCGTGCTCCTTTGCGTAGCCAAACATCTCACGTACAACTCTCGCCGACTCGCCGATGTACTTGTCGACTATTGCTGACGAGACAACCTTAAGGAAGTTGGTCTGTAATGTTGCCGCCACTGCACGGGCAAGAAGTGTCTTGCCCGTCCCGGGAGGCCCATACAAAAGAACACCTTTTGGTGGCTTGATGCCAACGCGTGTGAATAGTTCAGGGTTAAGCAAAGGCAGTTCGATGACCTGGACAACGAGGTGAGTGGAGAAATCGGCCACCGGCCCATGTTCGTACCTCTCGAAGCTCTCGCACTTGGTCTCCGAGGCCACCAATACCTGCAAAGGACGCATTTCCAGGGTCTTCTAAGCTCATCTTGTAGACAAGAGGATCAACCTCCCGCGGAAGAATACGCATGATAGTCAATGTGGTCATATCGAGACTGACACGCGTCCCGGACTTGAGTTTCGCTGCTGGAAGTGTTGGTCTGTAGGATACGACGTAGCGGGGCCCAGAAGATGCCTTCACGATGACTATTCTCGATGAGTAGCATTATCTCAAGGAAGACTTCATGTACTTACATCGTTCATCGTCTAGTTGCTTCATGACCTCTCCAATAATCTGCCCAACTGACTGGACAGCTTTGATATCATCCTCCGTCTTCGCATACTCTTTCTCCAAGTCCTTGAGAGCGAATCTGACTATAGGAAAAGCATGAGACAGAGACCACTAGGATAACAACTCGACTGACGGTTCTTTAAGCTCTCACTACTCGACTCATGGTGCCGCATTTTCTAGTCCAATGAGTTAACGAACACATTCTACCAAACAAGTATGACACTCACATCTCTATAGCCTTTGAGGGCATCTTTTCTGCGTTGGTCCATTCCCGCAGATGTCGACGGTTGTGATGTGCTCATGGTAAATGCGAGAATAGTTAAGGTCAAGTGCGCGAGCTTGCGCGTCCTCAGCGCGACGCGTCTCTGACATAAGCGCCCGATGCAATATTGTTGGAATTTCATGGTGTCAGTCCAGGTTAACTCCTCGCCTTCACGTTCCACCGGGTTGGTCTACTGTCCGCATTGCTAGAGACAATTCATTTTGACCGTATGACTTATTGCATCGAGCTCGATACCCACAATCCGCAACAATGCCGACTCCTGGCGATACATCTTCTGATTATTTCGACGACGACCCCAACTTCTTGCAAGCCTTGCACGATGCTGTTCTTGACGGAGATCTTGATCCTTCTGTTCCAGTGCAGCAAACACGGTCTATCAGTCCTATAGACGTGGACGAGTTTGAGATGCCTCCCCCAGCGCAACCGTCGTTGAAGCGACCGCGGTCTCCTGCGGAGGACCTTGAAGGCTCAACATTTCACCAGATTATCGACTCTGTGGCTGCCTCAGCGGATAGTACTTCGTATCTGTCCTCGCATACTTATGGAGCCTCACGTTTTGGGGATTTTGGTGAATACATGGCACGAAAACGTGCCAAACTGCAAATTCAGAATACCGAAATGATCGATGAAGACAACGACTCCTCTCCGACGGCCACAATTTTTCGTGGTTTGCAAGTATATGTATGCGTAGAGAGCTTCCGAATGTTGTTCCTCTGACTGATGTGTGTCGGGCGGAATTAGATCAACGGCTGGACAGAACCATCGGTGCAGGAATTGCGCGAGCTCATTATACAGCATGGGGGAATATACCACGCATATTTAGACAAAAAGAGTCTGGTGTGAGTCTGTTCTCTACTATTGCTCGGAACGGTGCTGATGGGTGTGCAGTACCCATATTTTGACATGTTCGCTGACACCTGCAAAGATACGTGAGTTCAAACACATGAAGGTAGTTCGCCCAGAGTGGCTGGTAGAAAGTGCCCGGGCCGGCCATTTGCTTCCATGGCAAGATTTCATCTTCAGACCAGGTGAACGAACTGAACAGTCGCAAGGCAAAAGAATAGGACAACAGTCCTTGTTTGATAAATTTGTCTCCCAAGCCCGAGTGAGACCTTCAGAAGCGAAGGCGCCCCCTGTCGCCACACAACGTGCACCAAGTAATGTTCAAGATGATGATGATTCCGTGGAAGGTCCCCCTACAGTGCCACTTTACGGGCGGTCGCCGTCGATTACACCACCCCAAACGCCGACGAAGGAAAGGCAGCCTCATATATCAAAGCCTCTTTTCACAACGGATCCTACAACGCCTGAACACGCTTCACGAGTTGTTGGATATGCGGCACACACATCCAACCCCATCGCAGAGCGAGCAATGGCAAATCCAGCTTGGCGCGCAGCGCATACGTCTGCCGCGCCAGATTTTATTGAAGGGTATTACAAGAACTCGCGCTTACACCACCTCTCCACGTGGAAGGCAGAGCTAAAGAATCTCGTTGCCGAGGCGCAGGAGCACATCGAGAACGGAACTGTGTCCTCATGGAATCATCTTCCGGATGGCACAGAGACCGCTGTGGGTAAGATTATGCAGCAGAACATCGGTGGGTTAGGACGTGATGACCCTCGTGAGGAGGATGTCAGCATGAGAGGTGCACACTTGGTAGCAGGACCGTCAAATAAGGTGAAGGGAAAAGAGCGCGCTGCCGCCGCTGAGCAATCAGTGATCATGCACTGTGATTTTGATAGTTTCTTCGTATCGGCTGGTTTGCTCGACCGTCCCCATTTGCGTGGAAAGCCTGTCGTGGTATGTCATTCGCAAGGAAATCAAGGTGGAGGAGCGAGCACAAGCGAGATTGCTAGTGCAAGCTATGAGGCGAGAAAGTTCGGAATCAAGAGCGGTATGAGGTATGAGAATCATTGAAATATTTCCGTTTATCACTTATTGATTCGTTTATGGGGTTAGTTTGCAGCAAGCGCGTAGACTCTGTCCCACTGTACTGACCATTCCTTATGAGTTTCAGAGGTGAGCCTGGAGTAATGGTCCAGCAGAATAGACCCTCAACTGTCCTGTAGATATAAGAAATTGTCTTTACAATGCTACACGGTTCTGATGGCGCATGCCGATGATCTACAAGCTGTTTCAGTAGATGAAGCACTCATAGACGTCACCAGCAGTGTCGCGCGCATTCGCAGAGAGATCAGCCGCAGTCAAGATCCCAGTTCGTCTCCCGTAGATCCTGCCAAAGAATTTGCCGAAGCCATTCGGGCGCAGGTGAAGAAAGTGACTGGATGCGAAGGTATGTTTCGACACCTGAATTGCCTGTTGTACTCATAGCTGCCGCAGTAAGCGTAGGGATCTCGTATAACATTATGCTCGCTCGCCTTGCGAGCCGCAAGGCTAAGCCAGCCGGGTCTTTTCATATCATTCCGGATGATGTTCCAGAATTGCTGGCGCCATTAGATATCGACGATCTGCACGGGTTTGGGTACGCGGCGCGCCAGAAAGCCCTAGAGAAGCTGGGAGCTACAAAGCTTGGGGAATTAGTGAAGAAGAGCAAAGCAACTCTATGTGAGGCACTTGGAAAAGGGATGGGCGAGACCCTATATAAGGCTCTTCGAGGTGTCGACGAGCGCAAGCTCGAGTCGGATAAGCCGCGCAAATCGGTGTCTTGCGATATCAACGTAAGTTAATGACCTCCCTCTTCGTAGCCTTGTCAAACTTTTGTCCAGTATGGAATACGGTTCGAGAACAACGAACAAGCCGAAGCGTTCATATCTCAAATGGCTGAAGAAGTCGCACGACGGCTCAATAATATCGGTATGATTGGACGATCGTTGACGTTGAAAATTATGAAGCGGGCTGCTGATGCCCCTGTTGAGGCACCGAAGGTAAGCGTATAAGATTTTTCTGTTCATAATTTTCTAATGACGCAGAACTACAGTTCCTTGGCCATGGTATCTGCGATACATTTAACAAACAAACACCCCTAATTGCTCCTGGTAGTCGCGCCACCAGTGATAGGAAAGTCATTGGTGAACATGCCTGGAGGCTCTTAAAGAGCTTTCATTTTGACCCCAAAGAACTGCGCGGTATCAGCATACAAATCCAGAAACTGGAAAAGAATTCTGAAGTGTCCGCTACTGAGTCCGGACAAGCCGTCTTGCCATTTAAACCCAAGTCAGTTCCAGATACCAAAGATGCACCGATCGATCCCGTGCCTGTTCAAGATCGTCGTCGGGAACCCGGGATCGTCGTCGAGCCACCTTCACAGGAGCTAGATGCGATTCAGCTAGCTCCATCTCCTGATCGACCTGTGGCACAGGCGGTACTGGACCTTCCCTCATTTTCTCAGGTTGACATGTCGGTATTTCAGGCCCTGCCTGACGATGTGCGCAAGGAGCTGGAGACAGAGTATCATCGTAGGTCTATAACACCTGGGTTGCAAACAGACCGTGTATCCCGTAGTCGCTCGCCTTCTGTCGCGGTGGATCCCAAGTTCAAGATTACGGTGAAGGGCGCGAACGTGAAGCGGATTACGCAACAGCTAGCGCCGCGGAGCAGACCTAGTATCTCGCCCAAGAAGAACACGCTATTCGCGAAACGGAGCGGGTCGTCTGCGATACACGTGTCGGAATGGGAGTTACGGAAGTTGAATATCGATCCGGGTGTGTTTGCGATGCTGCCTGTGGATGTGCAGAAGGAACAGCTTGCGGCGGCGCGTGGGGGCGAGAGGCCTGGGGCGTCTGTCTATGTTGGAGAACGGAAGGTGCTGAAACCTAGCAGCAAAGTGTCGTCGTCGTTCGTGCCGTACCGGGCGCCCCCGCCGCAGGCAAAGTACCTGCAGCCTCCGTTTCTGAAGCAACAGGGCAAGGTCAAGGGAGAGAAGCTCTACTTCACTGAAACCGACGACGTCCAGCGAGTGATTGAGACATGGGTGGACGGATTCAAGGAATTCCCTCCTAATCAGAAAGACGTGGACTACTTTGCGAAGTTTTTGGTCCAATGCGTGGATAGCTCAAGGTCGAGCGACACGGGAGTCGAAAAGGCTGTGGCTGTCGTGAAATGGTGGCGAGTGCTACTCAGACGACACTTTGCGGTTTGGGAACATGCGGCGGACGATGTTCCTGAGGTCGGGAATAAAGTCACTTCGGAGCGCGTGGGGTGTGCTTGGTGGGCTGCCTTTCGGGAGGTGAAGGCCAAGATGGACGCCGTGGCAAGGAAAAAATTCGGGGGGTCTCTTTCGTTGAAATAACCTCGATGCTTGGTCTCCTGGAACTTGTTTCGCATCGCGCGAGCCCGCCGCACGGAATTTACTAGGTGACAGACGACCACCGGGCTGCATTCTTCAACACTTTCCTAATTCGATATCCATTCTTGCGCGCCACATCCGATCGGGGGTCGATCAGTGACACTTGGCACTGAACGAACATGTCGCATTTCCATGAGCATGAGCATGAGCATGCCCATGCGTTCTCGGCTGCAAACAAGGAGCATTTTGACAAGACCGCTCACGAGTTCGACGAACGCCCTCACGCACAAGCTCTTGCCCGAAGCCTCGCAGCTGCGATGCGGACCAGATATCCCGATCTGTTCATTGAGGATACCACAGCCATGATGGAATATGCTTGTGGTACCGGTATGTAAATGGCTATCTATCACCCGGTGGGCTGCTCAAAAAAAGTGGATAGGCTTGACATCGCGGGAACTGTGCCCGTACGTCAAGTCCGTTGTCGGAGTCGACATCAGCAGCGGCATGGTGGAGCAATTCAACTTGAAGGCCTCAAACCAGGGCCTCGCTCCAGAGGAGATGAAGGCCCTCTGCATCGAGCTGAAGGGCAGCGATGACGAACTCGATGGGCAGAAATTTGATGTGATCGTGGTCAGCCATTTCCCCCGATGCATGGCTATTTAGTGGTATTTGACAATGCCGCCTCCAATTTAGTGCACATTGTCTTACCATCATTTTCCGTCTGTTAAAGAGGTCACTCGAGTACTGGCCTTTTTCCTAAAGCCCGGGGGCTCTTTATTGGTGTCGGATGTACAAAAAGGCAGCCTGAAGGAGGATATTTTTGCCGACCACCCACATATCGTCGCCCATCAACGCGGGTTCGACGAGGGAGAGATGCGATCTGTTTTCGAGGGCGCGGGATTAACAAGTTTTGAGTTCTCCGTGGTATGCTCTGGCAAGCTGCATGGCAGACCTGTTGACTTCTTCCTCGCGCGGGGATTGGCGAGAACAGCTCTCCAGTCATTCTAGCCGCCCGCAATCCTAATTCGACCAGAATTGTAACGTACATATCGTCAAACAAAGACTACTATTTTCTCCCTCTCTGCGATCATCGCTATCATACATCTTGAGATCAAGCTGCTACACTCTCAAGCAATTCCTCGACTAGCTGGGTTGCCTGCTTAGAACGAGGGCGTATATCGCAAAGAAACGGCATAGGTCGACTGCATCTCAGCGTAAGCGGCACTGGACCGAGGCATACATTCGGGACCGTACCTGGCCATACCAGGACTGAAAGCAGGTGCGGGCGTGATTTCTGCCCCAGCTGAATCACGGGCCTTGCGGATGTCGAGGGTTGCCACGATCCTCGCGATAGCAAGCCAGAGGCTGATATCCCCGAGATCGAGTCCAGGGCATGCTCTGCACGATCCAGTAGTCGTCGACAATGAGATAAGCAGATTCACAGCGAAGCATACCGTCGACCAAATCCAAATACTGCCCTGCGCGGGTCCATCGTCCTTGCATCTGTCGCATCCCTCTTCTCGAAACGCTCTGGTTTGAAGCGCTCTGGTTCGGGGTATATGTTAGGATCTCTCATCATACCCCTGCGTACTGGAGCTGTGAGTCTCTTCTAGGCGACTCAGCCTGTGGAGATGCAAACCAAATATTGGCGATGACCATCGACCCTCCCGGGATGCTATAGCCGTCATACTCGTCGTCCTCCTTGACACGATGCGCAACGCCTGAGATTGCCGCATATGTGCGGGAGTGAACGCGGTTCTGACGTTCGCAAGAGAGTACTGACCAAGTGGGGAGGACGGATTCCACCTGGAGGAGGCCCACGATTAGAGCTGGGGCGGCTATTCTACTCTGCGCAGGACCGTACCGGTATGTTTCTTTCAGCACGCACTCAAGGTATGGCAGTGCATCTCGGTCCTCCAAATCAGGAAGACGCGCGCATCCCACCACGCCGTCCATTTCAGCTCGTGCCTTTTGCAAGACCGCAGGATGGAGCACCATGGCCAGGACGAACGACACGAGGGCGGTCGCAACCTGTGGTATCCACGCCGTGATGAAATCTCACCGGACGAGACACCAGACAAGACGTACGGTCTCCGAACCGGCTAAAAAGAGCTGAGTGCGTCAACGAGAAACAAGGAGATTGGCTATATGTACCGATGTAAAAGATATTTGATACGCATTTCAGTTCGTTTTCCTCCTCCGGGGTCAGCTGTCCGGTTTTTTCCTTGTCCTCGAGCAGGGATCTGAGGAACGAGGGCTTGGCGACGCCCAATGCCTGCAAAGGCGGCACATGAGACTTCCGAGCATTAACATGGGACGCCATAGCCACCATTTCGCGCCTCACGATCTCATAGGGGGTGCTCATCATGGCTTGCACCAGTTTCCGGGTCTTCAGCGCGCGTCGTTTGAAGCCTGCGCCGGGCATCCATTCCGGCATGTGGCGCACTAGTAGGGAGGGGGTGTGAGCGTGGACGAGGCTGCGGGTATGGGGCGATCTGCGTACGGATGGGGACCAGGTCCACCGCTGTGGAGGCGAAGTTGCCCAGCGTGAACGTCTCGTCCAGCGCTCTGTCCGCAAGCACCACGAGCTCGTCGTCTGCGGATTGGACCGGATACCCATAGGCGATCTGCATCATCAGTGCGCTCGGATACCTGCGAACGTCTTTGGGATGAGCATCGTCCCACGAGCGTTCGGCCGTCTTACCGACCTCTTGACGTGTGAGATGAAGTCCCCGGGTGCCCGAATCAGGTCGGTCAGCAGCCTCAGCGACTCGACTTGCTGGATAGGACGATGGCTCTCGAGCGCCTGCGTTGTGCCGACCGAATTGTGGACCCAGCGACGCTGCCGCCGCCACTGGTCGTTGTGCGGGAGGAGGACCAGGTTCGGCTTGAAGCCGATTCTGCACAGCGGGTCGGTATCAGCGCGAAGATCACACTAGTACTAGGGCGCACACGTCGTCAAGCATGACCATGTTCGGTCTGTCTGAATAGATGGCACCCCTCTTGTCCAGTAAGTCTTCTGCGACCTCCAGCGAGTTGAGGATGATCGCGTCGACGTTGAAAAATCTCGCGTAGACGATGGGACCTGGACTCGGGGCGTCCGCTCAAGTAGGCGTCCCAAGATCAGCGCTGAACACGCACCAAACTGCCTGCCCCATGCGGCAAAAGTGTGCTGATGATATTCAAGTAGTTGGTGTGCATTTCCCAAGACAGGGACGGGAGTGGGCCCGGGGGGGAGACGTGCTCTGCGGCCAGCCCATCGAGCGCAGTAGGCAAAGTAGGAGGCGAGGGCCAAAATGGCTGCGCCAGCGAGGGCGGGGATGGATGCCATCGCGGTGTTGGGTATAGCCAGTCGTACAGTGGCAGGGCATTATATACCGAGAGTGCTCGGACCCTCTCGTAGGGCCTATCTGAATGGTGCCACAACTCTGCCATCGCGCTAGATAGAAGGACTCACGGTGGGCTCGCTCATTGGTCCGGTTTGAATTTTCGGTGTGATCCTCACGCAGAAGGCCGCATTCATCGGATCCTTTGTGGCAAGGACAGCGTCTAACCTACTACATCTCACAGTCATGTCGAGAAATCACTGCACCTGCGGACGGGTTTAGTGGAACACGCTGTATTCAACATCTTTCTCTACACCATCTCCAAGCAGACCCCGTCGTAGACCGCGATTTCACGCTACAGTGGCCGCCATCGCTTCAACCAGCGCGACAGCTCTCTGGGATCGTGGGCGAACATCGCAAACAAAGTCCACGACGTGGCTGGGTGACCAGGCATCAGTCACAGCACACAGTACATACGAGCGGGATGCACACCTAGCAGCACCGGACGTGAATGCAGGCAGAGGGGTGATTTCCGTTCCGTCCGCATCGCGGGCCCTGCGTACATCGAGTGTCGCGACCATCCGAGCTACGGCCAGCCAGATGCTAGCATCCCCGAGCAGGCGTCCAGGGCAGATCCTGTCCCAAGCCATTCAGCGTGTGCCGCCCGAGTCTCGAACCGAGCCGCACCGTCGACCGAATCCGAAAACCACCCTGCGCGGGTCCTTCAGCATGGACTCCGTCTCGCCCATCCCTTCGAATCGCTCTGGCCAAAACCGCTCGGGATCTGGATACATCTCGGGGTCTCTGGTCATCCCCCTGTCCGGGAGGTAAGCACGCTGGCACTGGGTAGTAAAGGACACACACCAGGCTCACCAAATGTTCGAGACGACCATCGATCCTTTGGGAATATGCAGGCCGTTATATTCGTCGTCCTCCACCACTCGATGGGGGACACCTAGGGCCATCACAGGTGTCAACGTTCACACCGCCAGCGAAAACTCTTGGAGCTCTCACCGAGAGGTACTACGGGGTTCCACCTAGGTAGCGTGTGGTCAGTTTAAAGGAAAATCGCTTGAACGTAGCCCCGCACCGGTAAACTTCTTTCAATACGCATTCGAGATATGGCAGCGACGCTCGGTCTGAAAATTCAGGAAGACGAGCGTGGCCAATTACACGGTCAATCTCTGCCTGCGCCTTCTGGAATACCTGCGGATAGATGACCATAGCCAGCATGAATGTCTGGAGAACGGTCATGGACTGCGGGCAGGCCATAGCATCAGACGTTCTTCACATTCGAGAGGGCATCGCCTACCGTCTCGGAGCCAGCTTGAGAAGTGTAACGAACATAGTCAGGCCTCCAGAGATAGCGCACTGGCAGATATATCCTCACCCGAGTACATCAGACTGGACGCACACTCCATTTCAGCCTCCTCTTCTGGTGTCGGATCGCGGCCCTGAGAGTGCTCCTCGAGGACGGCGCGCAGAAACGACGGTTTCGCAGATCCGGTCAGCTACAAAGTCTGGATGAATGCTGGCCGGTCGGACTGCTTGGCATCTGGCCTCACCATCTCTTTCTTGACTGCCTCATATGGAGTATGCATCATGTCGAGCATCGACACGCGCGTCTTGATCGCGCGCCGCTTGAATCCTGCGCCGGGCGCCCATGCAGGAAGATGCTGCACTTGAGAAAGCGAACAGTATGTGAGGAACGCGTGTGCAGCGTCGTAGCGAGAGTGCGCGTACATATCGGCATGAAGTCGATGAGGGTCGCCGCCAGACCACCGAGCTCGACCAGCTCGTTCATCGCCTTGTCCGCAAGCGTGACGAACCCATCGCACCCAGCGGGGTGCCCATACGTGATCTCCTCCATGATAGCACCGGGAAACCTGGGCGACCAGATGCAGTTAGCCACACGCTGTGCACGCCAACGCCAACCACAGACGTTTTGAGATGCGCTATAAACGATCTCGGTGTTTCAAACAAGTTGAGAAGCAGCTTGAGGGACTCTCTTTCTTGGAACAGGCCGTAGCCCGAGAGGGACTGCTGCGTCCCGATCGCAGCTTGGTACCACCTGCGATGGCGGCGCCATTGGTGCGTATACGGCATGAGCGCCATGTTCGGGGCCCATCCAATGCTGCATGGTGCGCGAGGCAAGAATTAGAATCAGCACCGGGCCACGGTCATGCACCCGCACAGACGACACACGCACAGGTCAGTGATCAGGCTGAAATGCGGCCTGTCCGAGTACATCGTGCCCCGCTTCTCCATCAGGTCTTCGGCTGCCTGTACCGAATTGAGGATGACTACGTCCATGTGCAGGATCTTGGCGTATATGACCGGGCCTGGCACAGAACGTGTGAGCGAGCCATGGGCAGGCTTACAGGTTGGGTTACCATATGTCCTTCCCCACTCTGCAAACACCTTCTGGTGGTACTCGAAGGGGAATTGGTGGATGTTTCCAATCAGTGGAAGAGGACGGGGGCCTGGCGGAAGGGGCAAGCGAGGGCCGCGGCGAGCGCGGCGAGCATACACGAGGCAACAAAAGAAAACGACGATTATGAACGCAGCAATATTCAGGGCAGTCATCGTCTGTGCAGTGTCGGTGCGAGATACGACTGTGGGTACTCGATGTCTTACTGCAGTCGCATATACTTATAATGCCCCTGCTGCTTCTGCAAACGAGGCATGGTACAATACAATGCATTGGAGGTGTCAGACGTGAGGGGAGAATCCTTTACAGCGCACTGTCTCCGCGTCCGGTGGAGATCCCAGCCTCACGTCGACAATTTGTAACAAGGAAGCAATAGAAGCAACGAAAAAGTCTCACATGCATGAGTGTTTGACGCAATACAATCTGCGCTGCAGATCGAAGTGATGCAAGGCAGGACACCTTCAGCGTCAAATGTCTCTGTTTGCCGTATACCCTATGTCAACCCAAGCTCTCATCCTCGCACCATACGTGACAGTCACCCAGAGAAGTCTACCATCAAAGTCAGCCACTCAACGAGTCCCAAGATCACCAAACGCATACCCGCATCCAACCCACGCAATCACAGCCGCGATCGCATTCGTGCGCGCCACCCCAATCGTATTGATCAGTGGCAAGATTCCTGTCGTAGCCACCGCGACGATGAGATGTCGGACTCCCCTACAGCGTACATTCAGTGCCAATGTCCCTTTACATCGGCAAGCAATTACGTACTTGTGCGCCGCGATAACCTCGGCGCTCCTGCTCTGCATGATGTCGACCAAATACGTGTTGATAGGGCTGAGCGTCAAATCGACCTAGCATAAGTTAAATGCACCCGTCACAATTCACAGGACAGAGCGGAGGGCGGAGGCAAACGCACCCCGAGGCCGTTCATGAACAAGCACAGCAAATTGAGCACAATCCCGAGCCGTCCAGGCACGAACTGCGTTGTCAGTCCGGCGAACAGCACCGACAGCGGCACAAGCGTCCCTCCGGGAAGAAGCGTAGCACGCAGCCGGTCCTCTGGCACCCATGCGCCTGCGCGCCGTTTGCGCCATTTCACCACAACCGCGTCCGATATCCGCCCGGCGAGCGGCGCGCCAACTAGGGAGGCGTCAGTGCCGTGGACACCAACGCTGAAGGAATCGATGACTGACGGATGTTTCCAACCCCCGCAGCCATGAAAAAAGCACCGATCAGTGCCTCGTTGGAGATGTGGTAACGGACGCCCTGCGGAATGGTCAATATCCGGCAGCGGAGTTGCTGCCTAGGGACACTTACGATTGTGTACGACAGCGGAATGAGCAGAACTGATGCCACACCGTCAGGACCCGCAGCAAAAGTTGGTGCTGACGCTCACCATAATCGGTCAACAGGCCGCAAGTGGCGATGAGAGTCTGTCGTACGGTGAGTCTACGCTCAACGTGTCGATCTCACCTCCAAAGTGCCTGCTCACCACAACCAGAATGCTCGGGCCACGGAAGAGTGCAAGACATCTGAACGGGTTCAGCCACACCCACTTTGGGCGCGCAACTTCATCATCGTCCAACAGCTTGTCCACACCTCTCGCGCCTGGGTGGCTCGTCTCGGGCAGAAATACGACGACATGGACCAGCGCCATAAGTCCCGCGACGAACAACACGTATTGCATATCCCGCCACGATGCATAATGCGTGGCCAGTCCGCCCGCCAGAGGAGCCAGCGCGGCGCCCAGGAGACTTGCCTGCAGCCAGTCCACCCGTCAGCAGCGCGCACAGCCTGTGCACATGCACACAGATGCCTTACCGCGAAAAACTTTCCGATAGCAGCCCCTCGCTCTTCTATTCTGTAGATGTCGCCAATCACGCCGGCGCCGACAGATATGCCACTCGACGTTCCGAATGCCTGGAAGACTCGCCAGGCCATGAGACTTGGCACGGAGTGGGAAGATGCAACTCCCAGCGACCCGATGCACAGGCACGGCAGGGAGGCGAGGTAGATCGGCCTTCGGCCGTCTGAGACAATCATGGTCAGGCATAGTACATGGCCGTCAGAGGCAAGATTCACGCTCACAGAAGCCAGAGTATGTCGCCCAGAACAGGCTGCTGACGGACGAGGAGAATAACGACAAGCTCACAGCGAGACTGGTCCAAGAGGTTCATGAATTCATGGATATGACGGGATCAGATCAAGGGAGATGTGCGCACTTTACCACCGAGCCTGTCGAGTCGAACTCTCGCGCGACCTGGGGTATGGACGGTACGAACGAGCCGGACACGAACACTGGGAGAAACGAGAGGACGCGGGAGCTGAGCCAGCAGCACGAGCCGCACACTAGGCGCGAACGTACAGGGTATGAGAGCAGCCCAGGAGACGACGAAGACTATCGTCCGCTTCTGCCTGGCGGTGAAACGGTCGTACACCTTGTCGTGTTCCAGCAAGGATTCCTGCAGGAGTGGACTTTCTTCGGACGCCATCTTCGTCTGTTCGCAGTCGGTCGTCTCACGGATGATGGTGTCTGAAGAAAGGTGCGGCAAGAAGGCGTGCAGTGTTATGAGTCATGACTAGACCGGCCAGTGACTCATGGTGATCCAACACGCTGCGACTGGGAGCAAGCCTGGAATAAGCGAGTCATGCTGAGAAACTGCCGGTCGATTCAACATACTTCAGAACGAGTACTCCCCAGAGAAATTAGATGCTCGTGGATCTTGGCAGATCTCACGAAAAGCTCAAGGACCAAGTCGCTGGGTGGTTGAGTGGGCAGTGTGCGCTAGCTGGCACTGTCGCAGCGCGCCTGCGTCAATCGCGATCACGTGGTGACATTTATTGGACGCGTCGAGGAGAATCAGACGCGTCGCTTGAAGTCAGTTTTCGGACATACTTATATGGGCTATGACAATGATCTTCGTACGCACGGTCTGCTGCATGAAATCCACGACATACCAAAATCACGAAAGTAGGCATAGGAGAATCCTCCACTCGCCGTATCCCAGCACCGAATCATACTGGCAGCAAATCACGAAAGCAGTACCATTACCCGGCATAGTTTCTATGTACCCTTGTAATTGGCAAAAAAGAACACGGAATGAGTCTCCAGGACGCATACTATCGACGACTCACAAGTGAAAGGGCGCCTACAAGTGAAAGATTCGATTTTCTGGGAGCGTTACTACGCTGTTTGCTCCCAAATAATTCAAGTAGCACGTTTGATGTGTATGTCACCACTGGGATCCAAAAGATAGACAGAAGGTTTATCTATGTATGCTGCAAAAATCAAATTAATCTCTCTGGCAGCATGTATCAAGCAGATCGGGCCCTCCAAGCTAGTTCATAGCGCAGATCCGGACAACGTTGTATCATTCACGATCGTACATTACACACTTTGCATCAAGATCGATGATAGATCAGACGCGACTTCATATGAATACATTCTATCAGCGGCTCCCTTGCCCTCTCCGCGCCTAGGCTCCAGCAACGTAGAAGGAGAACAATGCACCATCTTTCGGCTGAGCGGCAGCGATTTCGCGGTGGAACATCGGGCTGTCAACGCACAGAACGAATCGAAATCAGCCATGTCTTCCGGTCGAGCAGTCGCGATGCAAGCTCATACCTTCTTGGAACACTTTCTTGCGAGAGCCGGAGATAGTTCCTGCTCGACAATCCGGATACTGCCACGCGGACGGGCTCTTGCGAAACTTGATTTTCTCTACTCTCAAAGACGTAGAAGTGGCTGTCTTCTTTCATCTCAGGGATCCCGGTCGCACGCATGCCGATCATCGCGGTGAACCCGTTACCGGACGTGCTAGACGCAAACGAGACGACGGTGCTCCCGTCCACGGTGTCGAAGTCATAGACCTTAACGTCGAAAAGCTTCGTGGCGCCTGTCTGCAGGGTCGAGCGGATACCTGGACAAAAGGAGTCAGCGATATACGAGAAGTCTTTTGGAGGATCGGGGGGACGCACTGTCAGAGTAATTGCCGTCGCTTGTGGACATCCGCTGTGCGACATACGACAACGTCTTGATTGCCCTCTGCAGAAATGTCTGTTTTAGCCAGCTCTGCTTTTCGTCTATCTGAGAACCTACCAAGACATCTATACGGAAACTCCCTGCAACAAATTCAGGCGGCGTGTAATCAGCATCCTCGGGGTCATCGCGAATAGCGAGGATCTAGTTCATACGTTTAGGAAACCGTACGAGGGGAGAAGTAAGTGGTACATGCCTTCCGGCGGATGAGATCAATTTGGTCTGTCCTGATCTTCTCGAAACCAGCTTTCTGGAGATGACCGTCGATGAACTTGTTGTCCGGAACTGCAGTAATCACGATTAGTGATTGGTTACAAGTCCATCATCAAGCCATAAGTATCTTCACTCACCGTCCTGGATCATAGATTTGAAATACATGTACTTGGAGAAGTCATCGAGGAAGAAGAAACTCTGTAATCACATCTCAGTCAGTGCGACAGTTACCAGTGTGAGATTGGATCCCTCACCTTCTGAATCGCAACGAAATAGTCAAAAGGCTGGAAAGCATTCTTGAAGTCCGGGATATTGACATATTTCTCCAGGATGGCCCTATTCATGATCAGTACGCATCCTGTACTGCTAGCACCATTACAGGCGTTAGACTGTACACGCACCAGCGCACGTAATGATGCTGCTCAGCATTCTTGTAGAACTCATCGGCGAGTTGCTTTATGGACTTCAGGTCTTCATCACCAGGTGTATCTCTCCGCTTGCCACCCGATGTCTCATTGATGGAGATGCGAATGGTCGAATTCTGCTTGAGCGTCTCGATGGCGCGCTCGACCTCCTGTGAGATCTCGCCATTGACACCATACATGGTCATGGTGACTTGAGCACTGAACAGACCGGATGAATGTTCGTGGACGAGCGACACTTGTGCAGGATCTACTTACGCTTCTTTGACCGTCTGACTTTGTGATTGATTGAAAGACGTGATAGACACGAGAGCGTAAAAATGACCCCCTTCAACGAAGCCTGTTTAACCGACGATTAATCGAAGGATTGAAGGACATGCATAATGTTATCCAAAATCACCGGAAATGAAACGATCACCGTAAGTGGAATTCGGGTTCGGCGGGTCGGTCCAATTGAAGGAATAATCATTTGTAGTCCTTCCCTGATGCTCGACGTCCACCTTGACCTCAAAAGTAATGTCGCTTTTTTCGAACTTGGATTCAAATAAGTGTGAAAACACCAATAATAATCTGTAGATTGCACATACACTTTCGCGGTTCAGATATTCAACGTCAACTTTACCGGACTGACCCCATCCGGTGATTGCAGCACCAGCAGTGATGTGTAAAGACTTAGTAAGTTCCCTTTCATGCAGTGAGGGATTAGGCCGCGATATTACTGAATAAACGGCGGACGCACTCGTAACTGTTAATTTCAACCGATTCGTAGCTCCTTTTGAAAGGTGTCGGGGGAGGCGTCGGACCCGATGTGACGGTGACCGCGTTGTTCAAACATAGTTCTTGAGTGAACGTGTTGAACCTGCGTTGGACGCAAATGTAACTCGAGAACAACACGATCTTAGACGAAAAGCACGCACCCTTGTCCTTTGTTCATTCCGTCAAAGTACGGGGTGTATTCGGCGGCCATGTTGTAAGTCGGTCGTTGAGTGTCAGTCTTGAGGAATTAGCTGTTGAAGAAAGTCGGATGATAGCTGCGCTGGTCTACTGCAAGTCCATGGAGTCAGTCTTTTATACCCGGGTGCGCCATGTCCACTTACCATGTGAACTAAAGAAAGATTCAAACTCGATGACCAACCTAGTCTCAGCATGTGAGAAACCACAGGGTCAAGAACAATTGACTCACGTTTGCACAAGCGACGGGAGTGCACTCCCCAGTTCGATGAGGAGCCGAATGACTGGCCGATGCGTTCCACACTTTGGACACGACGGGACGCCGTGTTTAGGCCATCAGGAGGAAGAACGTCACCAAAAGGATGCTTGTCGCAAAGGATCCAATTTAAAACCCATTTTGGATGAGCGATCATACCGTCCTCGGTACCCGAGCTCCCCAAACGCACCCCTTCAGATGTAAAATGTGGGATCCGTGACAATTCAAGGGCATCTGGAGCTCAATATAAGAATATTCAATGAGACGACAATGAATTGGAACGGACCTATGGTAATATACTAAAATGACAGGTTCGATACAGTGTGCGCATTCAAGCCTGTGGACTGAATATTCAATGCATAACCTTCATTGAATTCTGCGCGGTGTCGCGGGACTCATGAACGGCCGGTATCCTGTGCGTGCAGCCGAACTACAGGAGTGGAGCGATGGTAGTATATGCGAGCGGACTTGAGTGCTGTGACGACACGCTATGATACGCGTGCAGTCTGAATATCTCCACATTACCATACAACATTGAGATGCTAAGGTGGTTGTCATCAAATCGAGATTCTGTGACATGGCATCCGAAAGCACGCATTTGGTGAGCTCGTTCAATAGTCACTGGTCGAGCGAGCAGTTTTGAATGGGTTTGAAACTGAATCTTTCACATGGCGTTTTCCCTTCCAATGTGGCTCATAATTGGAGCCATGTTATGCCCAGTCAGGGAGCTCCCGTTGACAAGAGGTCCAATTCGACTTCTGTTATGCATCGGATTCTATGTCCATGGATGCCGTCATGCACGATCAAGACGAGGCCCGGGAGAGTCGTGAACAATAGTTTGCGCTGATATACAATATGCTTACAGCAGCTTGTTATGACAGTTTATACCACCCGAATGATGGCTGCTTGTGACAAACATGCAGCTGGTATCGACGCCTAACACGATGAGTATTGGCATTCCGAGTGTGTGGCTAAAACAATGGTGCACGGCTCGGTGCATTTGAATGATCGAGGACACCTGTTTGATTACGTAATAAACACGTGCACACCCGAGTGCGACATTTACAGCGCGTACGGTGGCTTCTTTGGTATCCACAAATTCACTGAGACGGTGTTCAAAGCACCCGCGACCGAACTCGGCTGAGAAATCGCGTTGGATGTCATGAGTCGTCACAAAACGTTGTGATTGAGCTTGTCATCTAGGGTGATATTGTCAGGTGCACTCCAAGAGTTCGATTACATGCCAGCAATGTTGTGCTATTATCATCAGGTGTGCTCCAAGAGTTCAATTACATGTCACTAATGTTGTATTGATTCGACACCCGTTCAATGAAGTTCCGTGATAACTAGACTGCGAGCATGCGTGCTGTTACAGCACTCAAATCCGCTCGCATGTGCTGTTGCCTCACTCTTGTATTTCGGCTGCGCTGCGCAGGATATCGTCCCGTGGGCAGAGAATCGAAGATGATTGATCCAAGGAGCATCTACGGAGTCCAAGCATTCCAATTCATATGTTTTGTGCTATCCATTCCAGCCATTCGTCTGTGACAATTTTCGAGCCAGCGTTGGAGTCGCTACAGTTGAGTCACGCTATGGAGAGCAACACGCTGCATTTACTGGCACCAGGCCGCATTTATCAATATATTGAAGACATGGTATGTCATACCTTGTAATTAGCTCATGTTCTGGTTGACTGGAAAGTGCCGCTTCTGATTATGCATCCAACGATAGCCGAACTTGCTCTTTGACTCGCAAACTTAGAACTAAACACTGTTTTATGTTCATTTCAGTGGTTGACTAAAATAGCAGAGGCTATTCTCAGATCGGATACCCGCGTACCCACACAAGCGTCATGGTGAGTCGCCTAAAGCCATCAAGTGATTTCTTTTGCAAGCAATCCATCATTTGGGCGTCCTTGATGTTGAGCTCACGGCTCACTCCATAGAGCTGAATGCTGTCCGAGTCGCATCCGACCTGCCATTTCGGTGATCGGCGTATTTCGTTCATTCCACAAACTCGAATATGCTGACGGGATAGCGGTTCTCACATGCTTGGAATGTGTCCTCCAGCCTTCGAAAAGTAAACGACATCAGAGAGGAGAACGTCACCAAAAAGGTGGTTTGAGCAAAGGGTCCAATTTCAAACCCATTCAAATATGTTTACCGGACCAATGAGCGAGCTCACTGCCTGAGATACCCGAGCTCGCCAAAGGCGTACTTTCAGATGGAGATTCATTGCTTCGATTTTTCGTTCCGAACTAGGCTCCAAAGGTTCGTCAAATGACCATGGAATAGACCCTTCCAAGACTTTGAACTCAGGGTTTGCCGGCAGCTCTGAATTATAAAAGCGCAAGGTTAGTCCCCGAACTCTAGTTCAACAAGCAACTTTCCCGTCTACACCAGCAGAGCCTCGTCTTTCACGCACCCTCATCATCACTCACCATGTCCCTCGTCGTAAATATCAACATTGTCTCCAACGATGCGCCCGGTGATTCCACATCCATCGTTTTAGGGGACACGAAGAGCAACGCGCCTCGCGCTTACGCGCAGTGGGTTAGCATGCTAATCAAGAATTTACTGGGTAACGCTAGCATCAAAGTTCAAAACGCTAACGTCAGCTGGTGAGACATTGTCTTCCTGTCTGCATCCAAGGTCATGTTCTGACTGTGCAATCTGGAAGGGGTAAATTCTATGAGGACGGCAACAAAGATCGCGAAATTTCTGCAGGAAAGGTCAATAGCATCGTAATTGCTCCCAACTTTACGGCCACTGTTGCTGCCTGCGGTCGTGCGAACGCTGCGTCCGGGACGGAAGGCACGATCGACCTTTACGACGGTACTACTAGGATTTGCACACTCTACTGGAACTGTCCGTGGGGAAGCAAGCGGAACGACTTTGAGAAGCGGAATGTGAATTCTAGCTACATGGTCACCATCGGTCCCTGGAACCCTGACTCGGGCGCGATTGGGAACGTCAACATCGACGTCGAGCGTGCCTAAGGAGCTCACTTCAGAGATCCATGTGTGAGTAGACTTGCTGTCTGATTCTACGGACGTCCTAACGTATTTCCTTTTGGTAGAAGGTTGCACTATTACCTAGTAAGTGCCAATATTTGCTAGTACCTTCTCACGTCCCAGTTCCCCTTCCCGCTACCTACCGATTTTCGCAATATTGGTACTGATGTGGCGCGCTTTCTCCGTCTAGTATTCCACTGCACATATCGCCTCCCGTTACGTGTTGATGTTTCTGCAGTCTTGCTCCAAGTCTTGGACGATGTACCACGTCATTAAAGAGTTTCTATTCTACTTGATTGCAGAATGAACTTGAATATGACCTCTTTGCCGAGCACATCGGCTCCTCAGTGCACTAAGTCTTGTAACTACACCACCGATTCCCGAACTTCATTGTGGCCAGTGCTGCAGGAAGTGATCGTCGTTTCAATCGCGATCACGTGGAGAATTCTGCGGATGCATTTGACGCGTCCGGAACGCGTCGTTTCACCAATCGCAATAGTCAGAGACGTTGCCTACGCTGCTACCAACGTCCTCCGTGCATACGCAAAGTCGCATACTACGTCTTCGTTTGCGCGCCGAAATACACTACGATTCTTCTGCCGGGGATAACCGGACCGGAGTTCCGTGCGGAGGGGTGATGGAAGTCGATCGTCGTTTTGTCGGTTCGTCGCAGCTCTCTGCTCACATACGAAGAAACTCACCGAGGTGACTTAGCCCAAGCTGGGCGTATGTTGTTGCGTTCTTCGTTTTTATTGTCATCAAATGCACCTTAGCATACACCAACACCTGCTCGCATCGGTGTCTTCGACACTGGCATTTAGCGCACCTGGCATCTCTTGAGAACAACTATGGCATCTCCTTGTTTGAAAAAATAACTCATGTCCATGAATGCCTCCGCCTTATTCAATGTCGCCACCATTCTTTCTCGCATCCACGCGGCCTATCTTTCCCTTCGCTCGAGCACCCATCATCACATGGCCAGTCAGCTCAGTCAAATGACCCTCGACCCACTGCCATGACTCCTTGACCCATTCCGTATGCTCTCTTATATTCATTTTGTGTTTCGGTCTGCCGTCCGAGCTTTGTCCTACTCTCGACGCAGAGTGACATGCATTCCCTCACTCGCGCTCTCGCAACTCTCGTTCTCCTCGGAGCTGCCTATAGTGCAAGCACATTGGACTCATGCCCTGGATACACAGCAACCAATGTACAAACCTTGGGTCCTACTCTAACAGCAGACCTTGTTCTAGCCGGGCCTGCATGCAACGTATATGGCCCAGATATTGAGCGCCTGCTCCTCCAGGTGACATACGAAACTGGTGAGCCTTATCAGCCCTCATAGAGCCATCGTACCAGCTGAACTCTCGCAAGCATCTCGTATCCATCTTAAGATCACAGATCCATCTGCCGTCCGCTACGAAGTACCTGAATCCGTCTTCCCTCGGCCTACTGCCAATGCGTCCACAACCTCATCCGCCGCTCAGATCGCCTTCAACTATACCGCCTCCCCCTTTTCTTTCTCCATCCTCCGCACGTCTACAAATGAGGTTCTCTTCAGTTCTGTGTCGTATCCGCTCGTCTACGAACCGCAGTTCCTGCATCTTGCCACCGCCCTGCCGACAGACGCAAACATTTACGGGCTCGGAGAGAGCACAGAGAATTTCCGCCTCCCGACAGAAAATCTCACGCGCACGCTCTGGTCGCGCGACGCGTATGGCGTCCCGAATGGCACTAACCTCTATGGGAACCACCCCGTGTATGTCGAGCACCGTACGACGGGCACGCACGGCGTGTTCCTGCTCAGCTCGAATGGCATGGATATCAAGATCAATACGTCGGATACGGGGACACACCTCGAGTACGATGTTATCGGTGGCGTGCTCGATTTCTACTTCTTGGCTGGCAGTGAGACAGACCCGACGGAAGTGATAAGACAGTATGCGGAGGTTGTGGGCACGCCTGCGGAGGTCCCATACTGGGCGTTTGGGCTGCACCAGTGTCGCTTTGGGTACAACAGTGAGTGCCGCTTGTGCATCCTGTACGTATACAGGTTTATATTGCTCGTGCTACCGTTCGCAGATTTCGTTGAGGTTGCCGATGTGATTACGAACTACTCCCTGGCTGATATCCCGCTCGAGACGATGTGGACCGACATCGGTGTGCTCCACTCTCTTCACATTGTGTATCGAGTCCTCAGCTGACCGCATATACAGATTACATGTGGAACCGCCGCATCTTCACGCTCGATCCGGACTACTTCCCCCTCACGCGGATGCGACAGATCATTGAGTATCTTCATTCGCACGATCAGCACTACGGTGCGCATACACCCCGTTATTCGGGTCTGTCTGACCGGGCCGCTGATAAACGATCATGCAGTTTTGATGACTGACCCCGCGGTGGCGTATGCTCCCGGGCAGGGATACGGGACGTACGATCGCGGCACAGTGGACGATGTCTGGCTGAAGGCGGCGAGTGGTAGCTTCTTTCTTGGTCTCGTGTGGCCTGGTGCGTCATTTGGTCTCATGCAACATATGCATCAGCGCTGATGAAAGCTATTAAAGGTGTGACTGTCTTCCCTGGTGCGTGATCTTTTCCCAGTCATTCAGAGTGCTTGATGGGGGTCTGATGATGGAGCGCGAGCCAGACTGGTTCAATCCGCTAGTGCAGGAGTGAGTTCAGCGGATAATTTGAGTACTGCCGTAAACATGGTCTGACAAGATGATGTCGGACGCAGATTTTGGACCAACGAGTTCCAGATGTTCTATAACCCGGAGACTGGACTTGATATTGATGGTGCGTGGATCGACATGAACGAGCCCTCCAGCGTGCGTCTTGCCATTTATCCCTCCAGGCTACGCTAGCACCACACTTACCCATAACGTCCAGTTCTGCGACGTGCCTTGTAATGACCCCTTCCAGCAAGCTGCAGACCAAGATCTGCCTCCCCCGCGCACAACAATCCCCCCGGACCCGAATGCGCCGATTTTCGTCAATTCGAGCTCGGCGGAGAACAGTTTTACGCTTGCGCTGCACAAGAGGCAGCTCGACAGCAACGAGAACGTGCTGAACCCACCGTATGCAATTCATAACGCTGCGGGCGCGCTGTCGAACCTGACGTCGTATGTACGTGCGTTCTCACTGTACTTACGTCGACGGTGGGCTGAGTTGCATACGTCCAACTGCAGTCCAACGCAGTCCATGCGAACGGACTGATCGAGTACGATACGCGTGAGTCCCATGTTGGGTCCAGTAATTCTGCTGCGTATCGCGCTGACTGGCGAACCGGACACCAGACAACCTCTTCGGCACGATGATGTCCACCACGACTCACAATGCGATGCTCGCGCGGCGTCCCGGGCTGCGCACTCTCGTCGTGACGCGCTCGACATTCGCAGGTGCAGGGGCGCGCGTGCAGAAGTGGCTCGGGGACAACTTCAGCGACTGGGCGCACTATCGCAACTCGATCGCAGGTATCCTGAACATGGCGGGCGTGTTCCATATTCCAGTGGTGGGTGCAGACATTTGTGGCTACGGTGAGTATCGTGTTTGTGATGTGTCAGTGGAGTGCTGAGGCGGGCAATGGAACGTAGCGGAGGACACGACGGAGACGCTGTGCGCACGATGGGCCATGTTGGGCGCGTTCTATCCGTTCATGCGGAATGTGAGTCGAAGCAAGTCTCCGCGAGGAAGACTCTGACGATGTAAGTGTAGCACAACGACGATACGTCGATCAGCCAGGAATTTTACCGCTGGCCGACCGTCGCACAGGCAGCTAGGAATGCGTTGAATATGAGGTACTTATGTTGTCCTCCGCTCCAGCTTTGCGTCATCTCATACGACGACAGGTACCGTCTGCTGGATTACATTTACACTGCGCTGCATCAAGCCAGCATCGATGGTACCCCGATCCTCAACGCGCTCTGGTACAAATACCCGCAGGATACCAACACCTTCGCGATCGACCTCCAGTTCCTGTTTGGGCCATCTATCCTTGTGTCACCCGTGACTGTGGAGAACGCGACGTCCGTTGACATCTACCTCCCCGACGACATCTTCTATGACTTCGCGACGTTCGCACCCGTGCGCGGTGCCGGTGCGTACGTTGAGCTCGCCGACGTGAACCTTACGTCCATCCCCGTGTACATCCGCGGCGGCGCGGTCCTCCCATTGCGCGCAAATGGCACGATGACGACGACGGCGCTGCGGCAGCAGAACTTTGAGTTCGTCGTTGCGCCTGGCCTGGACGACACCGCGACGGGAGCGTTGTATGTCGACGACGGCGTGTCGCTAGTGCAGCCGGCGACGACGGAGGTACAGATGGCGTATGTGAATGGCACGCTGACCGTTTCGGGCACGTTTGGATACCCGACTGGGGTGAACGTGTCAAGCGTGGTGCTTCTGAACGCTGTGCAGGCACCGCAGATAGTCAAAGTCAATGGGCAGGCTGTAGGCTCCGCCTCGTACGATGAGAGTTCGAGTGTTGTGACTGTCCCGTTGGGCTTCCCCTTCACCCAAGGGTTTACCGTGGAGTTTTCGTAAAGACATTCAGGAGACAAGTACGAATGTTCAAGGACTGTTATGTTTCTATTAGGAGCTGACTCTGTACGAAGTCACAAATAAAAATATCAATAATAGTATGGTGGGCATCGAGATGAACACCAGGAGTAAGTCAGAACAGATAATAATAATGATACATCAGGACAGGTTACGCGCTGTTGCCTGCGACAAATCTCCCCAGCTTCTTCCCTAGCATAATTTTGACCGGGTTGACACCTATCTTCTCTTCGAGGTCCTTCACCGTTCCCTCACGTACTGCATCGGTGAGGATCTGAGAAGCCTCTCGTTCATTGTCGAACCAGTGGCCCTCTACTGCTCCAGTCTCATTCTCGGTTTGGTCCTGGGCAAAGGGATCGACTTGATTATCTTCAGCAGCTTGTCCTGGTGCCGCCACACCCTCTGCTTCGTGAGCCTCTCCCGAGTGTGATAGCGGCTCTGTGCTCGCGGCCGCGCTCATAGTCTTTGCGTACTGCCTGGCCCGCGAATGCTTGGGCGGGGAGTACTCCGGTAACACAAGGTCTTCTGGCTCATCCTGACGGGCCGGGATGAATCTCAATATAGATGACCGGGGATTATGCGACGAGCGCGCCGAGCTTCTACGCGAGGCTTGGTCGCTCGAAGGACCCGTCTCTTCTCCATCTGCGGCTTCTAGGTGTTGCAGAGCCGCTGCCTCTGCTGCTGAGCGCATTTTACCAAGCGCGACGTCTGCATCTTTCAGCGAGCCCGCCTTGCTCCAGACCCTGCGCACTACAGCGGGGGTGAACCCGTGGTTCTCGGACATTGCTTGGATAGCGGACTCGATCCCGATCTTGACTACGACGGACGCATCTGCCTCGCTGAGCTGCAGATCTGTTTCGAAGGAAGAGGCGCGAGGACGGTGACGGATCACAAAGCTGTCTGATTGCCTGTGCTGTCGAGAGGTTCCAATCCAAGAATCATCCACTGATCTTGCATTCAGATGTGCCGTTAAGCGCTGTGGTGTCGACTGTGGTGCTTGGGCTAAGTTCATATTAGCCCCTTCCCGATGGGCGTCCTCTGCGCCATTCCTTCCAGCTTCTTGTCCCGCAAACTGATGACGGGGCTGCGAAGGCAGGACCAACGGCTCTCGTTCCCTTCCCTTCCCTTTGGGATCTGACGCACCGTTGCCGAAACGCACACGAGACACATTCGCGTCGATAAGTCCCTTAAACGGCTGGACACGATCGTTAGGTTGCTTAGATGGAGTTTCCTGTAGCGCGACTACGCTCTTGAAGGGGATGGCATTGCGAGGCCTGGGCATAAAATGATTAGGTATCACGAGGCCATTTCCCTGCGACGGTTGGCTGAAAGGATGGTGCTGGCGCACGGTGACGGGCACCTCGTTAACACCCACAACCGGTGGAAGCGGAGTACGCAGCGCGTCCTTGGGAGCTGACTCCTGCTGTTCATGTTTGATCGCGGCGGGTTCCCTTGAGGTGCCGTTGGGTATAGACTTGACCTCCGTCGCCTTGCCTTTGCCCTTGTGTCGACTCGGCGGCCATGCAGGTAACTCGCTATCCTCCTCTTCATCTCCTGAGATGCCGCGGCCATCACGATCATCCACCAAACCTCCTTCAGTATCGTCTTTCACTCCACTTGTTCGTGCTTGACGACTTGAGACATCTGAACGCCGCCTCCCCTTCGAATCTGTAAATGCGGTGTTAAACGCTCCCTCGTCCAAGCGTGGTGGCTCTCGCTTCCGCCTGTGCTGCACAGGAGTGGAATTCCGACTAGGATCCGGATCCGGCGTGGAAGGCACGGATGCAAAAATGTCCTCTTCACGTTGCCGGGGACGATAGGTATTGATAGAAGTGGGTGGAGGCCTGGGAGTGAGGTTGGCAGCATAAGTTTGGCTTGTAGGAAAGCATCAATTGTTAGAACGGAGAATGGGAAGGGGAATATGAATTGAAAGTGCATACGGGATTATATCCGGCGTCGGAAGCACCCCATCTCTGTCCACTTCTGCCCCATGAAGCCCAAGAACCGAAGATACTTCCAGCTCTTCTTCCCCTTCTCCCTTCCCCTCCTCCTCTTCGTCTGTCGCCTCATCGTCTTCTTCTGATCTCTCAAAAATCTCTCCGGAATAATCATCAGAAGGGGGAAGCCCAGAGTCCTCATCTAGCTCCTCCTCATCGACTCTCAAATCCTCCACGACCTGCTCGGCTCGTGCGGATTCCGTCTGACGAGTCTCTGAAGGGCGTTCTGGTAGGGCATCATCAGCATGCTCCTCCCTTGATTCCGCAATCGGTGTCAGATTGTTCTCCTGGGGAGCACTTTCGTCCTCACTCTCTACAATTCGCCTCTTCTTCCTAACACGCATTCCATCTCCATCTCCATCTCCATCATGATTGCGCCTCCGTTTTCGCTGCTTTCCATTCGCCCGTGAACTTTCCGCCAACTCTACATCTTGGTCCTCTTCCTTTTCCTCTTCCTTTTCCTCTTCCTTTTCCTCTTCCCTTTCCTCTTCCTCCTCTCTCGCTGCGAGTATTAGTACACGCGAAGTGCCCTCTCCTGAAGCAGGCTGCTGCTCTCGCTTGAACATACCACGAGGGGCATTTCCCTTCTGAAGCTCGACTATGTATTGATCGAATTCTGTGCGACGCTTCTTGTATCGCTCTCGCCAGCCCATAGCAGGGTGGCGTCTAGTCCACTGCCATTGGTTTCCCGTCTGGAAATCTGTGAGAAAATTCTGAAAGCCATATACACAACGAAGTAACCTTTTTCACAAGTTCTTCATATAGCTTGTTTCCCAGCCGACCAACGGGACTAGGGGTGTATTCCGCTAGGAATTTGATGAGGAGATCATCGTCTTCCTGGGAGAAGGAGACGCGGGGTCGACTACCGGGCGTTGGAGGTGTGGGTGTAGGGGGTCGAGGCAAGCTAGAGACCTTGTTGGGGTTTTTGGATTGCCACTTCGTGATACGTCGATCAAAATTATCCCGGTCTTTCGCATAACGATTTCTCCACGACTGCCATGTATGCCTATCTGACCATGCCCATTTACCATCCGCCTACATATAGCGGGACGACGTGTTTAGCTAGATGAGGTAGATCAGAGTGCACAACATACATTTTCCTCTAATGTTTTCCAAATGATGTTGCCACTTCTGTCAGACCCATTATGTGCGTACCTCCCTAAATATTGCACGATATATTTATCATCGTCCTCTGTGAATTCTTTGCGACTACGAGAATCAGGTTGGGCATGTTCTTGATGAGAAGTCGAACTCACGATCCTGGAGGCATATAAGTTTAAAACGCGTCGTGCAACTCGTTTTTTCTGATCAACTGCCGCCGTCGTGGTGCCACAGTCTGAACACTGAACAGTGAGAGTCCGAGAGGAGCATGGGTCATCACGTGGTCGCGTTCCCGATGAGTCGAGCAGACATGCTTTATATGGCAGTAAGTATATGCACTGTATCTAAGTAAGTCTTGTTCGAGGCTTATCTGTGCAATATATCACGCTCAACTCTAAGCTCTTGCGACACGACGTCGACGAGCGGGCTAAACCCTACACTGACTACTCTGCGCACAAGTTGCTTTATCTTGAAACTTGACAGTTTTTGTCTCCCGATCTCAGTGGCTCGCAGCTCGCGTCGTATTTCCTACATAATCTGTTTAAGAGCCTGTGGATCAAGGCCACCCATGAACTTGAATGAACGACAGGTTCGTTTGTACCACGATGTGCAGTAAGACCGCCTGGATGAGTGGCGTCAGAGGATTCATGAAGGTGCATTAAGCCCACGATGCACGAATGTCACGAGAACGGGTTCAGGCGAGTCTTGTCCTTTGTTGCGATGTATCAGCCACACGGTCATTCTCCTCTGGGCTGTGGCCACAAAAAGTGTGGCTTGCTGTGGCCGTGTCACAAAGCGTTATGGCAATTGGACCTACAGTACATAAGCAGCTTGTGGCTTTTAAAAAAGCAACCAATTTCCATCTTCTCCCCTACCCTTTCACGAACGTCCTTCCATCACGATGAACTTCATGGGACTCTTCTCCATATTCGAGCGAAGTCTCCTCGATATGTTGGCGCTGTACTGTCCCTTCCTCATGCGTAAACTTGCTCCCCGTGCTTTTCTTCCCATCGCTACCGTCTTCTCCCCATCTACTTCTACTACCGTTCCTCAAATTTCTGGTGTCGGCGTCGCCTGCTCTTTGGGTCTTGGTGCCTCATCACTAGCAAAACCTCGCCTCTCTAACATCCTCATCTCATTGGCAACCCCTCGCGTAGTTATCTCCCCTGCCGAGCCCGTCGGCGTCGGTGCCACACTCGCCGTGTCTTCTGATGATCGCCTACTCAATCACCGGCCCAACGCGTGTCCTCTGGTTCACCCTGGAGGAGCTGATACTATCCAATCTGAACACGACTCCGGCTCTGACATTAACCTTGTGCTTCCTTTAGGGCAACGCGCCTCACGGGAGTTGCTTACTCTTGCTTCGCCTGAAGCACAGGTGCCGCACAGCTACCGAGATTCAAACAGCGACGAGCATTCCTCTCGCGCTAGCTCTACTGCAGTCGCCTCGGATGAGGGTGACTACCAAGAGAAGATCCTCAGTCGTGGTGTCGTTTCTTTATCGGTATCTCAACCCATACCCTCGGCCGAGGTCGTCGAATTTGTTGCTACCACAAACGATCATGCTGCTGTTGAGGTCCATGAGCTCACTGACGACGATGATGACTGCGAAGAGCGCATCACGCCACATGACAGCATCGCCATACTTAAGAACGGCGATACGGACTACGCGTTGCTTGGTGTTCTGGGTGATGGCGGCTGCGGCCGCGTTTTCTTGGCTGAGACACAACACGGCGATGTGGTTGCTATCAAGTCCACGCACAAGTTAAAACAATATCGGTACAAGAAAGGCCGGGACTTACTCTTGAATGAAATGCACGTCATGGAGAAGGCTACCTCGAGCTGCAGCTCTTACCTGGCTTACCTCCTCGAGTCATGGGAAGATAAAGACAACGTATACTTCGTGATGGTACGTCTGCATCCATGTTGACTACAATATTTTATGATTTATCGGGGTTTGTGCAGGAGCATTACCCAGATACCCTTCGTCAATGTCTCAAAAGGGGCGCGATTGATCCCATTGATGCCTTTTTATATTGTGCTGAGATGGTTCGTGTGCTCATTTACCTCCATCTCGCGTGTCATGCTTATTCGTATTTAATAGCTGTTCGCGCTCAGCGAGCTTCACGAGAATCACACGATACATCGCGATATCAAGCCGGAAAATATCCTGATCGCTAAAGATGGAGGCATTGTACTCTGTGACTTCGGTCTTGCGTACACTGCCAAGGCGAACCGCAAACTAATTCGATGCAAGACTTTTGGCACCGTTGGCACGCCTGGTTATTTTGCACCCGAGATGCTCGACGCCAATACCCACATCCACGGCTACAATTGTACTGCAGATGTATACAGTCTGGGGCTTGTGTTCTTGGAGCTTCTCGCTGGCTTGAAACAGCCATATCATCGCGCTCGCACTGCTGGGGAACAAGTCCGATCAATGGCCGAAAGGAAGGACGATCTTGATGATCTGATCCAGGACGTCGATGCCCGCGATTTGGTGCGCCAGGTATGATTCTCCAGTGGCCGTTTTGTGGAGCAAGTGCTCACGATCGGCTTTGACAGATGCTCAAGGAAGATCCCAAGCTCCGTCCCACACCCCAGACCCTAATGACTCATCGATTCTTTGAGACCGTGGACTGGGATGTCATCAAGAGTCGAGGATACGATCGTCAGTGCGGTTCGCCTTGTTGATACTTGATCGTGTCTGACCCCTCTAATGTACAGATATTTATGAACCTCCTCTGCGCTTTCCTACCAGGCTCGAGACGAGCCTGTCGTTCTCTACGTTTCGATACGGCCTTGATTCCTCTTACGCATCGTTTGGCCGGGACGCGGACGGGATGCTTATGCCCTCCGAAGAAATCCTAGCACGGCTTCTCGCCGGCGGCGAAGACGACTTTAAATACCCCCGCACCTGAACGGATTTTACGTGCTCTCTCATACTGGATTCTGTCTCATCAGTTGCGCCATACTATACCGCTGCTAACTTGTCGTTTCGCTGTCCTGTTTTTCTGTTCCCGTCTCTCGTCACTCTCGCGCTAGGTGTAGCATTATCATTATTGTGTATTGTTAGCTTCCTTTCTTTTCTCTGAACACTCTTCCACACAGCTAAGTTGAAATATCATCGTTGTCTCCATGGCATTGTATGTCCGAGTTGGAAGCCATGATTCAATCCCACGCTTTTCAACAATTGCTTCAAATGAGCTTTGGTACTGGATCAAGATGTGGCATACTGCCATCATCCTCTTGCTATACATGCTGTTCAGCGAACCGTGGGACATCAGCAACCACAAAGATCAGATGTGTGAAGTCCAATCTCGGCAGGTTTTGGATCTGGAAGAAAACAAACATAGAATTTATGAAATAAGATACTACACTCGTATGCAAACACCTCTGACTCTATGAAAGAAAACAGTACTCAGTACAGGTATCATCAGAACGTCAGCTGCATTTCAGGCTGACTTTGAGCTAAAGGTATGTTGTCCTCGTCGATCTCCTTCACGTCGTGCAGCCACCCATCATAATCAACATCCCGATGCAGTAGCTCATTCACTCGATCCACCTGACCTTCCACATCAAATTGTGAATTGTAACCCAATCCAAAAATTCCGCTGCTCTCGCGCCTGAGAGGACCGCCAGCATCCTGAGAGCTGCCATAGTCTTGACCTCCAATGAAAGGGCCCAACCGCGGATGCTGCGATGATGTAAACCGTGGGGCAAACGCGGCTGGATTCTGAGAAAAGAGAGGGGATATTGGCGACCGAGGCTTCGGCCGTGTGGAAGATCCTGATGACCCGGAGGCGGGGGAAGAGAAAAAGGTCCTAGCCGGTGACGGCTCTCTGACCTCCGCATGGACAGGCAACTCGTCGTGTACGACATCATTTCGAGGCCCATGGATCCTCTGGGATGCTTGGCTGGAGGACATTGCATTGCGCGAGGGTGGCCTCGGACGAGGCTTGGACCTCCGCGAGGATGCCAACAAATCAGTCAACGTCGGCAGTGCCTGCCTCTCAGGCGTCGTTGGGACGGGTAGGCCTCTAAAGTTGCCTAGCCCAGGGATGGCGGACTGGGATCGTGGCGACGAAACCAGTATGTCGGCGCCGGAAGAAGTTGCCTGGGGAGGAGTAGAAGGGGGTAGTGGAGCACCGGAGCTTGGATCATAGATACGAGGTCTCTTGCTCGAGGGTGTTATATATGCGTGGCGGTCCGAGATGTCCATGGGGGTTGGCGTCGTTACTCGTGGGTGTTTCCTCGGTCTCATCGAGGGGGAGTGTGCCAAATCACCAGAGGAAAGTTCAACGGGTTCATACCGTAATGCTTGCGTCGGTGGAGGCGATGACAGGGGAGATGACGGATGTTCATGAGGCACAATCGGCGCAGGTTTCGCTTTGTCATACCGCCGCGGCGTCGACGTCTGCAGCTGAGACGGAAAAGATGGTGGCAGAAAGGACTGAAAGATACAGTGTCATTAATGCTCGTGTTTAATTTCAATTAAAGGTCACTGACCATCTCTGACAGGTCTGTGATCTTTGGATGATCGCCAGAATCCAACGGATCCAACTGAATAGCGATCCCCTCTTGCCTTGAAGTCATGAGACCATCAGCCGACGGAACTGCGTTCAAGGCCTTTTGCGAGTTCTCGACAGATTTACTGTTGCTGGAGCTTGTGCGCTTGATAATAGCGAACCCAAGTGAACCTTGTGACTGAGCTGCACCATTGTCCCTCACTTTCTCCTTTTCGTTGCAGCGCCCATCTGTGAACTGCAAAATAGAGGGTTCCTCGCCCGTTAAGACGACATTAGCTTGCCAAGAAGCCACCTTTTCTCGAATGAAGATGGCTTTGCTATCACTTGGCTGTAATGCTCTGGACTTCCCCTGTTCCTGTCGTTCGGTCTTGGTGCTCCCACTCCAATATTTAGATGATACGTTCACAGCATCAGGATTATGCCTGAATTTGCGACACCACCTTCTTTCGTAAGTAACCCACTCTTCTGCGGTCTCTGGCAAGACCCAGTCGACATCTTGAGCGTTCAATTTCCGTGTATCACCCATCCGCACACTGCTGGAAACACCCACGTAACCCCTGCTGGTGCATCCCAGCTTGACCAACGCCGAAACATGCCCCCACTTAGGACTCGTTGGGTCACCATAAGCCTCACCGACAGCGTCCGTGATTGCTTGGTTTATCCGTCGAGTTCTCGAGCCGAATGGTACTGACGATGTGGGCGACGGCGGGCACAATTCCGCAGGGAGCAAGGCGAGATTCGCCGATAGTTGATGTACATACTGCGCGAAGTTCTGTTTGGCGCCAGTCCATGTAGAATCAGAGGAAGTAGACGGCAGCGAGACCGGATCGGGCATGGCAGAGTAGTTGAACTAAGGCTTCAAGCAAACTTTCCAAGAGAGCAAACAAGAACTTTCAACAAGATTCAACATCTACTTTCAGGGAATGCCACACCGATGTATGGAACAGCCAGAGCAAGCATTGGCTGAAGTGGGACGAGGCAGGAGCGGTCGTAGGTTGAGGTTCGGCTGAGATTCAAATCACTTTACGCGATCATGTGCACCGCGTCAAGCGACGAAATGAGGTTAGCGCCCGAATGCCAGTCCAGCGTCTAAGCTCTGTCAAGCTATGACCTTTGGTGTGAGGCTCAAGGGTGTATCCACTCTTTTCGTACAAATACAGAATGGGTCGCGCACAGAGAAAACGCGCTGAAGGGCAGGATACGAAGAAACCCAAGCAATTTTTGACCAGTGTAAGTGTACATGCGCACACTGATATTGTCGTTGACTTATTTCTTTACTAATTCGAGCTCAGGACGCTGCTCTTAAGCTGGCGGAATCTATTTCCGAGACTCAAGAAAGTGTCTCCCACAAGAAAGTGGAGCGCCACCAGCAGTTGGCTCATGTGAGTCCATCCCTTCTCCGAGCGTGACAATATGTCGAGATTCGACAGATTGTCGCAGAAAAGTCTAAAAACAAAGCCGCTAAAAGCCGCCAACCAAATACCAAGCTGGTGAGCGGATTTTGACGCTATCGTACAAAGCGGCGTATCTGACATCATCGTAGAAAGAAGCAAAAGCAGTTGCGATTGCTGCCGCAGCCCGAGCGAAGAAAGAGAAGGCTAATTCACGGAAACAAGCCAAAATTGCGATTACATCGAAAGCACACAGATCAGTTGATGAAGCTGGCGACGGCATGAAGCATGTCAGCAAACCTGTTAAACATGTCTCGTTTGCATGATGACTTCTCAGTCTTGTTCCAGACCGAGATGACACGAAAGATATAACTCAGACGAGACCAGCGAAAAGCATCTGGACCAAGCAGATAAGCTACCGGCCCTCGCGCGTGATATACACTACAAAACCGGGACTATGTTTGCGACGATAGCAGATTGGGATGAGGTTGAGACATGACTATGTGTACTATACAGTAAACTACTTCGCAGCACCCTTTATTGTGCATGATGACGGTAATCGACCAGCTATAAAATATTGGTGGAGAGGACATCTTGATCCAGCGCATAGCGTCTCCCGGGTATGACAGACAAAGTCCATGTCGTGACGATCGTACATCCATAAGTTCGTAGAAGCAGGAGCCCAGCCTAGACGGCCATACTATGTCGTCTTGAATCGTCACCCTCCAGACGTTTAAATTTGAGCGTTGAGCTACCCTGAACGGAACGTCTTCTTCCTTCCATGTTGACCCAATCACTCCCGCCTCTTACTCCTCCATATTCGGCATCGGCCTGCGTACCTTCGCTTTCTTCACCATCTTCAGGGAGTACATAAGCTCTGGATTTCTTGCGCTTTATGCCCACAGTGGGGGGGATTTCAGATGGTGGGTATTGTGGATCGATCTGGTCAGGCGATCCTCGCGATTCGCGGCCGTCGCTGGAGGAGGTTGACGACCGCTTTGAAGCGCCAGGTGGGTCTGGTTTGCGCATTTTCCTTGATGATGAAATTCATGTCAATGGCTACAACACGGCAGCAACAAATGATAATATATCTCACGTATTCAACTTGGGTTCTGCATAGTTGATACTCTTCCGGACCCTCCTCTCGCGCCCTCCTGTTGGCTCGGGATCAGGTGCGGGTGGAATGGGGCTAGATGTCCGCGGTGTTAGCAGGTGCGACGAGTCGGAAGCTGGCTTGGCGGCAGGTGTCAGCAAGCTGCTGCGCACTACATCCGATGAAGTGTGACCAGAACCACTGGCAATGGGAGAAGTGTCGTCTGGTATGTATTGCCTTTCAGAATCTACTATACCATCAGTCTCATACACTGAACAGTAGCATCAAGTGCATCTAACTTACCATTCCTAGCTTGATCTATGTTGAACAAAAGTGGTTGACTAACCCGAGAATTTGTAACGTCCTTGAGTTTGGACTTACTGCCTTCCATCTCACGGCCAGGCTCCTCTGCATCCCGCGATCGTTTACGCTCTCGTTCTCTTGGTCGCTCGGTAATGGTGTTGAATTCTCTGTGCCTCTCCTTGTCTTTTTCCTTCTCCTTCTTCTTCTCCTTCTTGATACGTTTGCTCACGGCCTGTAATAAAACCTCAACCTCCTCTTCTTCGTCCTCCCCATTGACTACTGCAGGCACATCCTCTTCTTCGGCAAGAATAGCGTCTCTTCGCAATGGAGATCCAAAGGCGGGACTTGGAGGCCGAGGGGAGACCGTCCCAGTATCAATACCGCTTGTCGTTACGGTCGTAATCGACATGCTTGCAAGAAGTCCGCTCTGCCTTCTGGTAGGCTGGCGTTTTCCTGTCTTACCCACTTGTTCCTCGAGAACTACTTGGGATATTTCGACAGGAGAAGGGACGACCCGAGTGAGGATTGGGAGGCGTGAATCTGAAGTGCGTGGCTTGGTTTTCCGACGTCGGACCGGCGTGGGATCTTTCTCTTCTTGGACGTCATCGTCTGGGTCTTCAGGTGAAGACATATTCGTCTCGTCATCTTCGTATATTTCTGGAACAGTGGGAGGTCGAGCCAGTCGATTAGATGGTGGAGACGCGTTAGGGTCTGATACGGGGCGTTTCGCGCGCGGGCGGGGTGCTGGCTCTTCAGGACTAGATGAACGTGTAAACGGCACATGGAATGATTTGCGTATATGCCCCAAATGTTTAATGAGGCTGTGTGTCTAGTAGGGGAATGTTGGTGACCGGTAAGTGGGACTAATATACGACGTCACTCACAGCGGCCTCTGCCTCCGCTATGATCTTGCTTGACCTTTCGCGTTCGCGCTTTAGCTGCGATGCCAGTGCGATCTCTGACGCTCGGAGGCGAAGGTTCTCCACGTATAGCGTGGAAATCTGAGCGTTAAGCTCCTCAATCCGGACACTGAGAGTTGAATTGAGTCTGCGGATTCGAAAGTCGTTAATGAGACAAGGATCGTCGGTAAGCCGCATTATCCAGCTCACTTGGTGATATGCTTGTTGGCTAGTAAGAATTTCTTCTTAACTATTCGCCGAATTTAGGTTAGTAGTTAGCATGGCATGCGACGTACAGGTGGTCAGCAAACACACAGTTTTCGAACTCCAGGAGGGTATCATGTTGACGGGAATCAATTGAAACACGCGATTGTCGCCTGCTCATTGCGGCTGACGGCGAGTGGGTGGTATAGTCCAGGCGGCGGTGTGTCGCGATGTCGAACAACAAGTTCACGAACAAGCCACATCAGGGATCAACGCGTGGGTGCCGTGCACCCGCACGAGTCGCGACGTCATGAGCCGAACCGAGAGCTGAGCCAATTCTAGATCGTCTCCATTGCTCGATCACATGGGCGCGTGTTGAAGTGGTTCAATACGCTGCCCCACTTGCCTGTGCAGGGCTTATTTCTGAAACACTGTCTGGTTTTTCAAGGTTGTCATTGATCAAGTCAAAATCACTTTTATACGTATTTTTGGACCACACCGAACAGCCTAGCTTGAAATTGCGCGAAATAAACGGGAGAAACATGGCAAATGAGCAGGAAGAGGTAGAGGAAGATCACGGCGACGCGTTTGCTAACAGGTCTGGGTTCCAGAGTGTGCAGGTAAGAGCCTTCAGATATCATTCAATCATGTCTAGACGTCATCCGGCTCTATGCCAATCTGGAATAGGAGGACGAAGAACATGCTATTTTCACAATTCATAACAGGCCCGTTCGTTTCTACTTATATACCAATGGCAAGAGTGGCCATTACAGCCTTACTCCGCACCAAGTGGAAATTTTATCTAACAAGATATATGTATGGAGGTTGTTTTGATCTTGTCTTTGCTGCATTTCATGATTCACATTTCAAGACACACGGAGGAAACTTAACCCTTGATGAAGAGGATGCCGATACCATCATTGCTCCATACGCTGCAATAGAAGACCTGAGAGGAAAGTTCTGGGACTCGCGCACAGTCTATGTCGAAGAGCCTAGCTTTGTCCAGCGTTGCATCATTAGGAAGCGATACGTGGAGAACCGTCACAAGCCTGTCAGAAAAGGCATGGGGGGACGATCCTACGGTGGTAACAGGTAAGCTGCTTTATAAGCTAAGATGATAATAACAATCCTGGAATAATGCTATAGTCGCGTTGAGTTCACTGCCGAAGACGATCGCCATTTGTGCGAATATATCGCTTCTGTTGCTCCGAATCCAGACGAAGGAGGACGCTCAGGACTTGAAATCTATAAGCGTTTACTAAGATCAGCGGAATACGTGCGTTCACTGAAATAGATTTTGTATCTTCTGGGTAATCTCACAGTCATCTAGTTCGAGCATAGACGGTGGGCCAAACGCCACACGTACTGGTCGTGGTTGGAGCGCTATAGGAAACGGCGTGCGCTCTTCGACCCTATCATCGAACACTTGGTGGAGGAGAATCCTCCTCCCGCTGACGGAAAGGGTCTATACGAACGTAGCAGGCTAGTCAAGTCAGGGACTGTCCGTCAAGAACTGGTGGAGGATGAAGATGAGGCTGATGCCGAGGAGGAGGAAGAGGAAGAGGGGTCTCAGAGAGTGCGTGAGGGTGGCGAAACACGTAAGAGGCCTCGGGTTGACAGCAGTGGCGAGTCAGACGGCGAGCGAGAAGAAGAGGAGTACTTACCCGTTCACCCTGCTAAGAGGGTAAGACGTAGCGATATGGGGCCTCGAGTCGTGTCTCCTATTGAGCATGGACGCCTTGCTCGGAGGCCGACATCATTTCCACAGTCCACGCAGAGGTGGGATAATAGTCTTCTTTCGAGTGACGATGATGATGAAGAGCCAACTGGGATTCCATTCGAAACCCTCAGCGAGAATCCTGCCAGTTACGAAGTAAGTCGTGCAAGGTAAGATCTCAGTTGACCATACTGTACTAGATCGTCTTGATCCTTGATGTTTGATAGCCAGAGTATTCCCTCAAGTATCCGCCGCCCGGGACCCGAAGATGCTGGTCCATCTGGCACACAACCTTCTCCGAGCCACTTGAGGTCTCCTATGTTCGAATTCTCCCCTCACTCGCTTTCTGACGCGGCTCGCAGGGTACCGATGAGTTCACAAGCCACACTGGTCGGCACACAGATGGCGCCTGCCGATTCTGACAAGGTCTTTGCCGCTCGTCAAACAGTGTCGGAGACCAATCAGTCAGTACGCTCGAAAACCATATTAAATAGCACGGCAGCGCGACCTGCTTCCGGTAGTGCGCGACGACGTGGCAATATGCAAGCTCAAACAGCGGCCATTTCAACAACGAGTCCCCAGACAGCCACTAGGACAAAGAAATTTATGGTTGTAGAGCCTCCCCCTGTGTCTGACTCATTCCCTAAACCTCGGACACGGGCCACTGTATCCGCCGTAACGGGCGCAAGAACTCGTGCATCAACTTCCCGCGCCCCTCGACCAAATACTGCGACTACGTCTATTAGCGCGATTAGACAGCAGAATATGGTGGAAGAAGTACATCAAGACTCTATTGGCGATAGTGCGATGCCCAGTTACATGGGCGGCAACGGAAGCTTAGAAGGTGCCCCCGGTATGGTGGGAGAGACCAACGAAGATGAACTTGAAGACGTCGAGGGGCTTCTTGCCATCAGCAACGGCTCGAACAGCCAGAGCAAGGCTTCAAATCCTATGTCAGGCCAGACCTCACGACAACCCCATCCATTCGAAGTAGACATGGATAGCGATGACGAACGCTCACGATCGATCCTGCTGCCTGCGGTCATAAGCAACACTAGCGCGACTTCGGGCGTTCGTAGTGGTGCACTCATTCGTTCCGCCGTCAATACACCAGAGCGCCGACAGTCTGCTGTTCAGCCTCCGGGGACACAGAGAGTGTCGTTTACACCAGCCAGCCTCTTGGTTGAACGCTCTCAAGCTTCTTCAAGGAGGCGATCGGGTCCTCGCCTTACTGGTTCATCGGATACGGACTCGGTTCCTATGCAAGGTACGCGGGCGAGGGAGGAGAAGGTTAGGATGGTGGAAGAACTACAACGAACGCCGTATACGCCACCTCGTGGGACTAGGGCTGCCGCCGCAACTTTGACGCTACGAAATCGTGAAGTACCCCGTATCGGGGTCAGGCAGTAGATGACGACTAATATATTCATCGTATCTGACAGATGCATCCATGACTTATTGATTATTTAGTATAGTGTGCGTGATTTCGCTTTTACTCACATCCAAAGCTGATGCATTACTGACAGGTCATATCTCTAAGCACAATGAGCTCTGATCACTTCCATGTATATTTCATGTTGAATGTGTTCAAATCTACCGTATGCATAGGTGATTGCGGCGCAGTATGCACGAATCTGTTGCTACGACGTTTAAGTCGTTCATTTGTTCAGCTGAGCTCCTCGTAGCATTGCCTTCGAGTGGCAGACGGCCTCTAGCAATGTCTAATTTTCGTTCATTTGATTTGACCTGCCTACATAGGTTCCCACGTTTATGGTTCGCAATTCGCATTTCCTTCACTCACTTTGCAGAATGCACGGGGGAAATATCTCTGAAAACATCGATATTGATATGACAAAATGACAAAATGAAGGAGAGGGCGTCAACTTTCAAGTTCCACTGGCGGCTATTCAGTCTAATTTCAGCGTGATAAAATCAATTCGAAGTCGAAGACACTCAACTTCGCTTCTGTCGGCGGGCGAGTGACCATCGCCTTACCCGGGTCTTAGTAAGTGGGAGCCAGGTAGATGACTCTCCCACTACAATAATTTCAATACTGCAATAGATCTTTGGGAATGCCTGCTATTCGTGCAACAGCTACATACTTCGCCGCAGCCAACAGCATTCACAGCTGCCGTTCGCAGTATCGGCACCGGTTCGGCGGTATCGGTGCCGGGAAAGCCGAGCACGCCGGGCGCGTCGGCAGTGACGGCATTGTCGGCGCGCTGTGGGCAGCGCCACAGTGGACTTGACAGTGTGTATATGTAGTGCCGTCCATGGAGCCATCGCAGCCGTACGACTCCCCCAGTTTCCTTTACTCTTCAACATTGTCTCCTCGTGGTCTGCCGCCATGAATAGCACCGCTTCTGAACGCCAGCCGCTCATTCAATCTTTGGCCGCCCAGCCTGGTGCAGCAGCAGGGGCTGTGATACCACCGGCGGAGACGAAACAACCCACAAAATTAGGACCTCTGGAGATTACTCGCTCGACTCGCTACGGGATTTTGGCTGGGATTTGGGCAGCAACTTTCCTTTCCGTGTGTGCTATTTTTTCATTTTGACGGAGCGGCGCTTAGGGGTTTCTTTGACATGTTCGTTATGAATGCATTAGTCCTTGAATAGTACGTTTGGCATAATTATTATTGGACGCATTTTTTGATACCCTATGATTTGTATTCCGCCTACAGCAACTCTGGTTGCTACGCGTGAGTTCCTTGGAGACACGTCGTGTCACACGAGCAGCAGCGCTAAGTAAATTAATGTTGCTCAGTGCTCCCTTCCATTTCTTCCGAGTTCAACAAGTCTCATCAAGCACACTGGCTCGGAACAGCGTACGTATGCCATTGCATCGCTGGACTATCCAGATTCAAATGATTTATGCAGGTACTTGCTCGCGACATGTACATTTACTCCCTTGTATGGGCGTCTCTGCAACGTCATGGGTCGCAGAGGTGCCAATCAAACCGCAGTATTCTTTGCAGCCCTCGGTACCATCGCGTGTGGGTTATCAGGGAACATGGAAACATTGATTGCAGCAAGATTTGTAAGTAGCATATACTAGCAGCGTTTGACTAACCTGATCAATATATCCAGCTAGGTGGATTGGGTGGCGGAGGGATCTTCACGACCGCAACGTGAGGGCTCAGTGTTTTAAGATTTGGGTACCATGTGGCTGACACGACTCAGGATTATCACGAGTGACATGTATAGTCTGAGAGTTCGTGCCCCCTTTATATTGAAGTATATGTGCACATTAACTGTCCGTCTTATTTAGTCACGGGGTCTTACGCAAGGAATTTCTTCTGTATTCAACAGCGTAAGTTGGAACATTTCAATCGCTACTTCTGACTCACTGGCATCATCAGCTTGGGATGGGTCTAGGAGGTCCCCTGGGCGGGTACATCAGTGATCGGTAATGCTTGTTAGTTGCGTTGAATGGCTCGTATCTGACAATCAATTTGTCAGTTTTGGGTGGCGATGGGCGTTCCTGATCCAGCTTCCTCTTTTCGTCATCTCTTTCATATTGACCTCCATCAATTTACACTACGTTACCCCGGTGTGTGATGTCAATTTCCCTTGTGTACTTGAATGCTGACCGCTAGGTGTGGTTCAGGGTAAAGGCAAGAGTGCACGGGATGTCCTGAAGCGCATAGATTATGGTGGCAGCTTTACACTGCTAGGATCGGTTTGTACGGAGTATCCTCAGCTTGACCATTCTCATCCTCTGAAATAGGTGCTATCTATTCTCATCTTCCTCAGTAACCATTTTAGCGAAGAGCAGCCGGTATGTAGAATGATTTGAGATCCCGTACACAGGAGACGCTTACTGGTAATATTTTGTAGTGGTCTTCACCAGCAGTATTTGTTCCCGTCATACTGGCAATCGTGTTTGCTGTGGCATTTGTTGTTTTCGAGCTGTGCATCGCACCAGAGCCCGTCCTAGCCCCCAGGTTACTCAAAGAACGTATCCCGGTGCTTGTGGGAATGAGTAACTTCCTCGTCGCCACCTGCAACTTTACTGTCATGTACAACTTCCCTACGTGGTTCCAGACTGTACTACTCACCAGTGCAAGCGAGGCTGGTAGGGCCCTTTCACTTTCGCTGTCTCATGGATTCCGTTGACATGTTCGTAAAGGCGCGCATCTCATCCCCAATGGTGTTTCTATATCCCTTGGATCACTCTTCGCCGGGTAAGAATGTAGTTGACTTGGCGGTAATCCGAGGTAAATTAATAGGATTCGAATGGCAGTTGGATTATGCATCAAACGGGAAGATACAAACGCTTGAATCTCATATTCGGCTTGTTTCCTTTCGTTGCTGCAATTTTGATTAGCTTGATGCGAGAAGACTCGCCGCCGGCACAACTGTGGTTGAGTATTGTACGTACAACTATTCGCCTACTTCGCGTCTGGCCTGATTGCTCCTGCTTTAGATACCGCTAGGATTTGGCAACGCCGTTGTCCTACAGACAATGTTGAGTAAGTAAGGTGCACTGATTTGTCATGTACGTTGATTTATATGGTGTCGCAGTCGCTCTCCTCGCCCATCTTCCCGGTTCGTGCAGAGGATTTCTGCATTGAACGCATTAATGGCTAATTTGTATACAGAGTCGTCAATGGCCGTGGGGACGGGCTTCGGACAACTATTTCGTGGGATCGGTATGTTCTACGTCATTACGTATAAGCTGAGCTGACTGAGGATACTGTGTATAGGTCAAGTTGGCGGGGTCGCCATCTCGGCCGCTGTCTTTCAGTCGGTCCTGACTTCAGAGCTCCGCAAACGTATCACAGGCATTGGGTCTGAAGAGGTCTATTTACCTTTACTTACTGTCCTCGATTGCGCTCACTTTCTATCACTAGATGATTACGAACATTCGACACTCTGCGACCCTTGTAGCGAGACTCCCTCCGGATCTGCAGCGCGCAGCAAGAGACTCGTATGCTATCAGCCTGCGTGTAGTCTTTCTGATGGCAGCCGGATCTACCTTTCTAGCTTATATCGTGCGGTTGCCGGTACGTAGGGCGCTCTTTTGAAGTTCGATGCGCTTCACATCTGCGTATCACTTCCAGATTCCAGACAAGCCACTCGAGCGAACACGACCTCGGAGTACTTCTTACGGCGCAGTGTCTTCTGCGCACTCCGCACCGACTCATGCGAACGAGACAGAGAGTAGTATCGATAATGACGGACCTCATGCGAGCGATGATGATGAGGATGCTATTCCGCCTCTGAGGACTAGGGGCCCGCGTCCGCGACGATTGTCTACTTACGAGTCCTCTGATGGTGGCATGGACCTAGAGAGCGATACCATTGGAGGATCGGCAAGAGCGGACAGTCATCGCTAATGCATGCGAGTCTTTCACTCCTTGTCAGCCATCTGCGCGTAGCAGAAATGACCCATACTCGATTGTGGGCCTTACAGTGTAAGGTTAATGCACCGCATACGAACTACCGCACGTCTGTGCGCAATGCGTCGGGGTCCACTCTGGTTGCAATTACGATTTCACGTTTCCTTTTTCATACTTAGATACATCGAATACAATTACAGCTGGACATCCAAATACATTTACATGTGATTGTTGCGAACTTTCCTCCATTTAGAGGTAGGCCTAGCCGCGACGGTCAGTTTCATCGTATTATAGCATTTAGCTTTTGACTCACAGCAGCATTTGGAGGACTGGCAACACCTCCAAGCCTAATATCCAAAGTAAGTGACGTGAAGTATCTGCTTAACAAGGTGCTCAAACTTACACATTGAGAGGCCAGGAAGAGAAGAAGAACGTATATCTTCCGGTCTCGGAACAGACATTGGCCAACGCTTCTAAGTCGAAGAATTCACCTACAAATACGCTTGCTGTCAGCTATTTATACGATGAGCGATAGCATCCACACATACCAATGGGCATACCCCACAGACTATCTGAGTGTAAGCACGATGTATTTCCCTGCATTCAGTTGACCTGTCGCTTACCAGATGATTGTCTGCAGATGCATCGAAGACAATGAGATCACCACGATGAAATCACGGAAAATACCACTCACCTGGTGAAGCGTGCGGCGGCCCGGGGCAGGCCAGCGCTGCAAGGAACTTGCGTTGAGCACAATTGTACTCAGGTAAGGACTGATCTCCCGCGCTCACCTCTATTGCTGGTTGATCAGAAGCTATGGCGGCGAAGTGGTTGTTCCTGTACTATCATTCTTAAGTCTCAGCCTCCACGGTCAATACTATCAAGGCGTACCAGAGGAAGCGTTTCATATCCTCGGACTGTTCAATACCCGCACTGCGATCATGTCAGATCAGTGACAGCGTCGCGCTATTCGTGCCAGGGTGCGCACAGGGTCTCTGGCTTCCCGTTCAAGCTGTCCCTCTCTTCTTGAGTGGCAGTGTTGAACCTCTGCATGAAGCCTACTCGGAGGAGTAGTATATCTCCCTGCCGGAAGCTCACTCCCTGCTGCTTCGCGCAGTCTTCCAGATCCTTGGGTGGGATGGCGTGTGTTGTCCATGGGTCGTATGGCAGCGACCCCCCTGATGTGGTGTAATAGCGCACAAGATCTAAAAGCACACCGCGCCCACAAATGCCATGCTGCGCCCAGTCTGGTGCGAATGGATCAGGAAGGATTAGATTAGCGAGATGAATGAACATACTATGAATGCCGAACTTGATAAGCTGAGGATCGACAGCGCTTGAATCGGGAATGACAAGGTCGCCTCTTTGAAAGAAATCTGTCGGAGTGCTGATCATTTCATTTCCGAGTTAGCGCCTAGATCGTGCGCTGATCATGCTACGGACTTATTATAGAAAATTCCGTGCTCGAGAAGGCCATAATGTCTGAGCCCGTCCCATTGTGAGCCCGATTGTGTGTTCTGTGGACCGGGATTCAGGGGAGTCTCCGCATGCCTGGACCAACAAACATACAATGTGCAATGCGTCATCATTAATCGCCGGCTCCTTGCTCCACATCTTCACATGTGGAGGCTGGCGACCAAACAACGGCTGACAAGTATCATTAATATCCGGTCTTGAAACATCAACTCGTTTGTTTTCTCTACCTTGTTCGGAAAGTTGACGGGCCTGTGTAGAGATCAAAGCTGAGCTCTCGTCGTGAATATATGCAAGAGTAGAATCGTACCAATTCAAACACACTGATTTACCTAATCTGACAGCAAAATGAATAGTGAGCGGCGGGGCGGCGACGACCATGGTCAAACGTACCGAATCTCCTTCGCTGCCTCCCTGACTACATCCTCTGTGAGTAAGTTAATGGTACCCAGTTGGTCATCTTTTCCCCAGACTTCCCAAGCACAACCAGTGAAGTCGCGGAAACTAGGGAGCTCGTCGAAGGAAGGGAGTTGTTCTGGTAACGGCATCGGGGTGTAGATATTCAAGACACAACTACCGAGAGCCTAAGCCAGAACGAAGTGCGTCATAATATATCGATTCCCATGGGGGCCGGAACCGCGTCGGAACAATGAATTGAGCCTGATGACTGAGATTTCTCTCACTTGCATGTCCAGCTGACCACATAAGATGGTCTGCGAAACCATCCGGGTCCTGAAGATGGTAGTATGCGATACATATTGAGGTTTGTAAATCGTCTAGACTGAGCTCTGGGGATGATAGTGCGGGTGCTCGCACCTGCGTGACCACTCTGGATCCGTCGCCTCCTTGTAATAGATTCATATAGTAGTCATTAGCATAGAATGGGCGAAGGTTCAGTACTTAGTGCGGAACACTATAGGCCGCGAGCAATAGTGGAAATTCGTATTCTCATATGATATCATGATCAGTCATGACTTGCTCCTGACGCTCGTCTTCAAGTTGCCGAAGATACTGTGATTGATCTTGTTATTTGTGGATTTTTCTAGCGCCGGTTTTCGATGAGAAATACAACAGCCTGCGTGGCTTATCCCTTGAGTGACTTAGCCTGACGAAAACCCTAGATAAAGCGGAAACACAGCGAGACAATCATAACGCTCGAACTCGCATCGTACGATCACGCGAAGCCCACAGCATCTTGACCATTTACGGTTCCTACATAGCGTTCAAAGGCACTATGCCACCCACGCTCACCTTGACCGGGTACCAAAACGTGTTCAAGATAGTTGTTGTGCTGTTTGCATATGCCATCTGCACATATACAGCGCCTTCGTCCTGGTGCCGTCCAGGCCGGGCTCGACGAGCTCAAGGTTCTGTTGTTACATTGAACGTCGTCGTCGTCATCGTCGTTCGCGTGCAGTAGGAGACTGCGCCGCCGGTACACGAGCCTGGACGTGAGGTTAACGTCCGCGAAAGCGCCGGCGCTGTGAAGTCATAAAGATGTCGTCGGGCAAGTAGATGGCGACAGACGTGGCGTTTGTTGTGATCACGAGCAACTAAGGATGGATGGCCCGAACAGGAATTGGAGGTCTATCCAAAGGTATTAGTGTCCTACGGGTACTGGCACTTTAGTTTGTTCAGGAGAGTCGATGTGGTATCGACGCTGGCTTGATACAGCACAGTGTAGATGTAGCGCAGCAGACGGTACCTGTCATAATGTGAGATATCGGAAGAACTAGAACGGAAGCCAGCGCAGTATCTCATATCCAACGTACCCCAGCTATCTATTATATATTAAACAGTCGGCTAGCAATGGAACTCCTGGCTGATCGAGGCATTGTAATTTTGATACACCCACATAATGAGGGTCTCCCTCAAAGACCATGTGTTTTCAACTGATATTCCGCGTGAACGGATAAAACACAGTTCATCGCACATACATCTTCGTCGTATCTTCTTCTCCATTTACATTCCACAGCACACATCAGCACACTCCACCAGAGTCGATACATCACAAACGGCACAATACTTACCAGGCCACAAATGCCCATACCCACCACCGGAAGGTGGAACATGCCTCTGGTCCGCATGCATTGCATGCTGCCCCAGCCAGGACAGAGTCTGCCGCTGTGTGGGGCCCGCGATAAAAATTTGATTGCTGTGTATTTGGAGCACAAATCAAATGCGCTAGCAACGCCTTACGTAGCTCCGAGGAGAGATGGCTGAGATTTGGGGAGCGAGAACGAGAAGACGCATGTAACTCCACGTCGAGAACAGGAATATCTTTGATGTAGACTGGTACATGAAAGAGAAGCAGGAGAGCACAGAGTGGATCCAAGAGTCATGGAAGTGAGCGTTGTTGACTGGATAGGCCGGCCCTGTGATTTTGGGTGCTCAAACGAAGGAAAAAGCAGACTGTGTGGACGCGAGAAGGAGCGGTACGGACATCGAGGCGGAGGAATTGTGGACAAACCCAACTCGTTCGGACAATGACATGGCATAGTTACTCGCAGAGTCGCCTAGTGTGACCAAATATCAACGACTCCGCTGAGATTCAATGGCTTTGGATATCGATGAGATCGAAAAACCACCCGTCTCCAGCCAGCGAAGAATCATACGCAATCAAAATTTCGCACTTGAGCAGAGGGGACTCGAAAAAAGGTCTACGGAGTCAAAATGAAGTCCTGGCGGGAGAATGGAAGCAGATTTCAGAGCGTTATGGAGGGTGCTGTATGTTTGGAACATGATGTTTGGACCAGCAGCGGTCTCAGCGTGAGCAATGAGTTGGACTCCAGGCAGGGAACAGCCTACCGTGACGACGCGTCAATTCTCTAATGCCCACGTGATCGCGTTTGGTATGGCAGATCCGGGCAGAATGTAACACTTATCAGTATGCTTTCGCTGAGTATGCGTGCGCACATGAGAAGATACAATGACCAGATCAAATGATAGTAGGAGTTCTTAGCCTTAACGCAAATGTCATACTCAAGTTGATACCGCAACCACCGTGATGTAGCCTAACACGAACGCTTGAATCATTGAAATGCTACCACTGGCTATGCATCGCACATTAAACGAATTACGGGATCACGAAGATCACGTCACATAAATTTCAATATCGCGCGAATTGATACATTGGTAGCAGGGAAGGGGAATTGAAAAGATAACCACGGACGACAGACATTGGAATGGCAGTAGAGCCATCTAGAAGATACGTGAGCATGTTGGTAAAAGTAGAACATAAGTCCACTCACGCATGCGTCTCCAAATTGAGTTCCTTAGTAACGCTCAACATCGATATTGACGTTTCCGATCGCACCCGAGTCGCTGTTCCAGCTGCCGATGGTGACCAGGTAGTTCGAGTTTACATTCCGCTTCTCAAACTTGTTGGATTTCTTTCCCCACGGACAGTTCCAGTACAGCGTGCAAATCCTCACTGTACCGTCGTAAAGATCGATCGTGCCTTCAGTGCCGGACGAGGCGCTCGAACGGCCGCAGGCAGCAACGGTGGACGTAAAGTTGGGCGCGATTACGATGCCATTTATCGTGCCGGAAGAAAGCTCGTCGCCCTTGTTGCCATCCTTGTAGAATTTCCCCCTGGAGGATTTAACAGTCAGCGTATATTTCCAAATTTAAATTTAAAAAAATTTGAAGGCTATGCATTACCATTTCGCGTCAGCATTCTGGATCTTGATACTGGCATTCCCTAGTAAATTCTTGATTTGCATGCTGATCCATTGAGCATAAGCACGAGGTGCGCCACCGTCGATACCTCGTGTCCCGTCCCCGAGCTCACTTATAGTCGTGTTGTCATCGGGCGCATTGTTGGAGATGATGTTGATGTTCACGATGAGAGACATAGTGAGAGATGAGGTATGCGAAGTAGGAAGTTTTGCTCTTTGAGACTGGAGTGCTAGTTGTTGAACTAGAGGTCAATGAGGGGACGATGACTTTTATACCTCGCAGATAGGGCATTTCCGAGCCCACGCTCAAGGCAAAGCATACTTCTCCCGTCACTTGTCATTGTCAGCCGGCACGGTATAGATCATGTCATTCGATGGCTCTGTTCGTAAAATGAAGAAATTGACAACTAATTGTCTGGATCCGCTTAGATTCAATGAAGACACGCAGACCATACCAAAATGGCGCCACGGACTGATTAATGTTCACACCCTCGGGATGAGGGAATAGATTCAATAATATTGGCACGCACGAATGATGATGCGCGAATAGCTTTAGCCGACTTGCCACAGGATAGGGCAACGACGTTTATCGGTATTATCATACTGTGACTGACAGCCGCGAAATTCGACTTGAAAATTCAAGTCAGCCTCCCATAGTTCCTCTGAATGTGAATGTGACACTATTACCGGTCGTTCACGTTCTCCGAGTTCATGACATTGGCAGACGGTCCGAATTGTCCTCATGCTGGGACGTCACCATGGCATCCCATAGGAAATTACGGTAATGTCAGTGGTCAACTCGGAAGTTGTCGAAGACTGGAAGTTAGAGAGGATATCCGGACATTTGGATTCAAATATTAAGACTCCGGAGGAGATAGGCCCCAAATAATCTTCGATTCTGCGAGCACGGAACCCAAGAGTGGCCGGTAGCCTGTGCGACCAGCCGAGCACCAAACATTCCATCAATATAGGGCCGCATGCGAGCGGACCTGAGCCCTGTATTACAGCAACGGAACCAGTGGCACGTTCATTGTGACTGGCACGCACCGCAGTTCAATATCCAATGCCAATCATGCCGAGTCTTGCGAATGGGAAATATGATCGGTCACATTACTCTCATTCAATGAGTCGTGAGTTTTGCCTCATACGGTCGAGATCTGTCGTAGTGTACCTGTTTCCGTAGAAGCTAGCTGGGCGCCATTCAGTGTCTCCTCACTACTTTCGGCCGCCACTATTGCCTCCTTACCTTATGTAATATTTCGATCTTACCATGTCTGAGCATGATGATCAGCTTGAAGCTGAGGACATCGCACCTTTGACTCTTGCATTGCACAGACATTAATATTCCATGTTCCGCATAAATCAGGCTTACGATTGGAAAGTCTTTGACCTCTTGTCTTCAAGTCCCCCGCCAGTATTTTGGAGCTGTGTAGTGTAACCTCTACTTCAGTGAGGCCTGGAGCTGTCAATGACAGGTGGGTTTCTGTCTTCCAGTGAGGAAGAACACACAGCGGCTGTTCATTCCCCGCATTCTTGAAGGGTACATGGAGTCATGGGTCGGAGTCGGGGACTGCTGCGACCGATCTTGTTCGCCAAGACATGTCAGAATACGTGTCCGATCAGCGTACGGCAGGCTCATTCACGACTGCGTTTTTGGCGAATGCCGGGTCGGGTACTGGGTACGTCTTGATCAGACCGTTCACAGCTCATTAATCATTGTTTGAGGCGAACTTCGGAAGCACCTGACCAGTGACCTCTCGCTCTGCGTGGTAACGGTTAGTACGTTCTCACTACTGTTAAGTTTATGATATGTGACATAACTTCGACTTCCAGGTTTTTGATATTGGGCCGTTAAAGCGCACAAGTTCGCTCGCGTACACCGTTGGTGCACAAGCATGCAAATGTATCAATCGGAGTGGCGTCGCACAGGATACCGGCCGCTACTGAGGTCCGGGTGACCTACAGAATAGAAGACTACCTGGAGTATCTGCCGGAGTCTCAACTTTTGAATATCTGTCCGTCCGTAGCTGCCAGTTTCTGACAACTTTGAATCAGTTAGCACAGCAGTTTGACGTGGTCACCTACTTGATGTCATTCACCAACGAACTTATTGGCTTCAGGGAGCACTAACTTAGTTTGGTCTGTCACACTTCATGGTCGAAGTTATCATCCATTTGACTAGAATACCTTGTATGACTTCGGAAAGGGCTTCCCACAATGACATTGGCATGGTAAGCTATCGCTGCCGTTTCTTTTGCAACCGATCTATCATTGAAGTGCTCCGAAGATCTGTGTCAGTCCACAAGTTTGAATACAGTTGCCAATGGTCTATTTCATACATGCCTCACGTTTCACTCCAGCCACTATTTGTGGTATGCTTGGAAGATCTCTTTGACCCTGGATGTATGATAGCCACGACAACCGAGATATTACTTCCATAATATGGATAGCATTGCTCGAATGTTCGGATCCATGTGGAATTGTAGAGCCTGCCGCTGGCATGGGAATGGTCCAGTCGCCGACTGGCCCCCAAAATCTGGCTGGCTGTCGGGTACGAAGTCCGTCTGTCTCTGTAGTCGACCGGTATGCCTCGGTATATAAAAGACTACGGCCTGGGGCTCACAATGATCAATCATCGGTTTCCCTCAGTTCACTTCACTTCCTAAATTGTCACAACACAGCTAGCTTTCAGCATGGCCGCCGAATACACGCCTTACTTTGATGGAATGAACAAAGGTCAAGGGTGCGTGCTTTTCGTCCAGATTGTGTTCACCTTAGCCTGAATTATTTTCGACGCAGGTTCAACACGTTTACTCAAGAACTGTGTTTGAACCACGCGGTCACTGTCGAATCGGGTTCGCCGCCTCCCCCGACACCTTTCAAAAGGAGCTATGACTCAGTTGAGATTAATAGTTATGAGTATGCCCGCCGTTTCATTCAGTAACATCGCTGTCTAATCCCTTTCTATACGAAAGGGAACTTACCAAATCTTTACACATCACCGCGGGTGCTGCAATCACCGGATGGGGTCAATCCGGTAAAGTTGACGTTGAATATCTGGACCGCGAAAGTGTATGTGAGATGTGTATACTAACATGGGTTTTTTCTCACCTACTTGATTTCTAGTTCGAAAAGAGCGACATTACCTTCGAGGTCAAGGTGGACGTTGAGCATCAAGGAAGGACAACCAACGACTATTCCTTCAATTGGACCGATCCGCCGAACCCGAACACCACATACGGTGACCGCTTCATTTCCGGTGACTTAGGCTAACGTTATGCTACATGTTCTGCCATTCTCCAATTAACTACGATTTCACAGGCTTCGTTGAAGGGGGACACTTCTATGCTCTCGTATCCATCACTTCTTTTAACCAGTCACAAAGTCAGAAAGTCAAAGAAGCGTAAGTCAATCCTGCACAAGTGACCCTTCTCTACAGATATTTATCTGGTCTATTCAGTGCTCAAGTCACCATGACTATGTATGGTACCAGTGGCGAGGTCTCACAGGAAGTCGAGCGTGCCATCGAGACGCTCAAACAGAATTCGACCATTCGCATCTCCATCAATGAGACATCAGGTGGCAAGCGGAAAGATACACCCGGTGAAGAAGATCTGAAGTCTATAAAGCAACTCGCCGATGAGTTCTACAAGAACGCTGAGCAGCATCATTACGTGCGCTGGTACGTGTGCAGTCTGGCTTCTGTAGGGATGCTAGCAGTAGATGATGCGTATTGATTATGAATAGGGCCATCTTGGAGAAATATGTCAATATCCCAAACTTTAAGAATGCTTTCCAGCCGTTTGACTATTTCGTTGCGATTCAGAAGGTGAGGGATGCAATCTCATACTGGTAACTGTCGCACTGACTGAGATGTGATTACAGAGTTTCTTCTTCCTCGACGATTTCTCCAAGTACATGTATTTCAAATCTATGATTCAGGACGGTGAGTGAAGATACTTATGGCTTGATGATGGACTTGTAACCAAACACCAATCGCGATTTCTTCAGTTCCGGACAACAAGTTCATCGACGGTCATTTCCAAAAAGCTGGTTTCGAGAAGATTAGGACTGACCAAATTGAACTTATCCGCAAGAAGGCATGTACCATGCACTTCCGCCATCGTGGAGTTGCTCAAACATATTAACTAGATCCATGCGATTCGCAATGATCCCGAGGATGCTGATTACACGCCGCCTGAATTTGTTGCAGGGAGTTTCCGTATAGATGTCTTGGTAGGTTCTCAGATAGACGAAAAGCAGAGCTGGCTAAAACAGACATTTCTGCAGAGGGCAATCAAGACGTTATCGTATATCGCACAGCGGATGCCTACACGTGACGGTAATTACTCTGACAGTGCGTCGACGTGATCCTCCAAAACACTTCCGTACATCATTGACTCCTTTTGTTCAGGTATCCGCCCGACTTTGCAGACAGGTGCCACGAAGCTTTTCGACGTCAAGGTCTATGACTTCAACGCTGTGGACGGTAGCACCGTCGTCTCATTTGCGTCTAGCACGGCTGGTGACGGATTCACCGCGATGATTGGTATGCGTGCCACCGGGATCCCTGGGATGAAAGAAGACAGCCACTTCTACATCTTCGAGAGTAAAGAAAACCAGCTTTCTCAGGAACCTGTCCGCGTGGCAGTATCCGGTTTGTCGAGCAGGAACTATCTCAGGCTTTCCCGGGAAAGTGTTCCGCGAGAGTATGTGTTTGCATTTCGATTTCTATGCCGGAAGACATAGCTGATTTCGATTCATTCTGTGGGGTGATAGCCCGGTGTTCCACCGTGAAATCGCTGCTGCTGGGCCGAAGAATAGTGGACTTTTCTCTTTCTACGTTGCTGGAGCTTAGACAGAGGGCAGGACAGCCGCTCATAGTATGTGTTGATGCGAATATAGTGTCACGAGTCTTGGTGTACGCGTACAATCGTGTATGATACGAATGTCTGTGCTATAAATTAGCTTGGCGGGTGTATACGTCTTGGAGAGACTTATCCTCATTTCGTGTTGTTTGTTGCACAAAACCTCAAGTTTTGTGATGTGAACCCACTGGATGCCCTTGACATTGAGAAGATGTTGCACCAGTCAGAGCGAAGGAGGAGCCAGAATGATTGTGGTACCGCTAGTTCGGTCTTGATTGTCAGCACAGATTAGAATATGACGAAAAGACACTCGCCTAAGCGGCCTGTTCTCATCTCTCTTGCACACGGTTGTGGACTTCATACACCCGTTACATTCTCCGATGCCATTCTTCGAGGCTACCTCGCTACACGCCGCGACATAAATCAACAAAGTCACTCGTATTGCCCACACTGATATCACCGCTACGACAGGATGTCTCCCCGAAAAAAGCTACATAGTGTCGCGAGGTTCGACTTGCAGGATTAGGTACATACTGAAATCTTGCGGGTGTTACCGCGCCGCCAAGATGTCTGGTGTAGTCACATCTTTGAATGATGCGCCAATGCATCATCATCACTCGGAGATACGAACTGCCTATAGGAATACTAATGAGTCCTCAAAACGATTCGGCTGATGTTAGCATCCTAAGACATTTGACGAAAAATGTAGCCATTGTGTCTGGGTACAATCATACACGTCATTCGGAACTTCGTTCGAGCTACAAGTAGCCTGTTCGGAATTCATCCGGAAAAAGACAAGGAAAAAGAGTGAAATATGCCAGTGTCTGAAGTATAGCGGATGAGTGAAAGTTACATCTTAGAGGTATGCCTAAATGTGCAAGGTCAGTGCGTGTCGATCTATGGGATTCCAACCACTCACCGCAGCGTTTGCTGGGCTTGCAACCCCGCCGAGCCTTAGAGACACCGTGCATCAGCCGACAATACTGGAGCTCTTGGCATCACTTACACGTTGAGTGGCCAGGACGTAAAGAAGAATGTGTGTCTATCATTCTCGGCGCACACCTCGGATAGCTTTTCCAGGTCAAAGAATTCGCCTGCGATGTCTTCTAGATAAATCGAAAGTGTTCCTCACAGCGATCTCATAACGTACCGATGGGCATACCGAACAGACTATATGCGACATTAGCTAGAAACAAGGGGCGAGAGAACATATGATGCACCTAAGAAGTGTCTGTTGGATGTACCCAAAGAGTTGGTACAAATTGAGACGACGATCTGCGCTACACACCTGATGCAAGTAGTTAAAGTCAAGATTTGGCCAACACTGGACAAAAGATGAGTGTGAGTCAACGAAGACATCTCGCATTTTACCTCAAGTGCTGGCTGATCAGAAGCCACCGCAGCGAAATGATTGTTCCTGCTCGGTCTCAGTACCCCGACTATCTAAAGCGAGACTATCACGAACTTACCAGAGGAATCGTTTCATGTCTTCTGACTGTTCGATACCCGCGCTGTGTGAGCATAATATCAGCATCTTTGCGAGGGCAACACAATGATACACGTACAAAGTCTCCGGCTTGCTCCCGAGACTATCCCTTTCTTCTTGACTAGCAGTATGATACCTCCGTATAAAGCCCATTCGAAGTATCAGAACATCACCTTGCTTGAACGTTATACCTTGGAATCGCGCACAGTCTTCTAGATCCTTGACTGGAATGGCATGTGCCGTCCATGGATCATACGGTAATTTAGCCCCTGACGCTGTATAATAGCGCACAAGGTCTAGGAGCACGCCCCGCCCACAAATACCATGCTGCGCCCAGTCTATCGCAGTGGCGTTAGCAATGAATTTAAAGTATATATAGTCCGAAGATAAATACTATGAATTCCCAGCTTAATCTGTTTCTGGTCGATAGCGTTAGGATCTGGGAAGTACAGATAGCCCTTCGGGAAGGAGCCGCTCGCGGTGCTACACATTCATGCGTTAATTACTATTCAGCCTTATAAAAAAAACACGGAACCTACTTGTTGTAAAACACGTCATAGCCCAACAGGCCAAAGTGTCTCAGCCCGTCCCATTGGGTACCAGACTGAGTGTTCTGCGCGATGCAAAATATGTATGAGAAGTTGCATGGTCAACTCAAGGTCCCTGTCGTACGATATGCAGTGAATCATCGTTCACGACATCATCATGTCCAGCCCATAATTTCACTCTAGGAGCTTGGCGACCATACATGGGCTAGGTAGAAGTTTTGTGACTGAGTAAGTCAAGGCTTCGACTAATATATCGCACACCTTGCTTGGAAAATTCACGGGCCTACGACACATACAGTCAGTTACACCGTACTCATAAAACGTGCACCGTACCAGTTCAGACAGATGGTCTTGCCTAACCTGAAATATAATTAGGAGTTTGTTTACACATTTCAATGCCAGCGACCAACCGTATCTCGTGTGCAGCAGCCTCTTTGACCACTTCTTCGGTGAGCAAGTTGATAGTGCCTAACTCGTCGTCCTTACCCCAGACATCCCAAGCACAGCCAGAGAAGCTGTGGAATCTCGGTAGCTCATCAAATGTGGGAAGATTCGTCGGTAGCATGATGTTGCAGTGTAAAGTTTAGGCTGCACTACCCGTCTCAAATAGTCCCCGCTTCAAATAGGAGGCTGGAGCTATGTCGTAACTTAGCAGCTGACGTCTGACAACTAATGCTGTCTTCACAATTTCCTAAAGAGATTACTTCGATTCCAACGAGCCTTCGCCTTTACCGACCAGCCAGGGGTCGCAAGGGAGCACAGTGCAAGTCATGAATAGATCTAGAATAACAATAAGCTCTATCGATACATTGTTCATTATGAGTACCACTTTGCAGGTCCACCCGAAGCTGTGCCGTGTACGATGTGATGTATGCATTGAGATTTTAAGGCTGAGGACTCATCCTCTGATAAACGGGTGTGTGAGAGCTTCCTTCGGCGTGATCCTCTTCGCAGGATCAAGGGCAAGACACTTATCAAGAAGGTCGATGAATGACATGATAAGCTTGCCTTCATCGTCTTTGAGCTTGACAGATGCTGGAGGCATTAAGCGTTGACGGAGATCCCTCACAGGAGTGGTCATATGGACCGATCGTACTACATCCTTAAATAACCATCAGTCAAAACCACGAACGAGCTGTGCAATGGGAAAGTACGAACAGCTCCTGTTACACGATCCTTCTCTACACTTTGAAAAGCGCCTAATTCATCAAAGTAAAGAGAGCCGAATTTAGCCCTCTTGATCATCTTGGAATTAAAGCGACCTTTCAGCTCCATCATGAGCAAGAGCATATGATTGTTTGATCGTCCGGGGAAAAGGATTTTGCCAGTGTACAACTCGTACAATGTGCAGCCAATAGACCAGATATCGAGAGCCGGATCGTATGGTACGCCCAGAACTACATATCAAGTATCAATAGAGTCAACGAGACAATCCAACGTTTGAATTGCTTACTAATTTCTGGAGCGCGATAGAATCTGCTCACAAGATAAGGCGTTATATCATTTTCCGACGCATCTGATGCCGAACCCAGATCACATAACTTGAGCAATGTCTTCTGTTCGTTCACCTGTGATGCCAGCGAAGTGTCAATTTGGACGAAACATCTCGCAAAGCGTGAATGCTAACCAGGATATTGTCTGGCTTGATATCGGCGTGCATGACATTACACTTTCGAAGGAGGCTCATTGCGAGGAAGAGTTGATGCGCGTATGCGCGTACCGCCTTAATATTCAAACCAATATCTTTGCCGAAACGCTTGACCACATCTCGCAAATTCATGCTAAAAGGCAATCAGTTTCTCAACCATGAATCACACACACAAGCTGACCTCATCGACTCAAACACAAGGCAAAGATGTCCACGATGTTCAAACGTCCGTTCTAAACGCACAATATGTTTTTTATCATCGGGATCCGCTTGCTTCAATTTGTTCAAAATCTGAACTTCCTTCAAACCGGCCTTGTACCTTAAGACCACGTCAGCCAATCATTGAAAACATTCTGGATGAAAACACGTACATCGACTCCTGACATCGGACAATCTTGATTGCGATCTCTTTACCGGCTTCACCCACCTCTCCATGCAATACGCGAGCTCTAACCACATTTGCAAACATGCCTTTACCCAGCGAAGAGAAAACCTGATAACGCCCACCATCGAGCTGTTCGCCCAAAATAATCTGATAGTAGCCTTCTGGGTCCGCAGCCGAGTCAAGTGTCGTCGTGACAAGAGCTGGAGCTGCGGTCTTCTATAACCTATATTAGTCCCAAGAAATCGCAGATGAGTGCATACACACCATCTTCTTGACCTTTTTAATCTTCTTTTTCTTTTCCACCGGAGCAATGGCAAACATATCGTCGACTTCTTCTTCCTCTTCCTCCTCCTCTTCTTCCTCAATCATTTGGACGTCTTCTCTAAAGTCTTCTTTAGCACCAACGCCAAGCACTCGCCTTTGCTCATCTTCGCGGCGGTCTAAACTAGGGTCGTAGTCCGCAGCCGAGATTTGTTCATGATTACTATCTTGCGCCTGCGTCTTTATCTGTGCATCATCCTCTTGTTCCTTGGCTAACGCAAAGGCAGAAGGAGTAGGAGACACTGACGCAGATTCGCGCTTATCTAAGTAAAAGCTGAGACAACATGTCTAAGTGCATGTCATACTTAACTCACCAATATTCGCGCTCGCATCGTCAAGTTCAGGTATACCAGGTGTGCCCAAGGCGCTGTGAGGTTGGGAAACGGGATCAGAAGCAGAAACAGAGGGGGGAGGCGGTTCAACCGCACTGCTAGGTCCAGGGCTCGGCGAAACACCTTCATTGATTACGCCATTAGCATTCCCAGCATATTTAGCCAGTATAGCTTGACGTTTGGCTCTGCGAGCGGCCATTGTTTCCTCTATAGGTGGTGGGGAAGCCGGTAGCTCGAGCTCCATCTCTGGAGCTGGTTTAGACTTATCGGGCAAGCTCTGCATTGGGACGATCCGCTGGGACGGAGAAGAGGGTCTCGGGCTATGTCTGGGTGATATCCTATTGGGAGCATCAGTCCAGAGATGGACAAACAATGTAAGAAATTGCGACACTCACTCGCCCTCTTCCTTCTCCGAGTCCACATGCTCAACCTCGGCATGACTATGAGACACCTTGACAAAGCCGTTTTCACGACCATCACGGGAAGTTGCGACAGAATGCGAACGATGACCATCTCGTCGTGGCTCTTCCCTCCTAGCGTGATATTCCCGCTCGCGTACCCTGTCGCGGTCATCGCGCCTGTCCCTATCCCGACCCGAGTCGCCCGACCGTCTATGTTCGCGCTCCCTACTGCGTGCATGGGAATCGCTGTCATATCTTGATCGCCTATCAGCACTTTCACGTCTACTGGGACCATCCCTTGGGGAAGTATAGGTCTTGCGACGAGGCGACTTCAGGTGTGCGTCCCTCCAATCTCGAGGGTCATCGCGCTCGCGGGGTCTTTTATGTGAATCCGGGCCATGTCCGCCTTCCCATGAACGCTTAGAGCCTGCTGAGAGGTTAGTCATCTTAAGAAGGATATTCTGGGTTCAGGGGACCGCACGATAGAAAACAGGATAACAGGATTCAGTGACTGTGCGCCGACGTTGGGGTGAAGGCGGCTGTCCGAGTGAAAGCGCCGAGCATTCGACCGCGGCCTATTATAATTCCAATCTCCGACATCCCACGCCACCAACTTCGTTGAAGGGCTGCACGGACTCCCCGGCCTCGTTCACGATACTTCTTCAATCACTAGTATCTAAGTTTTGGCAGGCCCTTGGGACTTGATTGAATATTACAGTCACATACGGTGGCAGGTCAAAGTGATGGTGCCCGCACACGTTGTATTCCTTCCTTTATATCTCACCCAGTCTACGCCTGCTATCCAGTCTTTTGCGTATATAACACAGTCATATTCTACTCCATAAGTACCAAGAGAATTGCCCCACTGTGAGGTGAACAGCCCGGTAATAATATCTCTTTTCTTTTGCCTGGGCATTAACTTTGGCCGCCATTGTATAACTTTTCCACCAGCTCCGCAACCTTCTTCGACCGGGGGTTGATAGAGCAAACGAAAGGCTCTGGATGACTACGTCCACGTCTCTCCGTTAGTTGATCTAAATTTAAATTCCTCAAGTACTGTATAGGACACCGAACCTGATAGACCCAGACGAGAAAGCGAGTGGGGGTGCGATCTCCGCCCCGGCTGCATCGCGCGCCTTCTGGATGTCGAGAGTCGCTACCATCCTTGCCATAGCGAGCCATACGGTGCCATCCCCGAGGAGACGTCCAGCGCAGACGCTTTACGCTCTACTTTAGCAAGCCATATTTTAAAACCAAGTCTCGAAAGGAAACCGCACTGTCTCCCAAAACCAAAAACCATCCTGCGTGGGTCCTTCAGATCGGCTTCTACTTTGTCCATCTCCTCGAATCGCTCAGGCCGGAAAGCTTCAGGATCAGCATACATTTCTGGGTCTCTTGTCATGCCCCTACAATGCCGTCAATCCATGACGACGACATCCGTTTGAAGTGTGCCACCACGTACCATACATTTGCTATGATCATTGATCCACCTGGAATATGAAATCCTCTGAATTCATCATCCTCGACAATTCGGTGCGGTATACCTGGAAATTCGAAGCCTTTAAAACCCCACTCATTCTAAAAGTACGACGTATGTGCACCAAGAGGAACAGGCGGGTTCCATCTACGCACACAATCAGTTAGCATAAACGAGTGTAAATCATGAAGACCTTGGATTGTACCTATAGATCTCTCTCAACATGCATTCAAGATAGGGCAACGAATTTCTGTCCTCATAATCGGGAAGACGTCCATTGCCAATCACGCGATCGGTCTCTGCTTGCGCCTTCAAGAGTACGTCAGGATGAAGTACGATTGCGAGAACGAATGACAGGAGAGCGGTCATCGTCTGCAAGACGCGTATCAGCGACTGGAGGATAATCAACACCAAGGCGGGACCCACCGTGTCGGATCCAGCTAGTGCATAGTACAAGATTTTAATTATGATACATACGAACGAGGCTAATCCGGCACTCACCTCCATACATAAGACTTGCCGCACACTTGATCTCAGTTTCCTCCTCTGGGGTTGGATGTCCGCCTTGTGAATATTTCTCAAGCAGCCACTTCGAGAAGGACGGCCTGGCGAATCCAGATGTCTGCGACTTATATGAGAACACCACGAATTAGATCTAGCAACTTCAGTCACTATATCCTCCTTGACTCTTTCATACGGAATGTTCATCATGTCAGCTGTCATCTTTCGCACCTTGATCAATCTTCGCTGGAATCCCGCCCCAGGCATCCAGGCGGTATATGCCACACTAGAAAAGAAGGAGATGAGAATAACGTGAGTGGTGCGACCACGCATATGCTTGACTCACAGAATGGGAAAAAATCAATTACTGTGGAGACCGCACCACCCAGCTCGGTCAGCTATTTCAACGTTTTGTCTGCGAGGGAGATGAATTCGTCATTTGTATTCTGTACTGGGTGCCCATACGCAATCTCCATCATGAGGACGGCAGGATATCTGTATGCGCAACAGTAATTATAAGTAAGCATCATGCCCTTCCAGCATGTCGGTAGATTCGGACCTCTTAATGTGGGACATAAAGTCAGCCGGTGCTCTAAATAATTCCCATAAAAGTTTTAGAGATTCAGTTCTTTGGAGATGCCGAAACCCGTCGATTGAACGGGCGGTTCCTACAGCAGTCTGGTACCACCGCCGTTGTTTGCGCCATTGATCACCGTACGGAAGCAGGACAATATTTGGTTTGAATTTGATACTAAATGGATAGATTAGCTCGATACGGGAAAACCCTTTTCCAGACACACATGTCATCGACCAAAAAAGCGCGCGGTCGATCTGAGTACATAGCGCCTCTTTTCTCCATCAGAGCTTCTGCTTACTGCAGCGAATTGAGGATTATGACATGGAGGTGAGCGAACTTGGCATATACAATCGGGCCTAGAGAGAACCATTGAGGGCCTACTCAGTGAGACGGAGGTAATGAACTCATACCATACTGCTTGCCCCACACAGCAAAGATTTTCTGCTGATACTGGAGTGGAACCGGATGGATATTTCCCAGCAGAGGGATTGGTGTGGGTCCCGGAGGAAGCTTCAACTTTGGCCCAAGAGTGGTGTGTCGAAGATAAACCAGACGGCAGGTCACCAAGAGCAAGATTATCGCGCTCAAAACTATAAACATGGTCATCTCAAGCAAGTAATCAAGGTGGATGGAATCGATAGGGCAAATCTCAGGATTTATAGTATCAGCTTGGCATGTGGTTTTCTGCACAAGGAAGTCTTCCCACAAGAACTCACTCAATGTCAGTCGTGGGTTTCAGCATAACCGAGCGCGATCCATGCATGAAGGTGGAATATGTCAACTGCATCCGTCCTATCCAAGTCGAATAATTTCCCAGAGAATCCAAAGGTCACCTGCTCACCTCGCAAGTAACGAAGATTCGATGCAGCGGCCATTTCGTTGCCGTCTGCGCCGTCTGCTAGCGCGATGTCTGTAAGATAGACTTTGAGATGTTTCCCTTATCCCATGTACATTCCTGAACGAAGACTGCAGCCGGTTCGCTTAAATAGAGGAATCACATGCATCATGAAGTGCACGACTGCCAGCAAGTTCCTTTCAAAGACAAAATATACCCAAGCCATTCAACGAAATATTACCACATCTAGGTTCATTCACGCGGGCACATGGATGTATCTACAAAGGACTTCCAACCTGATATCAGCATCTGAGAATGTAGCTGAAGGACGCAATCAGAGAAGCTTACCGAGCATACTACTGCCACTCGCGCCAGCCAAGACTCCGGCTAGACGTGCTCCCAATTGAATACTTTGACTGATGACGAATTCTCCGATATCCCGTCATAATACTTGATAGAAATGCTGAACATAGGTTTCAAATGACAAGAAAGTGGTCTCGTGCCCAGACGTGTCGAAGACAAGACACGTCTGGGTACGAGACCACAAGAAAGGATGCGGACGTTCAGATTCAGCCTGAGCCTCGCCTAGGCGCTCGCATGATGTCACACGTTCGAGACCTGGCCAAACATATTCTCTCGAACTTCTCCAATTGTTTCCCCTCCTTGCGAAGAAACAAAGAGCATCCATGTACGTGCATTCTGGTAGGAAAACGTTGACAAAAATATCTTAGATTTTCCAAGTCTCTGCTAAAAGTAAGATCCTCAGCTCCCAGGATCAAATCACCCCCCGATTCCTTCTTCGTCTGACCAAGCTGAAGAGGATGCAGATCCAAACTCGTGGTAGTGCATAACCCGCATGCGCTGCGCTGGCGGCACATTCTTGTCGTCAAGGCCATGTTGAGTGCCACCATGCAAAACGCCGACGCGCATCATCGAAAGCCACTATGATTCCCAGCAATCAATACGAGCAACAGAAAGAATCTAGCTACCCACATTATGAGCTGCATTTGAATGGTCATACACTCCACCGAAGAATGCAGTCGTTGCGTCTTTCCCGATATTCTTAGCGATGAGATGCCGACCGCCAGGATGCTCGTCCATGAACGAAGACACATCATGAATGAATCCCCCAATCACGACAAGAGGCCGTTTTGTCGCCTGCTCCTGGACTTAATACCTAAGTGTTAATCAATGGAGCGGATGCCACGCCAGTCACTTACAGCTTTCCCAACTAATCACTGGAAGCCCATTAACGTCAGGCGCGAATGTCAGACCTTCCTGCGTATCCTTCAGCCGCTTCAGCTGCATCGTCAATTGGCCCTTGCGGATCTCGTTGTCCGGGAAAACCTTCAGATGACTTGCGAGGCCAACCAATTGACAAGTCCAGATGAACCACTTGGTCGGATCATACTGATACCACTTGATCGCACTGCGGTAGTCCATAGGGAACTGATGGTGAAAGTTGTGGTAGCCGTCGCCGATGGTAACGAGCGCGGTGATCACATGGTCTCGTGGGGTGTGCTTCTCGTCAAACGACGCTTCGCCCAGCCAATGAGCCAGGGAGTTGACACAGAAAGTCGACTGTGTGTGAACAATGGTTAGTAAATCTTTAAAAGAGGTAGAGAAAGATGATACGGACGTGGTAAACAAAGCAAAGACGCGCTGCACCGGCGTAAAAGAATCCACCCTTCCAGTCTCCCCAGCCGAGCCCTGCGACAACCGTGGGCAGTACGAGGCCCATGCCGATGATGAGCGGGAGATACCAGCGGTGCTGCCATCGTACGACTGCGTTCTTGCTCAAATCGCTGACGTCGGCGATGCCTGGTTTGCGTCGTGGCTTGATCATCATCCAGCCGATGTGCGCCCACCAAAAGCCTTTCAATGCGTTGTACGGGTCGAGTTCCGTATCAGTGTAACGGTGATGAGCACGATGTCCGCGGCACCACCAGCGAATCGAACCTTGCACGGCACCCGTGCCTGCCATCGCAAGGAAATACTGGAGTGGTTTGGATGCGTTGTATGATCGATGTGCCCATAGCCTGTGGTATCCAGCAGTTATCCCTATAAAGTGGATGTCAATACTGTATATGCTTATATTTATTCCACTCAAATAGAACCGTGACTCGTCGAGAGAGAGACAAATGGTGCATCAATCAACGGTCCACTCACCAAGGCCAGTAATAAAATAGTAAGCGATGCTCCAACTAGCAGTTTTCCAGCAGAGCGAAACATGAAACACGCCCCAGATGGAAATTAGATGAGTGAGCAGCAATATGGTGAGGGTAAGGCGGTTGAGCCGCTTCCACCAATTTGACCATGTAATCGGCGGGAGGGGCTTCTGATTCTTGAGCACCCAGTCGATATAGTTATCTGGGATGTTGAGGTCTGCAGGCTGATCGTCTTTGAGCGGCAAAGGGAGCGAAGCTGAGACACTCGATATTGTTGGTGCAAGCGACGACATTGGTGAGAGCTAAGTTGCCGGCAGTGCGCGGGCAAAACTCATGTCCGCTGGCGATAGTAGTCAGAAATTTATACGGCAGATGGACGCATTGGGGGGATATCTACCTGGTGCAGGGGCCATTCCCCACACCCCAGTGTTTTGTACCGCAGAGTCGCGTTCCTCCGCATGGAGAAATCGGTTGAGCCGCCCTCAACTTCAAGCTGAAGCTGCTGCGGCCACGGGTGTTCTGCTTCGTTCTGAGTTTGCACGAGTAAAAATAAAGCGAGAGCTCACTAACAAGTTGTGGTTAATATTATGTCGCAGCGTTTGCAACGATATATCTCAGGCTGCTGCCCCAACGATTGAAATGGCTTGAACCGTCGCGGCTGACTTGGTCTCGCCGATCTTGGCCCGATCATTCCCTGCTCGGAGATGGCCGGAGCTCGTGCCTCAGGCTTTAGCGTTCTGTACTTAGACTGGCGACTTCGAACTCGGCCCATTTCCTCCCAGTGAAGAACTCACGTTATCTGTTTTTCCTGAAGAATGTCAATGGGCGTCGTATGAAGAGGAATCTCGGGACTAAACTCGAGAAAGGCCCTCTCCACTGGCATTAACGGCGACGATAATTCGCAGACTGTGGCGAGCAAGTTGGCACGGTAATGTTTCTCAGATATCGATCATCTCGCTATACTCTTTGGCATGCTGGTCCAAAAATCCCTCTTCGAACAAATGGATTTCGTGCAGGAGGGCTGCTCCTTCTTACTGTCTGGAGCGCCACCCTTCTCACTACTCAGAACCGACGGACCCTCCATCTGGACCATGAGGAGCCAAGAGTCCATCGCATTGGCAAGTCTGAACTCCCGGACGTGTCCAAACCGGATGCAAAAGTCAACATCAATGGAATACTGCGCCGGCATGAGCAATCGTGCTTCCCGGAGAAAGGCACAGGCATAGCTCGGTATGATGTGGCACAGTATGCGAGGTATGTCCATTTTGCCATCTCGATGTGGTTAGCAGCTGAGGGCCGCAGTAACAATCCCATCGAGGATGCCCACGCTGAAGCGATCCTCCCTGTTCCTTCTGGTCATTGGTCGTTCTTTGCCGTTTTAGATGGACACAGCGGCTGGGAGACGAGTACCTGCCTCCGCGAGAACCTCATCCCCGCGACCAGTGGCGCCCTGGCAGATCTCTATTCCCGCCTCAATCCACACACGCCACACGCAGACATACCGGTCTTGCCCTCTCCCGATGAACTCGACCGGACCATCCGGGACGCCTTCAAACGTCTCGACGATGACATCGTCCACTGGGCGGTCGACCGGGTATTCGCATCGGAGTCTCGGGCCGCTGCTGTGAATCTCTTAGGGCCCGCCTACGCAGGAGCCTGTGCCCTACTCGCGTTCTACGACGCCTACAGCTGCGTCCTCCGCATCGCGCTCACAGGGGACTCACGCGCTGTGCTCGGCCGTCGCGGCACCAACAAGAACGGCGAACCCGTCTACGAGGTGCACGTTCTCTCCGTAGAGCAAGACGGCCGCAGCCTTGCAGAAGAGTTCCGTCTGAATGCGGAGCACCCCGGGGAAGCAGTCGTGCAGAACGGCCGTGTGCTCGGCATGGGGCCGTCGCGCGCGTTCGGCGATGCTCTGTACAAGTGGAGCCTGGACGTCCAGTGGAAGCTGAAGCGAGAGTACCTTGGGCGTACTCCCCGCCCGTTCATCAAGACGCCTCCATATTTTACTGCAGAGCCGGAGGTAACCCAGATCGAGGTCCGGCCGGGTGACTTCCTCATTCTCGCCACAGATGGTCTCTGGGAATCGTTGACAAGCAGCGAGGCCGTCGGCCTAGTCGGTCTTTGGTCAGAACACGGATATGGACACAATGGGCCAAGTAAAACTGGCGAGCATCGAACCTTGGCAGTACAAGAACTGCCTGTTGAGCTAAGCGAAGACGAGAATGATGAATCTGTGCGATATCGGCAATGGGGCGCTAAGAAACAGTTTGTGATCTTGGATGAAAACGCTGCCACGCATCTGCTACGAAATGCACTGGGTGGTGCAGATGAAGACCTCGCCTCGGCAATCATCAGTATGAGGGCTCCTCGATCGAGGACGTATATGTGAGTCTAAATACTGCCACCACCTGCCATACTGACCATGCATCCGCCATAGCGACGATATTACAGCCACAGTGGTATTCTTCGAGTAGGTAGAAGATCCCAGTACACCAGTTCCCGTAGTTGCACGTCCACTCTGTATGTGGGTGGACGGCCGCGCCACGCAATCCCCAACATCTACAAAGTCAGATACCTGCGTTGTTCGCACTTTGTTGACAAACATGTCAAATTCGTGTCCATGACATCGCCGATTTTATCATATTGAACCATACTGCCACCAACGAACCTCCCCTCCCGCCAATGTTGAGATTGAATGGCCGGTGTCAGTCGGATAGATGAAAGTAAAACCCCGCGTCGGGAAGGTCGATATCTACTTGGGCTGTCCGTTCAAAAAGAATTGCATCTGCAACGCCTTCGGTCTTTCTACCGCAGCTGGCACTTACCCTGGCCCTGGGCCGCGTGTGTATGCGTCGACATGAACAGACGAGGTGGACCTATCCTGTGTCATGTGCTTCCAATGCGTAGTGTTCCCCAGATTGAATCGCGAACCTGTTTCATTACAGCTGGGTAGCGCAGCGTGCGCGATGCGGCTCACCTCTGAGACCAGTAATAACAGACGCCACCGCATACGACCATCACAGTGGCGGTCCGTGAGACGAGCCTACGCCTCAAGTTCGCCCTTCCTATAGAGTCAAGCCAGATCTGCGGTCGGCATCACGACTCCGCGTCGGAGATATGGGATGCTTCTTGTGGGGTACTATGGAAGAATTGCGACCTGTGTGACAACTGTGGCCATTCTGAGAGATCTGCGGGGTGTAGAATGCGGCCACAGTACCGCCTCGTGCAGAGATGAAATGAAATTGGGAAAGTTGCGACTTGAAATCTGGAACATCTCCCGCCGCGTGCTGGTGAACGCTGGCCTGTGCAATGCTATGGCAACTTCGGATAACAGCAATTAGATTACCGCAACCCATCGAGTACAATGGCGGGCGTTGTGATTGAGATGCGAGTCGACAAATGGCCAGAGACAACGCACGTAGGTTCAGCTGCAACCTGGCTTTTGTTGTCGAGTAATATTGTGCCTGGACCGGCTGCGCTTTTGCAGCCTGTTGTGTTCTGGGAGTTTGAAGAGGAAGACAACGTCGGACAAGCATCGGCGGGGATACTCCCCGTGACAGCCCGCGGAAACAGACAGCTGGATTGTGGCCGTTTGCGGCAGGATGTGGCGGCTTCTGCGGGGCCAGTCCGCACGGCCACCGTCTCGTGCGGCGGCAATCGCGCGCCATTGTTGTTCTCGCCCGCATTGTGTCCTTTCCATTTCTCATCGCATCTGTTTCCCGGCGGTAAGCCCCTCGTCGTATAAACAGAACTCACCTTCTTTGCACACCCCATCAAGCCCCCAGAGCACAAACGCTCTCTCTCTGTTTTGCTCTCGTCTCTCGTCTCTTGCATTGTCCCTTATCATTATCAACCCCAGCATGTCCGTCGTCGTCCCCTCACATCGCATCCACACCATATACAGCACCTTCGGCCCCGGCTTTGGTCTGTCTACCCCGGTCTCTGCGGCCGATGCATTCGCCCACTTGCCCAACATCACTGTCGCCGCCTCGCGCAGCCGTGGCCCTGGTCTCTCCCCACGAACTGCGTCGGCATCCTTGCCCTCTCCCTCTTCTGGATCCCGTTCCATAGCCAGGCGATATCCCGCCAGCCCCCGCCGTGCGCCGCCACCACCGCCACGGGTATCGTTCGCGCCGTCCAGCTGCGAGGACCCCTTCGCAGACCAAGTAGGCACCGCCGAGACGACAGCCCAGGCAGCGCACACCACGCTCTCCATATCCGCGCCATTAATCGCCTCTCGAACGCGTATCGCGTCTTACGCCGCTCCATCTACCTCCATAGCGCCGCAGAGTCTGCTAGCCCCATCGCCGTCAGTACCAGTGACACTACCACCCGGCATTGCGCTTCCATCATCTGTGGAGGGATTGGAGGGCTTGAAAGGGAGGCTCGTTGCAAATGTCTTGCTCAGTCGACGTCATGGGCGACCGTTGCGCAGACGACCTGAAAGCGTGGGGGAACCCCGGGTGTATATGAGGAGTGGGCTGTCACGGATGGTCGAGCTGGACGCGTGATCCTGTTCCGAGTCTGGAATTGCGGGCGTGCCTTGTTTCTTAGTAATGTTCATCATCATCTCCTGCATTGTTGTTTTTATCATATCGCAGTAACGTTCAACGCACATCAGTATATTGCATTTTTCTTGTATAATCTCGTCATTTGGGTAGAATTCATTCATCGTACATGGGTAATTAATATCTTGGCAGTGCCATAGCATGCGATGTAATGACACTGGACAGCGTGTTGCTCAATCGACAGACTTCTGTGATCCAAGGTCTGGACGAGTGGAGGATCAGCGAGTGAGAAACTTGTAGGCTGCAATGGCTCGTATTTTCTGAGTTTTGCCTAACTTTGAAAGTAAGTCAAGCTACATACCTGGTCATTTTCCCCAGTCCCCCGCGTCAATACCCATATACTTCGGCAGATTGAGAAATGCGTGTTGAGCGGCAGCATACCTCTCCTTCTTGAACATATGAACACATTCGCTGCAAAGTCGGTTTGCTGGCGGTTCCTCAGCCATGGGCAGCCTTAGGATCGCTGGTGAGCTGAATGAACCCACTGAATGCGCGAGCTCCAGGATCTCTCGGAATTTTTCTCTGCATTCCTGTTTAGTCTTACACCTCGGGCTGCACTTCAGCGTCCACAGAAAAGCGGACACTGTCTTGTTCTCCTTTATAAGTCGATCCCGGGCTTTGAGACAAGCCTGCATGTCATCCCGTGACAGCATATCCAACGTTCCATCTGCACGACGCACACCTGAAAGTATGACGTCCAAATCCGACTCGGTACAGCAGTCGTAAAACAATGCTGGAAGGACAGTGGTCAAGCCGATCTTGCGTGCCAAAATGAGAGCGACGATGGCACTTTTCGAAGGATTGATATCTGGCGCACAAAACCATTCATCGTAAGTGTTCGGGTAACATTCTTGTAGACGACGTTTGCCATAGTCGAGAAGATCTTGGATTTCGTATCGATGTCCGATCCGAAGAAGGGATGCAACAAGTGAGAATTTGATGGCTATATCGCCCATGAAAAATCTAACCATGATCTCAGTAATTTGCACCATCGTGTAGCTGTGGGGAAACACAACGTCACCTTTTGCTATCATATAAGACTGACATCCATGCGGAAACGTCGTCCGCTGTATCAGGCAACTGAAAAACACGAAGCCCGTCCATTTTCTCCGCCGATGCAGACTCTAAAATACCGCGCAGCTTATCGGACTGTCTGGAGATTATACTGTTGTGCACGCGGAAGGCAACGCCCCCGGCGGTGAGTATGATGTTGCCATCCTCATACCAGAAGGTCTCGTGGGGTTGAAGCTCGCCTGTTCCCCGCTTGACATTCTGGTCCTCGGACGACGATGTATCCTGCGCTAGAAGGCTCGAGTCCCCCCGTGCCCGCTTTCTAGATCTCCTCGGACCGTCAGCGTTGCTAGTTCTAGTTATACTGATAGACTCGGGCGCCGCGGTGGCCATCCTGACCGCCTTCAAAGAGTTCAGAAAGGAACTGGGAATATACGTGAGTTAAGATCTTCAGACGGCACTTAGTTGACATCCGCGCCCGAGAAAGCCAACCGTGACGCGACCCGATGTGACTACGCGCCCTGATGGAATGGCCGAATGAACTGAGTTCATTTCGTTAGCTACTTCACGCTTGCCTACCATTTCATATGCCTGCTATGTTGTCAAAGTTGAATAAGAGCAAACGTACAAGTATGTGACGTTGCGCCATACCTGTTGAAGCAATTGTCACACACTGGGATCTAAATTAGGCAATATGCCGACTTGATGGGTAGATCGGCTACTCCTGCCGCGGCTGGCGGGATTGTCAGAAGTGCTGTGTGACAATCTTCATGGCAAAGGTATTACTGCCGAATCGTAGCGTTTCCGTGACTCTAGTTATAAGTACCGTCCACTTGATCATTAGCCTTCACCAGCTCCTCAGAGGTTCCCATTAGCTCAGACTCTTGATATGTTGGGATGAGTCAAGGCCGATGCGCGTTGCAAGTCATCAATCACGACGTCAGTCGCGAAAATTTCTTCCTCAACTTGAAGCCAACATCTCTGAGATATGGGCAAAATTATCGTCAAGAGAAACATTTTTATGACTTCCTACTTGTTCAGTAGCACGCAAGAACCCACCAGAACCAGTCACAAGTGGCTATGGCGGCGATCTTCACCGCCAAATATATATAATCCACTGATACCTCACTACACTCGCCAACCGATGACGATCCCACCCTTCTCCAAATTCTTTTTTTATCAGTGGGTCCTCGATCGGATCCAGTGAATAGACTGATAGCCGACAGCGAGTCCAGAATAACTACAGTGCTCAAAGCGGAGTAAGTTCAAGTTACCCGACGTCGGCGCCCTCCACGACTCGGGATGGACATTCATGAGGAACATCCCAGGAACGAGCAAGAGTGTGCGAGAGGGGCTCGTTTGCCGAACGACATAATACGGCTCCCCGGTGATGAGTCTCTGATCCTTTTGAATGGAGAACAAGGTGAAGAAACGATCGAGGGTACGACAACGTCACTAGCAGCAAAAAATCTCCACTTGTGACGAGACCGCCAGCGATGAACCCACGACTCGTATGACAATTTGTTAGCGCGGATATTGCGAGGAAGATACATGTGGAGGGAGGATGGAGTAACGGCCTAGGTAAGAGAGCCTGTGGTGTATGTGTGAAGTGTGTAAGGTGAACGTTTGAACGTGTAACAGCCTATATACCACAGGAGGCGATAAGGACATGATCGCAGTACGAGTGAGGGGGAGGACCGCCTCGCGGAAAGTAAACGGCTTGACCTGGTCACCGGTATCGGCTATGTAGGGATCCCGAAGGAGCTGTCACGGCGACCTGCGTGTCGAGGGGCAGGAGGAGAGACATGATCATGATGAGCCAGCGTCAGCTGCTAAATAAGTGACTTGGGAGTGGGAAGCCCAGAAACCGAACAGCGGAGGCAGATTGAGCGGGGAACGTTGTTTGTTCGCATCAACTGTTCCGAGCAGAAGAGACCGGGGGGCGCTAGTAGACGCCACTGGCGCCCGCAGGCTGCCTCAACATCACAACTCAGACGTATAGGAGGGGGGTTGATATTCCTTATCCAGGTCTGACTTATTTGCAGAATTCAGCATTGTGGTCGGATTTGGATGGGGGCATTTCTTGTGCTTTGGGGTAGTACCCCTCCTCTGCATCTGATATTTTGAATGGAACTGCATGAGGTGCGTGTTTATCATGGAACCGAGCCAGAAGTAGAGTTCAGCATGCCCTTCAGGATCTGATAGAAGGATGTCAGCGGCCGTATCGTGGCTGTTTGTCACGCACGACATCACCTTAATTATGGTATCCAAACTTAATACAGACGCGGCGCACTTACTAAGTCTTCCTATGATGAATATCTGTTTGTGTTCCGCTGGCCCTCCCAAGATTGGCAGTCAACCACAAGTCCACAATGCACAGTACCACCCTCTCCGGCGAAAAGGCTGACTCTGACTCAGAGCAGGTTTCGAAGCACGTCTCTAAACGGTAATGTCGTTCTAAATCATGTCGGGTTCAATTATCTGCTTACTAGCTGACCGGCCACAGTGATCAAAACATCACCTCTCGCCAGCTGGGAGTCGCTTTCCAAGATTTGCGAGTGGTCGGTGTTGGGGCTCGCTCTTCGTTCCAACAGACAATTGCATCTGCCTTCAATCCGCTCGTTATATACAACTCTCTAATTTCGATCAGGAATCCCCCGCTGCGTGATATCCTTTCAGGCTTCCAAGGCGCAGTCTTTCCTGGTGAAATGCTCCGTAAGTCATCGTGGTTTGCTGTATTCCATCTCTTCACTGTATTCGGTGTGTAGTCGTATTGGGGCGTCCCGGCTCTGGCTGCAGCACATTCCTGAAGACTTTGGCGAACCAGCATGCCGAATATAGATCCGTCGAGGGCCAACTCCACTACGATTCGTTCACGCCGAAAGACATCGCTCAGCTTTACAAAGGTGACGTGACGTACTGCCAAGAAGACGATGTCCATTTCCCCACACTCACCCTCTTCGAAACACTTTCCTTCGCTTCAAAGACTCGCGCTCCCCAGTGTCTCCCGGAAAATCAGTCCAGACAACAATTCGCGGACTCACAGGTCAACACGCTTCTCTCCATCTTTGGGCTCGAGCATGCTAGGAACACCATCGTGGGTGATGCTATGTTGAGGGGCGTTTCCGGTGGGGAGAAAAAGCGGCTATCTCTGGCAGAAGTGCTAGCATGCAGAGGCACGATTGGATGTTGGGATAAGTATGTTTGACATTGTTCAACCTCATTCCCCGATCTCATCTTCTGGCTCCATTGCAGCTCGACTCGTGGGCTCGATTCGTCCACAGCGCTGGAATTCCTTCGTGCTCTCCGCGCCACTACCGACTCTACCCGTGTTACCACTATCGTCTCGCTCTATCAGGCCGGCCAGCCGTTATACGATCTCTTCGATAAAGTGTGTGTCATCTCTGAGGGAAAGATGGTTTATTTTGGACCTGCGGCGGAAGCAAGCCAGTACTTCGTCGACATGGGGTACCAGCCTTATAACAGACAGACCACTCCGGACTTTCTCGTATCCGGTTCGTTTTTCCTCTCAACTGTTTCGTTCTGTTGTTGATGACGGAGTCTTTAGTGACGGACCCGAAGGGGCGCAAGATCATCCCTGGTCATGAATCGTCTGTTCCTCGAACTGCGTCTGAGATGGCCGCTTATTTTTCGTCATCGACGCAAGGAGAGCTGAACCGTGCATCCATCGAGGAATTCTGCGCCAAACGTGTCGGTAATGAAGTCATGAGGTCGGAATATAGGGCCAGCGCTCTGCTTGAACACTCCCAATATGCATCTACTGCTAGTCCATACATCATCTCCATTCCGATGCAGGTCCGTGCGGCGATGCTGCGGAGGGTACAGATCATGAAGGGTAGCATTGCGGTCATCATAATAGACCTGTGGTAAGCACAGGACGTGTTTGAAGCCCAAATCATTTCTAATCTTTTGGGGGATTCCGACGTAGCGCCCAAGTTTTCCAAGCCATCATCATGGGCACCATGTTCTTCCACCTGGAAGAAGCGACTTCGGAATTCTTCTCTCGAGGGGGTATCCTATTCTTGTACGGAACGTTGTCTTTTGCCCAACGACTTCAATCTGATTGAGCTCTTTAGTGCGCTATTTTTTGGGGCGGTGTCCGCGTTGGCAGAGATACCTGGTCTGTTTGCCCAGCGTCGGATTGTCCTGCGCCAGCAAAAAGCAGCTATGTACCACCCTTTCATCGAAAGCTTGTCATATGCACTTGTCGACATCCCCATCACGTTCATCATCCAATCCTTGTTCTCTATCGTCATCTACTTCCTCGTTGATTTACAGAGGACAGCCGCTCAATTTTTGTGAGTTGTATTCGCAGATATTCTCAATCCACTTGCTTATCCAGGGTATAGCATATTCCTGCTCTTCGTATTCATGATGACATTGTGCATGAAAACGCTTTTCCGCGCAATCGCCGCAACCGTGGGATCGCAGGTTGCTGCTCAGTCTATAGCTGGAATGACCATTGTCGTGGCGATTCTCTATGCTGGTTACACGATCCCTATTCCCAGCATGATTGGAGGACTTAAATGGCTCTCTTATCTCAACGCATGTTGCTCCCCTCGTTTGCCCCTTGGTGACCGCTGATATTCATCACTTGATAACATATAGCCCATTCGCTACGGTTTTGAAGCTCTCATGTTGAACGAATTCCATACGATCAACGGAATGTGTTCGTCACTCGTTCCACAGGGACCAGGATATGAGAACGTGTCGCTCGCCAACCAAGTGTGCACTACAATAGGTTCTGTCCCCGGGGAAGCTTACGTGAGCGGAAGCACGTTTTTGAAGCTGTCGTTTGGGTATGAATACCACAATCTGTGGAAGGTACGTGCTCTCTGTATTTCGTGTAATTCAGTGAGTCAATGATATACTAACGACATGCACAGAATTTTGGTATCGTATGTACGTTTTGCCTCGGATTCCTCGCTATCTATCTCGTTACGACGGAGGTCAATAGCGCGGCTGCATTCGAGACCTCCGTGATGTTGTTTAAACGGGGATCCAATGTTACTGTTGAGGCCACGCCCAGCGACGAGGAGAAGGCTGGTGATCGTTCCCATTCCATGTCCGCCCCCTCCCTTGGAGCTGCTTCAGACGATGCATCTCCTGATCTCCCCTCGGAGAAGAACGAGAAACATGAAATAGCAGACATCGTACCAACCACGACAGACATCTTTTCCTGGCAACACATCTATTATACCGTACCGATATCTGGTGGCGACTCGCGCCAGTTGCTGGACGACGTATCCGGGTTCGTAGCACCCGGGAAATTGACGGCATTGATGGGCGAATCAGGCGCTGGGAAGGTGAGCTTTCGATATGACGTTGTGCTCTGGAGGGGCCGTTGAGCTGACTGCGCTGGGTGTCTCGGCTGCAGACGACACTGTTGAACGTGCTTGCGGACAGGACCTCGATAGGTGTGGTTCGTGGGGATCGCTTTGTGAACGGACAGCCGCTTCCTGCCGATTTCCAGGCTCAGACGTAAGTGAACGTTCACCGACTATTTTCTATGGAGTTTCTGATTTCACCAATGCAGTGGATATTGCCAACAAATGGACACGCACCTTGGGCGAGCATCGGTTCGCGAGGCTCTTTTGTTTTCGGCAAACCTCCGACAGCCTCAGTCCGTCCCTGTGACTGAGAAAGAGGCTTAGTACGTCCTGCTTAAAGGCATCAGTCGAATATTCGGTTAATGGCTGGCTGCAATTTAGTGTTGAGAAATGCCTGGAGATGTGTGGTCTGGAAGCTTTCGCAGATGCCATTGTTGGCTCGTTGGGCGTTGAGCAGCGGAAGCGGGTTACAATCGGAGTCGAGCTCGCTGCGAAGGTGCGTTCATGCCCGAGCTCCCTTGTTTTGATTCAACCAACGCTCATGTCGACGTTCGAAGCCAAAATTGCTGTTGTTCCTTGATGAACCTACTTCCGGGCTGGACTCACAGTCGGCATGGGCCGTCATGACTTTCCTCCGTGATCTTGCTGCGAGTGGACAAGCCATTCTTTGCACGTACGTTCACAACAGCTCTATCAAGATTTGTTTGTAGCATCGTGTCTGACACGTGGTGCATAGGATACACCAGCCTTCTGCTGAATTGTTCCAGCTGTTCGATAGGTTGTTGCTCTTGCGTAAAGGTGGTCAGACAGTCTACTTCGATGAAATTGGGGACCGCGCGTCAACACTTTTGAACTATTTCGAGAAGAACGGAGCTCCCCCGTGTGACCCTGACGCTAACCCGTGAGTTCAACAAATAGCCATAAGTCTCGAATAGCTCTCTGACTTCCATTGTATTCGGCACTGTAAAAGAGCGGAGTACATGCTGGATGTAATCGGCGCTGGGGCGACTGCGACCACGTCCATCGATTGGGCTGCTGTTTGGACACATTCTTCCGAAGCCCAGAAACTCCAGAGAGAGATAGAACGCATTCACACCGAAGGCCTAGAGCGTCCTGTTGCACAAAGCGACGTTCGTTCCGAGTTTACGACTTCTTGGGGTCACCAATTCGTCATCTTACTTCACAGGAGCTTCCAGAACTATTGGCGCGATCCTGTGTCCGTCTTTGCGAAGGTCACATTGAATATTGCCACAGGGCTTCTTATCGGTTTCTCGTTCTTCCACACCAAAGATGATGTCCAGGGTTCCCAGAATAAGCTTTTCGTGAGTCATATCATTTCGGAGATAGGGGATTGAAACTTATACCGATGTCATCTAAATAGTCCATCTTCATGGCCATCATGTGTTCTATTCCCTTGGGCCAGATGGTCCAGCCCATCTTCGTCGACGTTCGGGACGTATACGAGATCCGTGAACGCCCCAGTCGGATGTACAGCTGGACCGCCCTCGTTGCTTCTCAGATTCTGTCCGAGATCCCCTGGAATATCTTCGGATCCTCCCTGTTCTTTGTCTGTTGGTATTGGACCGTCGGTTATGAGACCAGTAGGGCAGGATACACGTACTTGATGTACGGCGTCATTTTCCCGGTTTACTATGTGACTATTGGACAATTGTTCGCTGCTATGTCGCCTAACGCTCTCATCGCATCCTTGTTATTCAGCGTCATGTTTACGTTTGTGTTCATCTTGTAAGTTTCGTTTCGGGTTGTTTCTTGACTGGTTTTAGTCACTGACCCTGGAATAATAGTGATGGCATCATGCAGCCTTTCTCTCAGTTAGGATGGTGGAGGTGGATGTATCGAGTATCGCCTTTCACGTACTTGGTCGAGGGTCTGTTGGGACAAGGCAAGTTCCCGACTGGTCCTTTTACCGTCATCTGCACGGCTTATCTCGCGCTTTCCAGCGATCGGTCGGCAGGACATCACTTGCGCATCACAAGAGCTCGTTACGCTCAACCCAATACCGGGCTCGACATGCGTTGCGTACCTGGAATCGTTCATCGACACAGTTGGCGGATACCTTGTGAATCCCGACGCGACTAATGCATGCCTGTACTGTCCGTATCGAACGACCGATCAATACATGTTGAACGCCTTCAACATCAAATACAGTCTTCACTGGCGAGACACCGGAATCGTGCTTGGAACGATTGCATTCAACGTGAGTACCAGTTGAGTTTTGTTTGCGCTACATATCTCTCTGATGTGTTGTGGCTTGGGCTACAGATTTTTGCGATTTACCTTCTCACGTATATTTTCCGCATTCATACTGGAGGCTGGCTCAAGTGGAAAACCGGCGCAGGTGCGAAGAAACAGGAGATGTAGTTGTCACTCTGGCGGTAGTAGTACATGGAGAGTAAATTTACAACGTAGAAGGGCCATGCATACAGTGTTTCTTTGTGTTCATACCTCGTGACTTATAATGAGATCGAGTAGAACAAGCACATACTATCGATGACCCACAAGTGAAAGGGCGCCTTAAATTTGGCCTTTCAGGTACCACACACACTTCAGAGCTATCATGCGATATGATTTGAATTCACGAGCGAATTTACTATTTCCTCACAAGACTCATATATTTTTACGGGGTGTTGTGAATATCTGAGGCAGGCAGGCAAATGATGCTGCAAAGACCCTTAAGTCGGAAAGATTTGTGACTGAGATGTCACACATGATAATTTGATTACGCTCGCGTCACCGGCATGTCGTACTGTGGCTGGCTGACAAATGCAGGTTGGGCGCTTACTCAGCCGTTGTCACGCCCGGCCGCGCACCAGTGAAAGAAGCCGGGCTCGGAAGGCGAATTCGCCGGGATCTATTGCATATTTGGGTTTCAAAAATGCTCGCTGGGTAAAGAGGAACACAATAAGCCCATTGAAAGACAGATTTATTGGATATCTATACACAGGAGGGCCCATATTGTCGACACCACACGAATCCTAATTCAAGTCCAAACGGGAGTCATAGCTTCTGATACTGCTTTGTGTGTCCCCGCCGACTACGAGCCCGAACCTTTGTCCGTGTTTCCAATGCCGACATGGCGGCGTGCGAAGTCTGATAGAAGCCGTGCTGCAAGACGTAGCTTTGGATGAGAAAGGAGTGGCCGCCTGTCTTTTGGAGTTGAATCGATTTGAGCGGAACATGCGATAAATGTTTCATAACTCACAGAATTTTTTAAATATTAGATGACCATGTGCGGCACATAGCAAGGGGTATTGCTGTGAGTTGGACAATGTCGATGAATACAAGAGGTCCTGGAAGATTAGGCTTCCGAGCCAAGTTTTAAGTTCTGTAGTCTAATGTACACTAACTGCCGGAGGCCGGCCACTTAACGTATTGTTTGTGCCGCTCGGCGAACAAGTGCCATGGCTGCTAAGTTGGAGCCCACGGTGACAAGGTCTTTCACAGTGCATGCCAGAAGCCAGAAACAAGAAGGAAAGACAAGCCATGTGCTCGCCTCTTTGCACGTAGGTCTGGATTGGAACCACGCAGTTCCGATGCCCCCGCAAACTACGTCATGTTAGGCTGGAAATCTGGCCTCCGATAAGAGTGTCATGGACCGTTCTATGACCGAGTTTTGGTATCTTCATTGTTCAGTTGACATTGTCCTGTAACTGAGCAGTATGACTCCGTAATACAGCGTAGGTTCTCGTATGTTCGTTGTTCGGCTCTGATTAGGAATTTCCAGGGCAGTGTATCATTTGTCACAGAACGATATCGCAGAAGACGATCTTGACCTCACCCGCGTTGTATCGCAAAGCATTGAACGTACAACGACCCTGGACTCTTAGTCCAATGGAGCTATTCGGTCGCAGGTGGCATGCAGGTCTTCACTGCCTTGAGAGTTATGGACTTTTGACTCCAGTTCACGTCCACGATATGCAAACGTGTCTAAGACACGTTCTGGGGCAGCTAGCTCACAGAGCCTTTTCAGAAGCGCCCGCTTAGCGCTCTATGTAAAAGTCGCATTGGCCGTGGTTATTATCGTTATTTTTCGAATCCCTTTAAATGTCCGCGAGGGCCGAGCCCTATGTAGACAGTAAATACGGTGCGTGTGGACAAACTAGAGTATCGAAACAAAGCATTGATGATGGCCGTGATTTAACTACCCGATTGCCCATTTCAATGAGTAACTACGCCTAGCAACCAGAGCGCGAGCCTGACTGGTCGAAAACATCAACGTTGGGGAAGGGTATACCGCCAGCTGGAAAGAGTTGTAGGGAGATTGCTGGGGAGGAATTGGGCGCAATTTTGATGACTTGAGCTCAGAACTTCTGGGAAAAATGCTGCTACAGCTATATTTTATGAATAAATGGTATCTTGAACATAGCCGCCAGCATTTTGGGGAGTTGGCGGCGTGTTGTTCTTCCCCGACTTCTTCTGCATGTGCCAGCGTCTTGTGATCTCCAAAATGATTGAATCCTGAGTTTCAAAGTGTAGGTATTGAACAGGCCATGAATCTTTATTCACGTTTTCGACTAGTCGCGCTTGGCAGGCCCTTTGCTACTAGGTGTAGTTACTCAAATGGGCAATCGGATAGTTCACACACGGGCCGAGAAGGCCGATGTGACCGAGCGCTACTCGGGCGCTTCTGGAGGGTATCTCAGACCTATCGCCAATGCTCGTCTTGATGCATGGTGGACGTGCAAGTTCGCTTGCGAGTAGGGGCGCAGAGTGCTCTCAGATCTCCACTGGCAGTAGCAAGCGAGGAGAAAATTCCTATCAGTATCAAGCCCAAGCTTCCTTCTTTGATAGCTGCATGCACCGTAATAGGCAAGTGTCGTCGCTCAGCCAGCTACCAGTGAGAGACAATATCGGGGGGTTCATGGCATATGTGGAGAAGCGAGCTGTAAATTTTTATGTCCAACTTCTGGCAGCTGCACTTCTAGGCTCCAATCGTCGTCACTTATAAACCTGCAAGTTGACCCAGTGAGCACGATGAGTCTGCCCCTCCCATCGATTCTCAATTTACAGAATGACTTTCAGAAATTTACACGAACAATCTCCAGGGGATGTCGCTCCCGATGTACCCAGCTACACAAACCCAGACTCTCGTGCCGCCGCTATCGTCGGTGGGCACTCAGAACTATCTCCTTGTCGTACTCGATGATATATCTCTCCTTAACAGGCATGTCTATTAGTGCACCTGGCGGTGGTGACTATGGTCTTGATACAGAAGAATTTTATGCTTTCCTCCAAAACCGAGGATCCGCCATCATCACCGTTCCTGCTGACCGCTGGAATGCGGAAGCCTTTCATGGCACAGGGCCGGGAAAGATCTCCACCGTAATTAAAAAATTATTTTCCTGGCCGGCGCACGGTCACTGATCAATGCACAATAGACCAAGGGGGGGTTTATTCCCGACGTTAGATACGCCGATCTTCAAGAGTTCGGTATTACTCCTGTCGAAGGTCATCAAATATCTACTTCCCAAATGCTTGTGTACGCCGTTGATACCAAAATATGAGGTCCCGTCTCGCATCTGATGTACCGCTAAAATAGGCTCCATCAAGCATTCACAGCGTTGCAGCGCAGTGGAATTGATTATCGTGCTACAAAAACTGGAGTTTATGTTGGCTCCGGTGAGTAGTCTGCTCGTTGATTTTCCCTACAATAGTATTGACCGTCCGAGTGAAGCATCCGGCGAAGGAACTGTGTTTAACATGGATATCGCGCAGGCAGGACGTACGTACTCTTGTATTTTGTGCTGGTAGATGCTAGTCTCAACGAATTTCAGCGTACTACATGACTGGAACGTCCAGCTCGATCACCGCGAACAGACTGAGCTACGTATTTGATCTGCTCGGGCCTTCCCTGCCCGTAGACACTGCGTGCTCGTCCTCGTTGGTAGCCATGCATCTCGCCATTCAAGCTATACGCAACGGCGAATGCGACCAGGCTGTAGTAGCTGGTGTCAATGTCATTCGAAGTACAATTGAATACGCAGCGTTCAGCCAGTTAGGCGTGCTCAGTCCTGATGGCATATCCAAGTCCTTTGATGAAGATGGCAATGGCTATGCACGCGGTGATGTCGGTATGTTCATTATTGTACGTTTCTTCCTTTGTACAGTCAATGTGACGTTCGCATCCTATCCCAGCCAGCGCAGTTGTTATAAAGCGCCACGATCTCGCTGTCAAGGATCACAACCGCATTCACGCGACGCTCGTTGGCACCGCCCTGACATCATGTGGATCCATTATGGGATCCCTCACAACTCCAAGTGCTGAAGCGCAGGCTTCGGCGATCCAGCTCGCATACCAAGATGCTGGTCTCGAGCCTCATCAAGCAGACTTCGTCGAGCTCCACGGAACGGGCACACTTGTTGGTGACTCAACAGAGGCGAATAGTGCCGGCGCCGTTTTTGCCGCGGGGAGGGATGCCAAGGAGATTCTCATCGGATCGGTGAAGAGCAACGTTGGCCATGGTGAGCTAGGGTAAGTACACTCTGTCATATCTTCCAAATGGTCTCTTGAGCTGATCTCCCTGCCTAAAGCGCGTATATGACCTCCTTGGTGAAGGTATGAAATCCCCAGGACTCATTCGAAAGTCTGTCGGTAATAACCGTTTTTCTGTCAGGTCGCAATGATGTTGGAAAGGAAGCAAGTCCTGCCTAATGGCTACTTCAAAAAGCCGTCGTCTCGAATTGATTTCGAAAAGTTTAAGCTACGTGTTCCCGTGTCTGTCGAGGAGTTTGTACCTGGAAATTCCCAACTTGGTCGGATCGCGTCTATATCTAGTTATGGATTTGGAGGTTCGTGCTGCGCTCTTTCAGTTCATGCTCTCTTGAATTTAAACATCATGCACCCACCAGGGGCTGGCGGTCATACCGTTCTACGTGAACACGAACCACGGCCTACTTTACCTGATCATATTACTTTGCAAGAGCCACTGTATCTTTTTGCTGTTGGCAAGTACCTAACCTAATCATCTTTTATTATTATTACTGAGACTTCGGAACAGGTGCACTGTCATTGAAGGGATGTACTACTCTCAGCGAAAAATATAAGGAAGAGTGCGCTGAAGTCGACCCTCTCGCCTTGTGCGAGCACCTGGGAAATCGTGCGCGCCAACTCCCGTGGAGGTCCTTCGCAATCGCCGAATCCATCGAGGCAGCAACATTCCCCGAACCGGTTCTCGCGCCCAAACGTCCTCATCCTGTCGTCTTCTGTTTCTCGGGCCAGGGCCCTCAACACTGGAAGCAAGGCCGGGAGCTGTATAGCACCTTCAAGGTGTTCCGCGATAGTATCAATGAATGTGACAAGGTGCATGCCGAGTACACGGGGGAGTCTTTCATCGAGACGACGGGTCTTTTCAAGACCGATGCTCCCAAGGACTCTGGACTGGCCACGAGTTTGATATGGCCTTCCGATATTACCTCTATTTCTCTCACCTTCTTCCAGATTGCGCTCTTCGATCTCTTAATTTCTTTGAATCTCAAGCCAGATGTGATTGTGGGGCACTCAGTTGGAGAGACAGCAGTCTTATATGCTTCAGGCGCAGTCCCCCACAGTGTATGTACACTACTCTGCCTGCTTCACAAGAGATTGACGTCATGTTTTTGTCTCCCAGATGGCCGTCAAAATAGCGATCGCTCGTGGAAAGGCTCTTGCCATGGTTGATAACACGGGCGGCGGTATGGTGGCTGTTTCTGGGTGTGACGCAGAGAAAGTACGCGATCACGCGGAAATGGCAGTTACACTCGCTGGGCTGGGTCTCGAATCGGCGGATGAGCCCCAGCTGTTCCTTGCGTCATTCAACAGCCCTACAGATGTAGGCGTATCTGGTTCCGAGAAACATCTAGAGGCATTTGCAAGTTTCATCGAGAGATGGGTGGGCGATGTTGTCGCTCGCAAACTTCGCATCAATACCGCTGTCCACTCTCCTTTCGTCGATCCCTGCGAGTCGCAATACCGCCGCGACCTGGCTGATATTTTCGCAGAGTATCCAGGTCCCCATATACCCAAGATTCGGACGATGTCCACTGTCACTGCTGAGTTCAAAACAGACTCGTATACACCCGATTATCTATGGAACAATCTCCGCCAACCCGTGCTTTTCTCTTCCGCGATCCCTAAAATACTTGAGAGTCTTGGGGAATCAACCACATTTGTTGAAATTGCCCCCCATCCAGTCTTGTCCCCAGTAAGCGATTTCCCTCGAATGCTCACCTCAATTTCCGACCTGACGACGTGCGTAGTACCTCAAGCAAATGGGTGCCCCTAGTGCTCTCGCCGGCAGCAGGCGTCCACCATCTGCTCGCCATGTGAAACCTGGATCGAGCGCTTTAGTTGAAGTCCGCACATTGCTCGAAGTTGTAGGATGTTTGCTGTTGGCTGGTGTCAACAAGGTAGGTTGCTTGTTCATCTCACAGCACGGCAAGCTTTGACGCTGTTCTGCACCGGCCACAGATCAACTTCTCGGAGCTTACTGGATGTCCAGAAATGAACATCGAGGGCCCCTCATATCCATTCCAGCGCAAGCTATGGCGCTTCGGCATGGATGAACCATCATATATCTGTAACTTACTACCCGCTGAAAGGCCTTTGAATTCGACCCGGCTACGCGTCAGCCCAATTATGCCTGAGCCATGGATGGGCCACCATGTCATTGATCATACCGTAAGCAAATTCACTAACAAGTTGTTCCCACTGATATATCCTTTCATGGCTCAGAATCTTATTCCCGCGGCTGCCTATCTAGAGATGGGCATGGAGTTCCCCGGCGTTACTCATCTATACGACTGCCGTTTTGAGACTATGTATGTCCTGGACGAGTCAGGACCACCTGGAACATTAGAGGTTTCCCGACAGGGGAACTCCTGGTGGGTGAAATCATCTTCTCAGATGAGCAATCTGCTGGGGGACAGTGACAAGCAGTGGACGAGGACTGGTCCTTCTTTCGATACTCTCCACTCTTACGGCAAGTTGGGTTATGGTCGTCCTGAATTGCAGTCAGATGCGATCACACAAGTCGATCTCGAGGAGGTACTGTCTCGCTGCCCCTACACGTTCGGTCACGACGCCCTCTACCAAGAATTTGATGGCCTGGCACAATTTGGTCCTGAGTACGGTACAATTCTTTAGCTGTAACAAATGCTGTCTCATCTTCTCTTAACAGGTTCAGACGAATTTCGAAAGCGTCGTGCAATGAGAAGGAAGTTGTGGCATATATCAAGGGTCACGTGGACGGCCTGAATCGTACAGATTTTGCTTTTCATCCTGCTCTCTTAGATGCTGTCTTTCAGGTATGTTTGAAATATTGCACATGAAAGTTGTCCTGATTCCCATCGCAACATCGCTAGGCGAGCCTTCCATGGAACTTTGTGCGTAGCATCTCTATTCATCGACTCATACGTAGTTGTAATGTGTGCCTAGATTGGGGACAGGTTGCGTCTCGGCGGCCAGAATGGCCAGCTACTGGTAAATATCTTTCACTTCGAATGAGTCTTCCTTTACAGGCCATTTACATTAAAATACAGCTGCCACACTCTGTTCGCCGCATATTCCGCAACGACGGCAGTACCGCTCCACTGGTTTTGCCTGATGAATTTATAACTTATGCCGTCCTGCACGAGTGGTCGCCTCAGAAGCGGCTAATGAGCTGTTACATCTTAGCTGAAGATCAGTCGGTCATATTTACCGTGGAAGGTGTGTGATTTGTCTTACTGTTTCTGCCTTCAAATGGATAATGTTTCCTGGCAAGGTCTTTGTTTTGCGCTGGTCCAACGTGACGATAAGTGGCCAAGTGAGCACTTCAAGATGTTCTGGCAACCTCGAGACTTGCCGCTGTCGCACCTAGAAGGCTCGGTTATTCTTCCTGGTCCACCACCGCATTCCGATGCTTCAGAGTTACTGCACGTTCTGGATCAACTCGCTATACAGTTTACGAAGAAGACAATAGGGTTCGTCTCCTTGCTTTTCTGTCTAATGATACCGACAGCTGATAATAGCGCACAGCGCTCTACCTCACGACTTTGCATCAACTTTACCTGACCGCAAGCGCTACTTGGCTTGGGCAGATGCGCTAGCTACTAAGTTTGATGGGGACAATGCTGATGCGCCGGTAGTCCCTGTTCATCTTCAAGAAAAGTACAAGTCATTGTTCGAGCTCACTCGGAGGGTTGGTACCGGGCAAAAAGGTAAGCGAATTTCGTCTAGATGTTACTTATGTTCCCCTCTCATGCTCGTACCTGTACAGACATTATAGCTTCGTCAACTGCCGCCGTTGAGCTGCTTTTCAGTGACGACGTCATGAGCAAGATCTACGAACATCCACCTTTCATTGGCTCCATATTCGATGAGACCACGTCGCGTTTCGTCGACCTCGTCACCAATGCACTGAATGCTGGAAAGCAGGTTGTCCGAGTCCTTGAGGTTGGAGCAGGAACCGGGAGGTTAACTGCACTGCTCGGGCGAGCTCTCTTGGAAGCTTCCCTGCCTGAAGGCTGCTACGTTGACTATGTCTGCACTGATGTCAGTATTTCGCTCGCACACGAGGCCACAGCGAAGTCCCCTTGGCCGACGGTAGCCGCCAAAGCCTTTGATCTGAACGTCGGTGTCAGCGAACAAGGCCTAGACCCCTGTAGTTTCGATATTGTGGTCGCTTTTGATGTTCTGCATGCTACTCCTGACATTCACGAGACTTTGACGAAGCTGCGATACCTTCTCTGTCCTGGTGGTCACATTGCTATCTTGGAATTGGACGGTGGTTGTTTCGCTTCCAATGAAACGGGCACAATTTGTAGGTTTCTTTCTTTCGGCTTGCACATCTTACCGATTGATGATGGTCTGTAAACAGGGATGGATTTCATCTTTGGGTCGTTCCAGGAGTGGTTCGGTGTTGTGGACCATCGCGTTGGGTCGACGCACTGTACATTGACTCCATCGCAGTGGAAAGATGCCCTAGCGGAGACCGGGTTTTCGGACACCCTTCTCTTCACTTCGGACGGTGGCGCGGTATCCCACATGGCCTTCATCAGTCAATGCTCTTTCTCGCTTCCATCCAGTATCTTATCATCGGCGACACCCAGTCTCGATTCCAGCGAGCTCAGTTCCCCCCTCTCTAGCCCATTATCGTTATGTTCTCCAACGCAGGACTACGACCAAGCGGCCGTAGCCTCACCTCCATACTCGAACGAGGCTTTGGCCATTTGTGATCAGCAATTCCAGGGCGATGAAAAAGCAGAAGACATTGTGCCGCTCTTCAGTTGGAGCAGGTCAGATGACTCGGAATCTGGTAGTACCCGTGCAGTGCTCCGACACTTCACCGCAGGAGGGGAAGTTGCACTTGTCGACTTCATTTCATCGTTGGATTCAACAGATCCACAGCTCTTTTGGCTTTACACCACTACGTCCCCGAGCGATGCAGCCGCAGTTGGACTAGTGAGAACTCTCCGTCAGGAATACCCAGCCTGGAAGATTCATCTCGTCTTGTTTCCCGACTCGTGGACAGTGGAAGCGCAAGAGGCTTATGTACATGCGCAGCTTCTACCGTTACCGTGGGTGGACTCGGAAGTGATGATCGATCAGGACGGGAAGATGCACGTGCCGCGTCTAGTGAAGGCCTCTCCCGCCTCTCGCCAGGAACTCCGGGGCTCTAATCCTGTCCAATTCCGAGGTTCCGATGTTTGGCGAGCGTATCCAGCGGAGATTGGACCGACTGATGCTGAAGTATCTGTTCACTACATTGGATTGTCTCCGGCTATGTCTGGGTGGACCGAGTTTGCTGGAGTGGTAACAGCCATTGGCTCTGATGTACTTGAAAAGGATCTGGTCGGGCGAAGGTGGGTTCATTCCAATCCTACCCGAATTTTCTTCTGATGTATGGGCTCGCACAGGGTATACGGTGTTACCTCGTCTGACCCCGGGAGTACTATTGTCTGCGATCGCTCCAAGCTTGCATTCGTTCCACAAGACATGGAAACAGCACTAGCCGCTGCTTTGGTTGGAAGGCTTACGTTTTTATCGCTGGTCGTGGTTGATGCTATCGGCGTCTCTTCGAAGAACGCCAAAATCCTCCTTCACGCCGGCCACTGTTCACCGGCCGCGCTCGCGACGTACGCCTACTTGAATACCAACTCCTTCGACGTTGTTGTCACTGTCAGTGATGCGCCATCATCCACCCACACGTTCACGCAGTCCCCATTGTCGTCCTCCAAGTCCTATGCTTGGTCATCTTGTGTCCGTGACTGGGCTCCACAAGGCATAGATATCGTATTCAATTTTGACGAGGATATCGATGTGGCGAAGCAGACGCTTTCCATGCTTTCTCCCCGGGGCAGATTTGTTCAGATTGGAGGAGAGCTACCTGGCTCTCTTCCTGCCGGCCGCTGTTACGTCTCTATCGAAGAGCATGTCGTTCTAGAAGCTGGTAATGACCTCGATCGCAAAGGCGCAGTCTTTGAGGCCGCTCTTCTTGCTACCCTCACCCCAACCATGGATATTTACAGCCTACCACAACTCATGGCCGCCGGTGCCGAAGCGCGCAATCCAACATCAGACCGTGTCGCTGTGGTCGACCTGCAGGCGATTTCCCCGGAGCTTCCCGTGTTGAAAGGCGGAATGTTGAAAGGGACAGCTGTTTTCAATCCTCGAGCATCCTATGTGATTTTGGGTGGTATCGGCGGACTGGGTGTCAACATTGCTCGATGTTTGGTGGAAAATGGTGCTAGACACTTGATTTTGACTTCGAGATCTGGAGAGAAGGTAGGGTGTACGTCTGCATTCCAGTGGCTTTCTAATCGTATTCTCGTTAGGGGATCGCAACTACGCAACTAGTATCCGAGAGAAAGATTATCAATTATCTTCGAGGAATACCTGGAGTAACGGTTGATCTCCGGGCAGTAGACGTTCTCGACGCTGAGAAGACTAAGGACCTGTTTATGAACCTGGAGCATCCAGTCGCCGGGGTATTCTATTTAGCTGTCAGGCTCAACGACCAGATCTTCTCGAATTTGAAGACGGAGAAAGACTGGAAAACTGGCAAGTTGGCTATCATTTGCTTTATTTTCTCATATTAACTTAAGCTTCAGTTTACGACGTCAAGATCAAGGGAGTCGAAATTCTCCTGCAAACGGTCAATCCGCAGTCACTGGACTTCCTTGTTCTCACGAGTTCCATGGCGACTGTGTGCGGCTCGCCAGGTGAATATGAATAAATTATGACTGATCTCGCCAATTCTAACTCAAAGTATCAGGCCAGGCAAACTATTCGGCTGCCCAGACCTACATGGAGACCATGGCAGCAGCACTTCCCAATACCGTTGCCATCACAGTGCCCCCTATCGTGAGTTCTGATCTGAAGCTTCCTTTCACAAATACTGATGAGACACGACGTCACAGACCGATGGAGGTATATTTGTTCGAAGTCTGCCTCCGGGTGACGCACGTAATGCAGCCCTGGACAAGGTAAGTCGCTGTGTGCTCCCTTCACGCACCAAACAATAATAAGTTCAATGACCATCACCAGTACAAATCCCTTGGAATGTCCGGTTACCTTGTCGCGCAACACTGTGTGAATGCTATCTGGACGCTTAACTCCGATGCCTATAGTGCTGTCTATATTCCTCCTACTGACTGGAGTGAAATCATGCAGCGTGAGTCTGTCTTTCTTTCTCCCTCTTGTGCTTGGCTAAGCCTCAATTGCTGCAGTTGGCATACCTGAATACCACCTGTCGTCTCTTCGGCACTTGCTGATCAAGCAAAACGTTCAGACTGCCATAGCGGCTGAGGAGTGGTCCATTCGGGCGGCGTGCGCATCGGTGCTGGCCCTTAATGTCAATGAGATCGCAGACAATGTCCCACTTTCAAGTTATGGTCTTGACTCGCTGACCTCAGTTCGATTGAGTGGGATTCTCAAGACCGACTTCAATGTTTCCGTGACTCAGCTCCAGCTTCTCGGAAACAGTATGACTGGTGTGTTCCTCCTGTTATAGCCCTGCAACACATTCTGATGAGTTTTTAGTCCAACGACTGATGGGTTTGCAAGAGGAGACGAAAGCTGATTCATCTTCAGCAGTGGTAGGGACCACCAACAAGGATTCGCTTGACGTACAGGGAGCCGAAGGTGTCCACCATGCTGACATGGACAAGACGATCGTTCGGTTGAACAACGTCACCGACGGACAGCCTTTGTTCATTGTACACGGCGCTGGCGGCGGCGTCCTTGTTATGCTGAAGACTGCAGAAATGATGTCTTGTCCTGTTTATGGTGTCCAGGACACTCCGGAGGCGCCCATCACTGGAACCCTCGACAGACTTTGCAAGTTCTACCTGGAGAAGATTCGAGAGAAGCAACCCAAAGGCCCCTACCGCCTCGGGGGTTTCTCATTCGGTACGTAGGCATCAATCTTACATTCATAGAGCTGACCCAAGATACTGTTTTGTAGGCACTTATGTTGCTCTTGTCATCGCACAGCAGCTGCGGGAAGAAGGGGAGACCGTGGAGATACTCGTGATGATTGATGGGTCACCAGCGATATTTGTTAACTTTGCCAAGAAGATCAACATGAGCAATATGCGAGATGAAGTACGTCATCCGGGGAATATGTATTCAATAGTTAACTTTGCCACAGATCATGGTCCTTATCCGTGATATTGCCACTAGCGGGACGCTGGATAATGGCGAGGAGCTTACCGCTATGTTCGAGGACCATTTCAAGCAAATTTCGCAGGGCGGCTCTAGTGGCAAATTCGTGTCCCAGTTCGGTCGCGCATACGTCTCACACGTCCTCATGGCAGTCCGTGCTTGTATAACAGCAGTACTAGAGGAGCGAGCCGGGAAGATTGTTGACCCTGTATGGCCTGCTGCGAAAACGGTCGTTATCGCTGCGGAGGATGGCATTCGTCGTCAATCCGCGTCGGAAGGTCTTTCTCCTGCTTTCGACGTAGACTTACGCGCCCCAGATGCAGAGTTATACACGCTGCCGGGAACGCACTTCGGTGTTCTCCACCCCCAGTCTGGACTCCCTCAGCTTCTCGAACAGGTGTTGATGTTGCCAGTGTCGCATTGAACCGCTATGTTGAACTGTATACGTAATTCCTCTGTAACTACTGTGGCTTCTTATGACTCGCTTGCTCTCTGAAATATCAGTGCTGTTATTTCGTGTGGCTCCGAGGGCAAGGCTCGTGTAAGGGTTGCGTGGATTAGATCACCACGATGAGATGGACTCCTGACCGGCTCTGTGAACTGCTCATGAGTTTTGTCCCGCATCTGAATCATGGGATCGGTTGACGGCACGGATAGGCATGGTCTCCCTGTAAGACGGGGTAAGAGAATGAGGCCTGACTCGGAGGTTTCATAGACCTTGTCATGGCTGATATCTGCTAGTATCAGCGATTATTTATAGGTTCTCGAGTCGTTCCCTATCATTTACATTGCGCAAGATCCAGGATTTTCGCTTGTGTAGATGCTAGCGGTACTTACTGGAATCTGCCTGGCCGTAGTTTCATTAGCGACTTGATCTCGGAAATCACTCGCAAGGGAGGCGTGGCGACTTAATAGATCAATCATGTTGAACAAATTTCCACTGACAAGTGGGGCTCGGCCACCCCAAACACGACCGTTTAGATCTTCAGACACCTCCGCTTGTCTGTCTTCTTTGCCTCATTTTGTTGAGGTGATCACATCCCGTTGGCGTGTCCGCAGTAGCACAGCGCTGAACGGTGAACGCCGTGTTCAAAAGGAGTTGACAACCAACCCTCAACACGATCGCCCCTCTTGACCCACTTGTCTGCCCACTATCATGTCTTCCCAATTCTCCGATGCACCTGCCCCGTTTTCACCCCTCGTCAAGCTTGATTTACCCTCTCCCGAAGAATATCGCAAGCGCAAGGTCGCGCTGATCTCTGGTGAGTTATCCCTCGCTTTCAAGCAACCTTTTCATCGTCACAGCATTTATACATGCATGCAGGTATCACCGGCCAGGATGGTTCATATTTGTAAGTATCGTCCCTGATCTGGCCGTTCTTAAGGTTCAGAGATCGCTCGTGTGATGGATTTTGGCATATAAGTTTCTCATTTCACTCTTCACTTATTTCTCAGGACGGAGCTGTTGCTGTCAAAAGGATACGAAGTTCACGGGATCATGCGTCGTTCCTCCAGTTTTAACACCAACAGGCTGCACCACATATACGAAGACCAGCATGAGCGTGCGTCTTCTAGCTCCTATCTACGCCTGGCATCTCACAGTCCGCAGGTCCGAACAAGTTCAAGTTGCATTATGGGGACTTGAGTGACAGCACCAACCTCGTGTACATTATCGCCCAGGTGCAGCCCACGGAGGTATATAACCTCGGCGCGCAGTCGCACGTCAAAGTGTCCTTTGAGATGGCGGAGTACACAGGAGACGTGGATGGGCTTGGAACCCTGCGGCTCCTGGATGCGATCAGGACATGTGGACTGGAAAAGCACGTACGGTTTTACCAGGCATCTACTTCAGAGCTGTACGGAAAAGTCGTGGAGACGCCGCAGAGCGAAACTACTCCCTTCTACCCACGCTCGCCATATGGTGTCGCGAAGCTTTATGCGTACTGGATCACAGTCAATTATCGCGAGGCGTACGGGATGTATGCTTGCAACGGGATTCTGTTCAATCACGAGAGTCCGAGGCGGGGTAGAACATTTGTAACGAGGAAGATCTCCCGAGCAGCAGCGGATATTGCTCTTGGGAAGCAATCATGCCTTTATCTGGGCAACTTGGATGCACAGCGTGACTGGGGGCACGGTAGGTTGTCATTCATCGAACTCTCGTATCAGCCATTGATATAGTTGCAGCGGCCGATTACGTCGAGGGTATGTGGCGCATGTTGCAGCAGGAAAAGCCGGAAGATTTTGTCTTGGCAACCGGTGAGACGCATCCCGTCCGTGAGTTCGTCGAGAAGTCTTTTGGGATCCTTGGCATGGATATAAAGTAAGCCTTAATGCTACAGTCGCGGATCTCGACTAATGTCTCCGCTACAGATGGCGAGGGTCTGGAACGGCCGAGGAAGGCGTAGACTCCAAAACTGGCAAGGTCGTCGTTAAAGTTGACTCCATGTACTTCCGTCCCGCCGAAGTCGAGTGCGTTCGTTTCCTTTCGTGCGCTTCTCGAGCCTGCTGATACCGGTACAGGCTGTTGCTCGGCAATCCTGCCAAGGCTGAACGTCTGCTAGGCTGGAAGCGAAAAGTTGACTTCAATTCGCTCGTGAAGGAAATGGTCGAGGCGGATCTCAATGCAGCTAAGTCGCTCATTGAGGATCAGAACTAGGACTTCAATTTGGACGTTACAAAGATACCGAAGACATAGTATATACCACGGACTTTGAGAACGCGTGTCTTCGCTGTATACTAACGTCGTAGCTAAGGATAAGTGTATGAAGCATCATCGATCGCTAGAGCAATTCGCAGGATCGTAGTCAAGGCTTGGTTGGGAACTTGTGACTGCAGTCAGTAAATGCACAAAGCTAACAAGCAAGGAGTCCGCTCTGGGCAACTTGCTGGTGCGATTTGTCGCTTCGTCTAAACCGCCTTAAGGTAATCATTCACGAGGCCAAAGCCTTATTTGCTCCCATATATACTTTGAACTTCGTTCCCCGCTCTTAGTAGACTCTGGTCTCTATCTTGCTGGAAAGTATGGCCATAGCGATGCATGGCCCCCACTCCCAGCACATTGTCGCGCTGGTCAAAAAGCTAGAAGCAGGTAGTCCAGAGGACGATTTGCTTCCTTTAAGTTGTGCAGGATGCGGGAAAATGCAGGAGCCCGGTGAAGTATGTGAAAAGTACTGCCAGTGGTCGCGGATTCCTGACCTCTACCACTAACAACTTTTGGTTGCAGAAAACACTCCAATGCTCAGCTTGTAAAGCTGTAAGGTACTGCAATGCCACAGTGAGTGAAGTTGGCTGTTGCACGTAGGCTAGTTTGCTGAACACACTATCCACTCAGTGTGCAAAGCGAGACTGGAATGGTGTTGTCACTCCGCGAGGGGTTGAGGAGCCCCATAGAAATACATGTCCTAATTTGAGGGTGGGCGTCCTTCTGTCTCGTCTTCAATGCATTGTCTCTAAATTCGGCATCCAACCTTCAGAACTCAATGATGAAAGCCCCGGATATGCGAGCCATCGCAAAACAATTCCCATGGGTGCGCGAGCAAAAAGATGGAACATTCGAGTTTCTCATCCTCCGTTCCTCTCTGAATCTCGCCGGGACCGGCCGCAATTTTGGTCGGTGGACCGAGCGTCCGTGTTGCAACGACAGAACGCAGTACATCTCTGGCTCTATGCTCTTAGAGACCCAGCATTTACGTGAACGCCAAGGCTGGCTCCTGCCTGGCGCGCATATTCCATGGCTTGACTTTAGTGAGAGCCCTCAACCCCCGCCGAGACCGCTCCCAGCGGAATTCGAGCACACATGGCAGAACTGCTACGGGTGGCGTGGACTGCCGATTGAATCACTGTCATGTCTTCTACTGCATTGGCCGCTCACTGTCTTTAGGCTTCTCCACCTACTACACTTGGCGCCTTCAAAGATACCGTCGCAGCGTCGACAGCTAATTGTCCATTATCTGGGCGCCGAAAAAGAGCTTGATTTCTTACCTATGTATGTCTCCTATCCGACGGGTTTGTACACACTCACAATCAAACTTTCGCTGTCGCAGTTATGGTGAACTGGCGCTCTTGCTGCCCAACACCGACCTTGATTTGGTCTTCTTCGGACCTGGCGTGCCGCCCTTACCCAAAGAAGCAAAGAAGAAACCAGGTTGCCTCGCATCCTAGAAGCACCCCTACGCATACACTGCTCCAGCCTCACTCGGCGGCGGCGTTATCCGTATCTCACTTTCTAGGGGGGGGGCAATTCTGGGATGGGGTCGGTTTGAAGCCGACTTCGAAACTTCCGGACGCTATGATCGCCTGCAATGCGGGGCTCTCGTCTTATATGGAGTGGAAGCCGGCTGTCGTCGCATCCAGAGCTCTGAGCATTCCCTTCGCCGTCACGGATTTTAACGAAATCTCCGTCCGCAGTGACATCAGCCTCGTCTTCAAAATGCTTCCAATGTGGGCAGGCATGGTCCAGTGGCCGGTCGGAAGAGCTATGACACGGTCGGAGCAGCAGAGGGTCGAGGAAACTCCTGGAGCGCATTTCGAGCTAGGCTTGAACCCTTTTATGCACCTGGGTCCTAGGCAGGAGGTCAACACCCGCGTACCGAGCTCCGTCAGTGGTTTCGAAATGGTCGTCACACCCGCCGGTGCTCATTCCTCAATACAATCCTTTAACGAAGCACCCGATCCAGAGTGATTGCACGTATAAGTTGACAAGCAAGGACAGTCCAAACATACATAGCATGAGACATTATATAGTACACATGTAGTCCAGGTATCAATATCCATATAGTAGTATGAAAGTACATAATGATCGAAACGATAGAAGCATCACATAACCAGACAGCAATCGCGGACGCAAGCGCACCATTGCTCCCATACCCCGGCGTGGGCAAGTTCTTCTTCCGCCGTTTTGATAGCCCCACCATCCCGTTTAATAGTGATAGTGTACTCGCGCTCCGGCTCGCCGGGAGCTGGTACGGGATACCACCACCGCAACGTTTGTCCGTCCACTGCCCATCGGCCTCCCGACACGGTGACGTTGAGTGCCAACGGCAAAGACTCCAAAAGTTTGACAGAAGCAGCTCGAAGAAGGCTCGGCGCAAAGGGGTCTTCGCGTGGCATATCCACGTTCGGCTGCTTGAAGAACAACTCGTCTGGTGTGAGGGTCGAAGGAGTTTCGCACTGCTGTTCTTCCGCAAAGCGCGTGAGGAGCTTGTCGGCCGCGTAGTGTACAATGGGGACAAAAATCTCGGTGGGAAGCTCTTGTGGCTCTACGTCTGCACTCGACGTGCAGAGCCGTGCAGACTGAGGCGCATCTTCTGCCCGCACACGGACGGTGTACTTGAACTCCGCCTTCGCAATGTTGAACTGGATGTCCTTGGGAACGCCAACCGTCGCAACAGGGAATGGTCGAGAAAACGCTTTGGCAGCCCGAGTACCATCAGTCAAAAAGTCGTAGCTGTTCTCCCACCTAGAGAACGAAGTGATGTCTGTGCTGGCCTTGACAGTCTCGTCGACTATTGCTTCAGTATCGACCGTCAGAGTATTGATCGATAACGTCGATGCTGCCGCAGCCCGATCAACCGTGGAGTTATTCAGCAACATCGCACTAGATGCGTCACTCATCTCCATTTTGTATTTACTGGTCGACCGCAGGTCGTCGGGACTCCAAATGCTGAGGTCCTCCAGATTCCATCCATCTCCCCATCGATGTGAGTTATCAGGGCAGTAGTTCCAGATAGTGTAATTCAGCGCATTTGGCCCGTCCGCCGCATTGAGGCTTGCGTCTAATGCCTTCTGCTGGCTTGAATAGTCACCCTTGTATTTGCCATCGTCTGTGTATCCGTAAGCCTTCCTCCCGTCCATATCATATGGAATGCCGATCTCCCCGATAATAGTTGGGTACGAGCCTAAGATAGGTGCATCCTCCTTGAACATACCCAACTGCTGCTGAAGTGACTTCCTAATGGCGCTCTCACCAATCTTGACGGCAGGAAGCGTCGAGGAATATTTTCCCCTCAACAATCCAAGCGCGTCAGCGTTGAACCAACTCCAATGACGGGTGACGAGTGTGAGCCCATCATAATAATGGGCAGAATAACAGCAACGTCCCTGGAGGTGTTTATCGGGGATAGGTGGTGGTTCGTCAAACACAGGTGGTGCGATGAACATGATCGACTCCGGATGTGATTGTCGTATTCGTGCAGCGAATTTCTTCCAATGTGCCAGCCAGTGCGTCTCAATGAAATATGCGTTCCGAGGAGATCCGTCAGTCGACGACGGAGCTTTGAAGTAGTCAGGTACCAGAACCCCGCCAGTCTCGACATCCCACACGTCGTGCAATGCCCAGATACACGTCCCTAGCTCCCAGCCGGGATCACGACGCCACCCCCAGCGTGGATGCACGCCATCGATTTCGGCTCGAGGATCCGTCCACACTCTGACACCCTGTGGATCAACCGTGACCTGACCATCATGCTGAGGACCCATTGACCCGAACTTCCAGCTATCGACTGTCTGCGCTTGGCCCATTCCAAGCCGGAAGGACTGCACGGGTGAGGGGAAGGTACCCTTCTTGAAGGTAGACGTTTGTTTCGTAGGAACAGTATTGAGGTCTTCATACCCACAGAACCCTGCAAAGGGCTCATTCATGCTATCCCATCCAATTACACACTCGTCCAGCAAGTCTCCGGCGTCACGGATACGATCGGCAAGTGCACCAAACGCAGCAATATAGTGTGATTGGAGATAATCCTGAATATTTTGACCATCGATGATACACTTCGGCGCAAACTTTCGACCAGCGAAGAAAAGCGTGAAAAGTGTCTGGGAGGCAAGCCGGCCGTAGTTCGTACTCCAAATCATGGCAGGTAATTTGGAAGGGTCTGAGGCCGAGGCTGTAGGATATTCGCAATGGATAATAGCTGCTTGAGTAGCAGTAAAATTGCGCGGCTCAAATCCGCATGCAGGCAGCGTCCAGTATGGAGCTCCAGAACCTCCAGAGAATCGAGACCACTGCACCAGAAATATTCTATCAGCATGGACAGTATCCACGGAAGTTGCAAACGCACGATGTCTTGATGGGGGTCCATATAGACCTTAAAATCATACTCTTTACACTTGCGCAGGACGCGCACAACATAATCCATGAACTCATCATCATACTGTCCGCTGCCAAGTCGTTAGAAGATAACAGCACGGTAGCACAATCAAGCTCACGGTCCAGCATGTTCTAGAGACTCCCATGTCACAACATATCTCAGCATATTGAAACCCCATCCTCTTAATCGAGCGAGGTGCACATCCGCGGAACCATCATCAAGGTTGAGGGGTCTACCCACGAAGCTACCCCGGCCTTCCTCGCCGCACTCCCAGAAATCATCCCTTAATTCAGATGGTTTATTCAGAGGTGCCTTGTCTGCACCAGATAGGTTAACACCGCGAAGTAACAAAGTACGGCCAGCGTTGTCGACGAATTGGCTGTCGGTCGTGTGAATGAAGTGGGGAGGAACGGGGTGCCCAGTCGCAGGCGAGACGGAGGGCACTTGAGGCATGGTAGAGACTAAGGGATACAAGCGATGACAGACTCAAAATGACGGATTTTATGTAGTCGCACTGGGAGCGACCAGGCTGCAAGACTGAGGAATACGAGTTCAAACGTTCAAGGCATCTACTGTAACAAGGGTCCGGCGCAGTAGCGTTGGAGCAAAGGTGGTTCGATGCTGCTTTTATTGACACGTGACCCACCCGCACGATCCGGCCATCCCTTCCCTCGTTGTTTGCTGCGGTAACTTCTTGGCGTCCAATGATATTGCTCATAATTATGTTCCTTGTATGAAACTCACCATACAGGACGAGACAAAAGATTCGTAGACTACACGTTGTCAGCACAAGCGGCAACAGAAGCGTTTCGAAAGTGACCAAACTCCCAATTAAAGCAGTCCTACAATGAGTGTAAGTAATAGAGCAGAGGGAATAAAAGTCTGATTTTGGACTTACTACACAATCCTCTTCTTCAAACAGATCAGGAACGGCACCGGGGTTGTCACTGTCCCACTCGGCTGAGAGCATATCGACAATCACTCTGATACCGTGATTGCGCACGCTCACTCCCCAGCCCAACTTCGACACGGTATCATAGCGAATAATATTACCTAAATGGCAGCTGGGGAATCGGATTTCAATCATCGACTCATCGGCTGTGAGCAGCGCAGTCCGAACGCACCGAGTTTCCATGGCGTAGCCTCCAATTGCACATGCAGATGAGACGCCATTGCATACTCCCATGGGTATAGGATCAGCAGTATGATACACGTGGGTGACATGTTGAGTAGAAGGCTGGATATTTGTCAGAAAACGTTGTGAGCAATATTCATACCCTTACAGGAGATGGTAAATGCAATCTTTGTGCGGCGAGCTTCTCTGCAGGTGCCTCAAACGCGACCACCGGGGCACCAAATGTGACACCAATGAGGGAAGCCAGCGATCCTCCAAGGGAGTGGCCTAGAAAGATTTAGTGATAACGCAGTCGGGACCTGCAAATACAACGCACCGACAAGCCATATGTCAGCACTTGGATACATGTACGAGACGTTGTAATAGAGATTCTAATTTGTAATAAGTGAGGTGCACGAGAAGCAGTGACGTACTCGTCTTACTATGCCGACTGAATAGAATAAACTCTCTCCCACAAGGCTCCTCTCCAAACAACCTTGATCACACTTGTAACCACCTTCATGACAATCGCATACTGGGGACCAAGTAGGTCCAACTTTAGAGCAGCAACATGAAAATAGCAGATTATCATTCAGCTTGTCTCTCCGTACGGTCGGGCCACCTCCGCCTGTGAGCCATCCAGTGTCGGTGCCTTTGACCGTGATCACAACAGTCGAGTTATCTGGTGTTGCAAAGATATGACCACGCAACCCATCCGCATTAGGCTCCCAGCCAAATGGGTAGCTCTGGAAGCCGTCAACTGAGACTTTCCGGAAGAAGCAAGGCAAGGAAACATACAGAATTCCAGTCTGAGCCAATATGGTACCACTCTTTGTCTGCTGGCTCTTGATATGCGTTGTTCGCCATCTTCGCAAGCATGAGAAGCGTCTCCCTGTCACGGACATCTGGCCCCTCTGTGTCTAATGCATTCCATGGGACGAAAGAAAGCCCACGAATCTGATCACTCGAAAGATTGGCGTGCAAAGTCGGCTTGTAAATTTGCAGTGGACGAGTATTCAAAGTGTACTCTTGCGGTGCGAGTTCGACAGGAGACCGAACATCAGAGAATACAGGGCGTGCCGACTGGGACAGGCCATGTTCATGACGAAGCTCAAACCGCAGGGATGGGGACTCCACGAGCGGCGTCTTCTGCCACAGCAGTGATGCTAGGAGGTACTGCAGAGCATTGGGGAGACTCAGGGCACTGTATGCAAACATTCTCAGAGAACAATCGCAAGTCTAATCAACGTGTCTTATAGACGGCTGCGCGGGGCCGGCAACTGCTGCGCGGCTAATAAGCGATGCTCCCACGCCTCAATTGAGATGGGATCTTACGTAACTGGAAGATCGATTTTCTGCAGGTGCAGCGGTCCTCGAGCTCATCACACTCCTCCACCGACGTCCACGTCCTCCGACTTCCCCGTGAAGCATTCACTTGCTTCATCCTCCCTTTCCCCTCTTCAGTGTCCACAATGACCTCCTCGCTCTCGCAGCAGTATGCATGTCAGTTGCTCTCTGCCCTCTTTGTCGCCATCATCTAACCGCTCCGACAGACCGTGGTCAAAAGGTTCTCGGCCTAGTTGGTGGTACACCAAATTACGAATCGTTAGACGGATTCCAAGTGCCCGATGTGCCAGCTCGCACGTACCGCTACAGCCCCGACGGTCGCCTGTATGCATATGCTGTCCCATCTTGTGTTCGGATCTTCCAGGCAGAGAATGCGCAGCTGCTCCAAGAGCTTCCGCTCCCGAACATTGTCGAGATCAATTTCTCCCCGCGAGGCACTTACTTTTCGACTTGGGAACGGCCAGTCAAGCTCGAGGATGGAGCCCAACACAAGAACTTGAGGGTCTTTTCCGTCTCGACTGGAGAGGAACTTGTGGCATTCACGCAGAAATCACAAGAGGAGTGGGATCTGCAGTACACCATTTCTGAATCCCACGCGATTCGGCTGGTAGGTCAGGAAATACAAGTATTCCGTCCTGCAGAATGGTCAAGCGGCGTTGTGGACAAGCTCAAAGTGGAAGGTGCAACGAGTGTCGTGTTGAGCCCGGGACTCAACCCTTCCGTTGCAATTTTTGTTGCTGGGAAAAATGTATGTGGCGCTCCACACTTATGCAGAAGGTAACTGAGTGTCTTGAAGGGAGCGCCTGCAAGCGTGAAGATCTACAGTCTCATGGGCCTCAATGCACCACCTACATGTCAGAAAATGTTCTTCAAAGCTGATAAGTCGCAGATCAAGTGGAACACTCTTGGCACGCAGGTATTGGTCTTGACGCAGACGGAGGTGGATCAGGCGAACAAGAGCTATTATGGAGAAACTGGCGGGTTCTGCATCTTGAGCGCCGCGGGTAATTTTGACTGTCGCATCACGCTTGACAAGGAAGGTCCCGTCCATGACTTTACATGGAGTCCAAACTCGAAAGAGTTTTCTGTGATCTATGGGTGTGAGTCATTCCTTTTTTCTACAATTGGACTGCCTTTTCATTTCGCTATTCCTGCTAGTTATGCCTGCGAAGGCGATGCTTTTTGACCAACGAGCCCGAACACTCCATGATTTTGGCACCGCTTTCTGCAACTTCACTTCATTTAACCCACAGGGACGGCTCCTTGCAATGGCCGGATTTGGTAATCTCGCTGGCAAGGTCGACATCTATGATCGTCGAACGCTGGCCAAAGTTACGAGCATCGATGCATCGAATACGTCTCACTGTGAATGGTCACCGGACGGCCGATTCCTCCTCACCGCGACACTGTCCCCACGGCTACGAGTGGATAACGGCATTAAAATTTGGCACTGCACGGGTCCTCTGGTACATGTTCATCTTATCGATGAATTATACCAGGCGTCATGGCGACCCACACCCGTCGACGCTGCACCTCCCTTCCCGCAGAACATCCCGCCGTCTCCGGCGCCGGCGTCTAGTGTTCTGGAGCTTGCCGCGGTTGCGAAGCCTGCACCCACGAGACCTGCTGGGGCGTATCGTCCGCCTGGTGCCCGCGGTCTAGAAGCATCTTCTGCCTACAAGCGTGACGAAAATTCCTCGAGTGCGCCCTCGACACCTAATGGCCGTTATAGTCGCAGCCCCGCGCCGGGACGTGTGAACACAAACGGTCGCCGACATGTCCCAGGTGCCCCTACATCGCCGTCGCCTGTTCGTAACGGGGCTGATCCAGATCGGAGGGGGCGCAAGCGGAAGGGTGGTAAGAAGGACAAGGAGGGTGGAGAGGACACTCCTCGACCGTCGATTGATATCCACATCAACGGGGCCCCAGAGGCGGCGCCTCTGAGTCCTGTTAATACTTCTGTTCCACCCACTCCCAGCGTCGATGCTGCCAACTTGGATCCCACGGCCAAGAAGGTTCGCAATCTAAACAAAAAGGTATGTAGTCGTGATTCATCCCAGACGGCTGGGTCTGATATACGTCCTCGCAGCTCAAAGCCATTGAGGAGCTCAAGGAGAAGGCCAAGAAGGGGGAGCGATTGGAGGCCACGCAGGTGAAGAAGATAGATACGGAAGTGGAAATCCGCAAGGAGCTCGCGGCGCTTGGTATCACGTCATAGCCGTTCCTTGCGTTGTCCCTCTCGTATCCGTTTCATATCCTCGGTTTGTTGTCTCCCGTAGTCGCCCCGTCGCTAGATCTTCGTTCATATTGTGCCGTTGTGTTAGTGGACATTATTATCATCGGATATCTGGCTGATCATCATGAGTTTGGGTTAGAACGTGGTCTGATGTCCCATCGTATTCATCCTGGTCCACGATGTTCAACATCAATGTATGTCCGAGTTGTACGATAAGCTCCTTATGCCGGGAGGGGCGTTTGTAAGGTTATTTGCGCAGTGGGAAGCGTCAATTAAACGCGGTCACGTGACCGTATTTACTTCGCTTGCACCAAGTTGCAGCGCCGGGTCCTCGGCCTTGAACTGAAGCTGCCTAGACTTCAGAGTGAAGATAAAGCATCGCGATCATCGGCTTGAATAGAATCCGCTGGATTATTACCAGAATATATGCAGGGTCGTGAGTAAATGTAGCAGTGGTATGTACAGTAAACGAAGATAGACTCGGACGAATCAAATGACAATGTTACAAACGCCAATAATACAAATAAAGAACGAAAGCCAGACCGAATTTCCGAGCGTGTCGGAAGTAATCATTAGGTAGAACTATACTCGAATCTCGATCTCAGCCAGCCAGATATTACGCTTGGCAGGATGGACCGACAAGAGCCAAATACTGTCGATAAAGCTTTGGCGGTCCGTAATTTTCCACTGCTCCTCTCCTGGAGTATTGCGCTGCACTCAGCAGTGAGAATATGCTGATGAGACCCACTCTGGCGGCTACTTACGGATGCTCTGTCTGCAAAACGGGCTAGATGGACGCAGATCAAGACGGCGAGTCGGTTTCGTTTAATGAACCCATTCCTATCTTGCACGTGGATGTAGGTGCCCATGTGCGCATATCCTGGCCACTTTCAAATACGAATGAGTTTGAGCATAATCAGGTCCAGCTAAAGGACTGAAAAAGACATACAGCCACGACGAGACGAAACTGGCGCAGCCCTGTAGTTTCAAATACACGATCGTCGCTGCCATCGAGGACAAGAGAGTTCCCCAAGGCCTCGGAAACGCGTATTCCAGGAAATCCTCGTGACGTGAATTCGACTGGGGAGTAGTGGTGGTTATGTCCAGCGACTTCGATTGTCTGAGGCACTCGTGTACGCCTGAGGACCTCGGCGTGCCGTGGAGTTTCGAAGCTCGTGGGCGAAGAATCTTTACTAGTACTGCTCGTCACAACTCCAATCGTAGAAGCCGTCTCATTTGAACCACAAACTTCATCGAGGATTGGCGGAGGATGGGAATATGGATACCACTGACACGTCGGACCCGGAACTCCCTGCCCTCCCCATGACTGCCCATAGCCTGTGGCAGGAATCTACAATAACAATTAATGCGTAGCTGGCAGCCCACTTGTCAAACGATACGTACAAGCTCCTCGAAATGCGATTGTGAGGCTGAGCTGATAGCCTTCTCAAGAGTTATCAGTCGCTGAAGCGCAAGTGTTGTAACTAGACGTACATGGTTCGCACTTGGCTGAACGTTAGCTGATGACACTGGATAACAATCGGCCCATTCTATGGCCGATTGAGGCTGATCAGTCGACTGCGACATGCACGTTGACAAACCGGCCGATTTTCATGACTGGCTTATTTATTGTTTCGGTCGCAGTCATGTTGCGCTGTCGGCGTAGACTCCACTGCAGCGGCCATGGCGGTGCACACGCCGGCGTGGCTGACGAGAGCACCTACGATTTAATTGACTCAAGCTGCACGTCGTGCGTTGTTGCAGGTATGGAAAGACGAGACAGAACCTTGCAGGTAGACACGATGAAAACACGAGTAGGGAGGGGCTGAGGAACGCAAACTTTGGAAGAGGTGTACAGCCAAACCCAATTCTGCGGCTTCGTTCCCATCCGCGCCCGACGTTCAGACCCGCGCTACGTCGAACAGCGGGCGAATGACAGCATTCGCGGCACTTCCGAGGCTCAACGCCAGCGTGATAACGCGCAGAGTGCGAAAATCAAACGGCATCAAATCACATCGAAGCATTCTGCTCCGTGTGACCCCTGGCAAACCGAATTAGCACAAGAGGGGCGATGGAATGAATCAAACTGAAGTTCGCTTACCAAGTGATTTATGCTGTGTGCCTGCTCTTGACGGTCGGGCTTCGAAGATTACAATGCGGTGAACCTTCAGCGAACCCCGCCCGAGACTGAGCCGCTGGATCATTAACCCATGACGCGAGTGCCGTAATTCGGACCGATGTCTGAGAAATCGAAAGTGTCGAACTTCACAGCATACTTAGCGTGGCTCGCATCATTCCGGCCATCCCAGCTCGTAGCTGCCATCCAGGCAGACGCAGAGGTATAATCCCATGCGTTTGATATTCTTCCATCGCATAGGAATTTATGTCAGATATATGGACAGACTTCAGGCTCTGGCAAGAAGGTAGAATATACAAGAGTTTCGCGTATTGTCACCTGGCCAAGTGTTCGGAGATAGGACCGTGTACGTGTGGGTCCATTAAGGAGCGGATGCTTAAATCCACCTTCTATGCGAGAGAATCAGGATGCACTCACATGGTAGCATAGTACAGGTATCTGTTAGTCCATGAGGGTCAGTGGAGACGAGGATTGATACAGACGTCTGGACCAGAGAAGAATTTGTTGCGTGGAAACAATGACTGTGTCCATCAGACAGTACTCGGATAGGCAAATCCGACATGAGGGCATTCTGTCTGCTTCCGCAAAAACAAAGCAGTGCGATAGAAACGTGGTACACAAGCACGACACAGCTACGAAAGCATAGGTCGTCACTAAAAACCTGATGGGGCACTGCCGCACAGGCTGCAGAAGTAGGGTAGCCATGACCAAAACGCAAGCTGTCTATTCGGAATTAGTATATGTTTTGTATCATCGTAGTCTAGCTCCTGGATTCGAAGAAGATGGTGGGTCAGAACTAGTACCAAGAGGGTCGGTAGTCGCGTTGTCCATGGCATTGGGCGAAGATGTCGGCTCTTCAGAAGAGCGTGTAGGCGAAAGACGTATGCGGGGAAGTGCCAATGGAGTGTCCTCAAATTCGGCCCAGCCGCCCCTGAGTCCAATTTCAACAACGCGTTCCAATATTCGACTAAGCTCGTCATTGCTATAAACCAGAGCCACAAAAAGATTGAGTGCCATTTTGGAAGACATGGGAACGATGAACGCACCGTTGCTTCTCCTCCGACCAACGTTCCTCAAACATTTCTTGCAGCGACATTGTCTTGTCCGTAAGCTGTTGTAATTTGGTCTGTAACTCCTCCAACTGGTCATCTACGCTATCTCTTCGTTTTGACTGATTGCGCGACGAGCGCCACGTTTCCCCTATGATCAGCAATGATGCCACTCCGAAGAGGAATCCTTCCGCGAGCGCATTAGCACCATTCTCTATCGCTCTTTATAACCACCCCTGTTAAGATTTGCATCAAGGAAGTTACATGCATACGTACTTCGTTTCAGACAAAGGGCGGACATGTTTGGCAGGTTCCCCAAGTAGATTCGTGCGTAACCGCATCTCCGTCCTGTACATGCGCTGGGCAAGGCTTACACAGAACGTTCGAAATGTCTCATGCCTGGAAAGGGCATTTGGAACATGAGCAAAACAGTGGACATCGTCAACAACAAAACAGGATGCGCACTGCTTGGCTTGTGTTTTTATTTGATTGCTGATAGGTTTGGCTAACGTCTTGATGAGATTAAGACATAGGCTCCAATGCTAGTAGATTTCCGAGCTCACTCTAATGACTAGGGTGGCGATCTTGGCGGATGCCATGAAAATTAGCGGTCAAAGATGGTCAATGCAGATAGGTAGATCCACGTCTGAATCAGTTCGAGCAGGTAATAGTTCTATAGAGCGAGTGTGAAGGTACAAAGCATGTGTGCAAGTCCTGTTCAAACGCAGTGACACTGCTAGCCGAGGGGCTGCCGGCGAACCTCGTCACAGTCTGAGCGGCTGAGCACTGAGCGCCTTGATATTGAACTTTAGGTTCATGGGCTCGACTCAGGGTTGGATTCGAGGTTTTCTAGACGCACACCATTTGTATACCGGATTCGACAGACTTTCTTCTCCAAGAGCCTCATTCAATATGAATATATAATACAAGGGGCGTGTCGTGAGGATAACACTACGTCGAGAAGGCTTTTTTACAAAGGCTTTATACAAGGATGTCTAGGAATGTCGCTCTCTATATCCCACACCAAGTAAAATCGATAATGAAGTGGGTGGGCAAAGCAAAGTTGTGAAGCGCTACTTACTGATTCTTCACTCGTCCTAATCTAAAGCTCGCCTCCCCGTTTAACTCTGGTCCTTGGAGGGCCTTGGACTTCAACATTCCTAACGCCGTCCAAGCCATTTAAGGTTGCAAGTACGTCGCCTTGCACTCTTGGCCAGCTCTCGCGGGCCACGCTGAGCAATTGAACGTCTTGCAATTGACCGACATTCCCAATATAAGTAAGGGCAGAGTGGGCGGCGAGAGCATCTGGGCTCTGGAAGAAGCGGGATGTAGGATTGACTGTAACTGCGAGGTATACGTTCTCGCTGTGGTTAAGGAGGAGTTGCTGGGGTGACATTGTGGAATGAGTGTGAGTTGCAGTTGTGTACGTCTGGAGCCAGAGTTACCCAAACAGGCGCCGTTGCATCTCGATTATTCTTCAAAGTGGCCACTTGTACTTTCAGTTGAATGTGTGCCATTCGGGTCGCTAGCTCAACTTCTTCATTAGCGGAACACTTCGATCGACGACAACCCTGGAACTCAGTGGACTGCAAAATGTCGGTGTTGGCTGGCGGGACGACTCGTTTGGCGTGTCAAGTCGGCGGTCATCCTGGCTTGATGATCACCCAGGATGGATCACTCCTGATTAAACCCGCCCTTCCCAAAGAGGTCGCGTTCTACCAAGCTATTGCGTCGGATCCAGGACTAAGTTTGCTTCGCCCTTTTGTGTCCGACTTCTATGGGATTCTCAGGTTAGAGGGACAGCTTGCCGCCGGTGGCGGGGTCGACGGCATCGACCCGAGTGCAATCCAACCGTTGACTGACATTTCAGAAGACGAGAGAGATAAGTACATCATCATATAAATGAAAGAACAAGTGCACCTACCTCTGATTTTGTTGCACCGAGCACAGTCGATTGTCCTTGAAAATCTATCTTACACGTTCTCAAAACCGAACATCATCGACATCAAGCTTGGCACCGTGTTATATGACGATGATGCGTCACCAGCAAAGCGCGCACGGATGGAGAAAGCTGCTAGAGACACTACATCCGCCGAGACGGGTATGCGGCTGACAGGATGCCAGGTACCGTCCATCCTACACAGATTATGTATTTCTAATGACGCCCACACCCGTAGGTATACAACTTGGCAACCAATAAGCCAGTAATGGTTGATAGAGCGTATGGAAAGTCTCTCAAACCTTCTGACCTCCTAGATGGCATTGTGCGGTTTTTTCCTTTGGCATCGAATACAGCTCCATGCCTATCCGCCTTTGCCGATTTATCCAGTGATCAGGCTACCAACTCCGGGACTGGCCTACCATCAGAAATATTGCAGGACATGTTGTCACAGATCAGATTGGAGATTGAGGAGATATACACTGCTGTTGCCGGTACGGAGATGAGAATGGTTGGAGGGAGTCTTCTTATCCTCTACGAAGCTGAATGGGAGCGTGCGAGCGAGGGGTTGCAAATTTTAAAAGAACAGCAGGAGGAAAGCGACAGTTACAACAGAGACGAGGAGGACAACGGTGATAACGATGAGGACAACAACGATGAGGACAACAACGATGAGGACAACAACGATGAGGACAACAACGATGAGGACAGCGATGGGGGCGGCGATGAGAACAGCGATGAGGATAATGACGAGGGCAATGAGAAGCCCATTGGTCCCCCATTTGTCGTCAAGCTCATCGACTTTGCGCACACACAATTAGCACCCGGCCACGGTCCGGACGAAGGGGTTCTACTCGGTCTTAGGACAGTGTTACGATTATTAGACGATCGGCTTCAGCAGGTAAAGGGATTATCCGGGCGTCAGTAGGGCTGTTTAATATGCCTTTATTAGTTTGGAATCGGCATCTCTTGGTGTGGCAACGAGTTCAAGGTTCCAAATGATCACAGAAGATTGCTTATACTAGTCAAATCTATGCATGGAATTAAGATACAACAGCAGACAAGCGATAAAATACATATCAAATGGGTAGGAATAATTCCTGTCAGTATGTCCGAGAACTTATCCTTGCAACAACCAAGGCTTGTTCGTGGTTGTCCAAGTGTCCAGGGTCTTCCAAAAATGTGCAACCACTGACTTGTCAACATGCCGCCGATGTTGATCAATCTGAGGCAGGATATTTCAGATACATTGCCAGCGTCACTGTTGGCTACGGACCTTCAGCTCGGTAACATTCCAATCCTTGATCTTGGTATTCGGTGGATCATTCGTCCAAGAAACATAAATTCCCTTTACTGCAGGCACCCATCAATTGTGCAAAACGCAATACCGAGACGGTGAAGATATGCCTACCATGATGGAATAAAGTTTTTGGTTCGCTCCATTTGTATGACCTGAATTGCCACGCCTGACCGGTAGTCATGACGCAGACAACACGGTCCCAAGGATCTGCTCCGAATTTCGCGAGCGCCTCTGTACTATCCACCACGTAATAGCTTCGTACCATCGTCCACGTCCGTCAAAAGTCGCAACACGCGATGTGCCAGAAACATACCGTGCATTGATCTCTGTCTCACGGCCGGACGTGTCTATCGTTGTTCGCTTACGATAAATGGGGATGAGATCTTCTGGCTTTGCGTTTCCATCAGCCAACGCACGCGCACGCGCATCCTGCGAGGGCTCGAAAACAGCCTCCTGAAGGAAGCGTTTGACATTATGCATCGTGACTAATGCGGTGGGCGACGAGGATATCATGATGATGGGATAGAGGTTCTCTGCAATTTGGCAGCCCGGTAAGATCCATAGCAAAGACAAGCAATCTGGAGTACGACGTACTAGGTTTGCGTGCTTGTAATTTTGGATCTGTAAATGTGGGAATAAGTCACACAAGGCCACAGCTGAGACGTCGTGTATACCTGGAGTGGATGCTAATGCGGTAGAGGCCCCGCCTTTGCCTGCTTCTTTAAGTTTCTTGAGCTTTTCTGTATATGTACTCCGCACAGTCAAAAAGTTCTAGATACAGACAATTAGAATGTGATATCTCTAAACAACATCATCACGCACATTCGGTTTGACGCCCCGTAGCACCGTGGTCCTGTCTTGTAGTTCAATCTCATTTTGCTTGATCTTCTTGACAACCTCTATGTCAGCCGGATCCGCAAGGTAACGGCGCTTGAGAGGACTCGACGTATCGCCAGCCTTCGAAATAAGTGGGGTGGTGGGGAGAGCAGACCCGGACTTGAGTTGAGGGGGTGTACCTGGTGGAGTCGTTGATTCGTCTGCGAAGCACACACAAGCTGGATGAGTTTTCATACACGACCAGGTGGGCACTTAATACTGACTATTCATGGACACAATATCATCGAGATCAGTAATCTTCCCCTCCAACCAGTCTACAACATTCTTCCGCTCCGTTACACTCACGAAGCCAACTGCAAGGCCATTCTCTCTGGCCTGTTTCATGTATTCGGCGCCAGAAGACTCTCGCAAGAGCCATGCCAGGTATACTGCCTCAAAGGAAAAGAACTCCTGGGGATTTGTTGCAGGATTTGTGGATGAAGCGCCAGGCCTGCGCAGGCGTGTTGAAGCAGACTTGGATATGGAGAGAGCTGGGGGAAGGACAATGTGGGTAGCTGAAGCAAGAGAACTAGTGTCTTCTGATCCAGCAGCATATGTAATTTTCGCACGAGCCTTTATTGCCTGACGCAAAGCAAGAAGAGGATCCGTTGAAGTATCCATAACGGCACCGCGGTGTGTGGTCATGAACGAGTTGTGCCACCACCGACCAGGGATCCCTAGGCGCCCAAATCGCAGATTCCTGCCACGTGATATTGCTGGTGCGTATAAAATTGCCGCTACAGCCTACCAGGGTCTTTCCCGCCTGCATCGTGTCTTTCTCATTTTCTTTCGCTTCTTCCGAGTTGCGTTATCCGTTTGTGGGTGTACTGAGAGTTTCTGGTTGTTGCTTTCATGTGAGTGTCTTCTTCGGCATGGCAAAAAGGGATGATATCGCTGCCGCCCCAGTCGTAGCTCTGTTAAAGCTGTGACGAGAAGGCAGAGCACATAGCCAAACCATTGTTGCACCTCTGACTGTATTACATCGTGTTTTATCTTGAAGTTGTCCTGACACCTTTCATTATAGGTCTCATTGTTCACTTGAGTATCGGATGTAATATATGTGCCCGCATATTTCATGGCTGTAGATAGCTCTTGTATGTTTTGAGGTAAGTAGTTATATTTCGCGATTGGGTACCTTTCTGGTAGCGGATGATTTCAAACCGAATGCAATTAGGAAGTGCCGTCTGAGAGCTCTCCCCGCAAGGGGAGTTGCGCTTGTCGAGACGCGGTTCTCTGACTTGTTTTCTTCAAAGCTGTTGTTTGGTCTGTCTGACGTGTTTTGTTTACAGTTTTGGTACGATGGCCTGGAGGTTTTGTAACGTACCCTGGCCCAACCCTGCTTCAGGGCTTGCATGTAAATAGTGATATTGAGAAATTTAATTGCTGTGCGAATATACCTTCCGATGTATGAAGCCTTGGAGTATATATGCTTCAATGTTAGAGACTGCTAGTGGGACTATGCTATTACACCAGAGTTGCCGTATCTGAACGCCGCAGTTTCCCGGATGCGCAGACGTAGCGGGCGCCAACTCATCCCTTGACTTCATTTCTCTCCATCGTCACTCATAATCAACAGCCAGCACTTACGGCCATGGCGCAGTGGGGGCAAGGATATCAGTATCCTATGCAAACGGGGTACAATCCTCAGCAATTCCAACAGGGGTTTCAACCTACTGGAGGAATTGCGCCCCAGCCGACTGGCTTTCCAGGCCAACGGCCTGTAGGGTTCCAGCAACCTCAGCAGACAGGTTACCCCGGTGCATCAGGTTTTCAGCAGCCCCAGCAGTCTGGATTTCCTCAGCAGCAAGGTGCATTGCTGCCTCAGCAGACTGGCTATTCAGGACCCGTCAGCAATTTCCAGCAGCGCGCACCACCACCA